TTGTATATTTCTCCTTTCTTTCTAAATCATCGATCCACTACAAGAAAATTGCTGATTAGCAACGGATTTATCGGTTTCTGAATAGAAAACAGTAAGAAACATATTTGAAACGGAAAATGGACTCAATTACTGATTAAATTTAGAAAATTAGAAACAGATTGGAAAAGGTAGAAAAGAAAATTCGTTGCTAATATTGGCTGGAAGTCAGCATAACATAGGAACGGATAGGAATAGAATTAGAAACGGCATATGGAAACGGATAGTAAATCCGTGGCTAAAATATTGTGAAAAGTTGCTGGTTTATTAGCCGCAGAGTAGAAACGATATGATATTCGTGCTAATATTTTTCCACATATTTTGTTATACCTTTGTTAAAATTATTATTATTCTTTTATGAATTATATATTACCGATTAAGCAAAAATTTTGAAAATAATAATTGGACTACGAATATAAATTTTTTAACCCAATGTTGCATTGAAAAATTTTGATATTATTTCCAAGTTCAAGTTATTTTTATTTTTTTTATTTTTAAATATTTTTCACTTGTTTTGGTATTTATATAAAGGAAAAAATAATCAAAAATTTGCTTATCTTAATTTAATTTTGAAAATGAAACAAGAAACTTGAAAAATATTGATTAAAATGAAAATTTTAATTGATATTGATATAAAAAAATCAAAATTTGCTTATCTTAATTTAGTTTTTAAAATAGAAAAAGAAACTTCAAAAACATTAATTAAATTTATTCCATACAAGACTTCTTACACAAATATTTTAACAACTTTTATCATAGCAAAAGCAAGGGATCTTAGTGCCACTAAGATTAATATGTTAAAAGGAAAAGGAAAAAGAAGAAGAAGAATAACATATAGGAGAAAAAAAAAAAGGAGGAGAAGAAGACTAAGAAATAAGTTTTCAAAAAAAAAAAAAAAAGAAGATAGGAGAAAAAAAAAAAGGAGGAGAAGAAGACTAAGAAATAAGTAAAAAAAAAAAAAAAAGAAGATGAAGGAGAAGAAGGAATAAGAAAAAAAAATGAAAAAAAATGAAATGAAGGGAAAACTAAAAAGAGTTGAAAATTAATTACTTATCCTAGAATTAGTGACTGAATTTTTGCATCATTAAATTATAAAATCAAACACTAAGTTTGATTATTTAAAGCTTATTTGCTCTGTATAAAATTTTTAGTTCTGGCAATTTGCAGCTCGTTCATACCATATAAAATTTTTAAAAGTTTATAACTCGTGGCAAACTTTGACAAATTTTAAAATATTCATAATTTTTTGTTTTGAATTTCGTTGCTAAATCTTCAATAATATAGTGATAGAATTAGGGGTGGCCATATTACGGTTCCGGGAACCGGAACTGGTGGTTCGAACCGGTCCCGAAACGTAATTTAAACCGGAATCGGTCTGAACCGGAACTAAAACCGGAGATTTCCAGTTCCAGTTTTGTTGGAACCGCAAACCGGCGGTTCCACAAACCGGTCGGAACCGGATGGAACTGCCGGTTCGAATCGGCGGTTCTAGCCGTTAGAAACTGTCAGTTTTTTTTTTTAGTTTTTTTTTTTTATTTTTGTTGTGAAATTCTTTAATTACTCTCCACCAACATAAACGGCTAATTCAAAGGTATTTTTGAAAACAATAATTTTTTTGGATTTTAATTGTAAATACCTCATTTCATTTAATTTACAAATTCTTCACAAATCCTCTAAACCCCAAGAGATACGTAGCAACTTAATTTTTTTTAACAAAAATTAATTTTTAAAAAAAAATTAAGTTCAAGCCCTTTTTTTTTTAATTATGTTCAAACTTTTTTAAACAAAAAATAAATTCAATTGAAGACTTTTTTTAGAAAATAAATAAGTTCAAGTCTTTAAAAAAATAAATTTAATTGAAGCATTTTTTAATTTTTTAGGTGTAATTTTTTTAGAAATAACTTTTTCAAATTTTTTAAATTTTGAAAACCGATCTTCAAAATTTAAAATTTAAAATTATGCGATTTACCGAAAAACCGGTCAGAAAACCGATCGGACAGTCGGTTTTGTAACTGTCAACGAACCGGAACCGAAACTGAAACCGTTCGGTTCTAAACCAGAACCGGAACCGGAAATTTTCGGTTCGGTTCCGAAACCGTGGCCACCCCTAGATAGAATATATTTAATAGGTAAACCCTCACTTTTCGATTGACAGTTCATCAAGATGCCTGTGTGTGTGTATATATAGAGAAGCCAATTAGAGGTCCCAATCAAGTCCTAGACTTTCTCTCCGCTACAATTCCTCAGTCACCTGTTCTAAATTCTCCGTTACAAAACCAAAAATCTTTCATTACTACCAAACATGGCGGCAACGCAGCAAGTGAGTCCAACACTTCAAAGCTCACTTTCGGTACCTAAGTTCTTGCAGTCCGACGATGGTGCGATAATTAGCAAGGTTGAAGGAACCCACAAGCCTGATAGTCGCCAAGTTGATGTTCAAAACTTATCCACTATTATCACCAAAATTTTGCTTCCTCACGATCCCAGTACTGGTGGTGGTGTCACAACTGTATGTTCCAATTTCCCTTTTCTTTATTAATAATTTTTGGCATTTTTCTTCATTACTATAGTATTTATAATCTTAAAATATAATATTTATAATGTAATATTTACAATAATATGTTAATCACAAGTGTAATATTTACATGCAGTTGTAAATTTTTTGCAGGAAACTTCTGTAGGACGCGAAGTACCTGCTCAGATCATAAAACAGCTCTATTGCGAGGTTAACTATTGTTATTGATTATAAATAGTAAATTCTAATACCATTTTTATGCACATATATTAAATTAACATGCATGTACACGCAGATTTCATGCAATTGCTCAAGTGGAAAAGCTCAAGAAACAACTATGGTGTTACTTGAGAAATTGCTTTCAAACTATTCTTGGGATGCAAAGTTGATGATAACGGTAGCTGCATATGCTATTAATTATGGGGAATTTCATCTACTTACTGAGCTTTATAATAAAAATTCAGTTTCGAAAAATATAGCTTTGCTCAAGCAACTACAAGGCATAATGGAAGATGCCGATCACTTATTGCAACAATTTTCTGGAGCAATTATTGAACTTAACAAGGCTATAGTTGCTTTGACTCAAAGTGTCCTCCACTTCAATACAACTTAACAAGGCTATAGTTGCTTTGACTCAAAGTGTCCTCCACTTCAATACCTTACCTTCTGAGTATGTTGTAAATAACAAACCACCATTTTCAACTGCCACAACTGATATCGCCAGAGCTGTGTATTGGGCAATTTACAGTGTCGTAACTTCTGCCTCTCACATTGCTGGTCTTGTTGGGTTAAAAAATCAGTAAGTTTATTTTATTAAATCTATTCTTTCAGGATTCATTTTTAAAAATTAATTTTTGTTTTTTACTCTAAATTAATTGATTTAGGATGGGTTTATATTAGCTAGATGGCATCTTAATTCTTAAACTTTTAATAATATTTTAGTTTTGTGACATTTTAAATTAGATTCCATTTTCGGTCTTTGCTAAATTATATAATTTTAGTACTTAAGCAAATTCTTTTTTTTTTTCTTATTTAAACCTTCATTATTTAAAATTAATTAGGCTCTAAATTATTCAAATTCAGCTTAATATATTCTTCAATTCTCCTGTAAAGTAAATAGCAAGTCATAGAGCTACTTGCATGATTTCAGGCTCACCATTGCAATGATGACATGCGAACTCTCAGAATTGGTTACTAAAGTTAGCAGCATACAGATAATTCTACAAAACCATTTCTCTCGTATCAAAAAAGAAATTGGTAAGTAATCGCATATTGCTATAAATCATCAGAAACTTTATTTGCTAATTTATAATAAAAAAAAATTAACTCTCTATCTTAAATTGTATTAAGTAGTTAATTATCTTAATTTCAGTTAATTCTTTACTAATTTTAATTAATGTCATTCTATTATAACGTTGGTAATTTAAATTAAAATCTTTCGATTACATTGAAAATTAATTTATGTAGAATGCAAAGATCCAAATTTTTTATTTAATTTATTGAAAATTGTAATTGGCTTATAAATCTGATGGTATAATGCAGAGTCTTACGATATGCTGGTGAACCTTTCTAACACTGTCCAAGACATTACAACAATCTTCCAGGCCTTCTTTACTGTCGAGAAAGAGGGCAGGACCGAGACGAAACTATCCCTTGTGAAGGGCAACAATATTAGGGAAAAGGTTTGATCTTTAATATTAATATCACCATATGTTACAACAAACTCAGGTTTTCTTTTTTTTTCAGGTTTTCTTTTTTTTTTTTTTTTTTAATTTATAATATATATATATACATATGACAAATTCTTTTGGCAATAAAATACAGTTCAAAATTGAGGAATTAAAGGACTCAAAGGTTGTGCTGGTCGTTTCTGGACTTGATGAATCTGAAGTTGAGATTAAAGCTCTTGCGAAATTGTACGAACAACTCCAAAAAGAGCAAAAGATTCAATACCAACTAGTTTGGATTCCAATTGTGGAGGGCCAAGTCGATGAGCAAAAGTTCTCGTCTTTGCAATCTCTGATGTCTTGGTATACTGTAAAACACCCTTCAGTTGTCAAACCAGAGGTTATTAGATACATCAAGGAAGTGTGGAAGTTCTCGAAACAGGCAATTCTGGTGTCTTTTGATCAAAAGGGACGTACCGAAACTGTTGATGCTCTAAACCTATTCTTGCAAAAGGGATCTTTGCCTGCCCGGTCTACTCCCATCATCACCTGCAAAGGAGAAGTCTCCATGGGAAATTAATCAGCTGACACTAGATATTCTTATTCAAGATATTTATCAAGTTGATTCGGTATTTTTACTTCATTCCTTTTGGAATTGATGAATTTAAAGTACAGATTTTCGTTTACTGATGTTATAATTTGATTTCTGGTTTTTGATTTTATTAGAGCTACCAATAAATAACATGAAAACTTGCTTATGTTATATATATAGCAGACGGAACCTGCACCAATCATATGCCTATATGGAGGAGAAGACATGAAATGGATTGAGCAATTCACTGCAGCAATATTAGCACGTGTGAAAGACTTCCCTGAGTTGAAGATAGAATTAATTTATGTGAGCAAGAGCAATACGACCGATCAGGCCAACAAAGCAATTCTTGATTTCATTACTACAAACAAAATTGGCGATTATTGGAAAGCAGAAGAAACAAAAAGTTGGCGATTTTGGACTAGATTGGAAAGCATTTTCACTTCAGGGCTGAAAAATGGGAAAAATGCAAAAGAAGACAGCATAATGAAAGATGTGATGACATTGCTTAGCTTTAATGGAACCTGTAAAGGATGGGCTATATTTGGCAAATTAGGATCTAATCAAAAAATGGCTAAAGCAATGGGTGATGTTATTCTGCAGAGCTTGTCAAAAATAATAACATGGTCTAGCGACTCTTTTCTCGCAGCGCTTAACAACCAAATTGAACAACTTCTGGCTCGACTCTTTTCTCGCAGCGCTTAACAACCAAATTGAACAACTTCTGGCTGACCAACCACACCATTGCAGCCACATTGTCCTCCCTGCAACTAATCTTGAGGTCAAGGATGAGATGATGACATGTGCAACCTGTGGCCGGAAAATGAACAAGTACCTGACGTACCAGTGTTGCGTGTAGTAAGCATGCACTGTGGCGGGAAAACTTCCAGATGTTCGTTGAGAATAATTTTGTTTTTGTGGTTAATGTAATGTCTGGGGAGGACTAGACGAGTGTGCTTTTGTTTGTTGTGTAATAAAAATTGATCCCAGGTCATATAATACCTGCAGTTTATTGTAATGAACTGTTAATGGACTTTTTTGGTATAATGTAATAAAATATGGAGGATATTTCAAGCCTCATATCTCTCTTACATGTTCAACTTTTGATATGGGTAATCAACATATATATTGTTAAGTGTGTTATTTATTAATTTAACAAAAATAGAAAATTCTACTTCTATATATGTTAGAAGATGCTATGATAGATCTTTTATATATGATATTTCGTGTATTTCTTTTGGTTTTAGATTTTCTCTTATTCTATCCACTTAGATTTAAGTGTATGTGTGATGGCCTGTTGACCAGGATTTAGTTCATCATATATTAAGTTTTTTTTTTCTTGAGTAATGATCATCTACCGCTATAAAAGATAACAGAAATAACAGCTATGTTAAGAATCTCACATTAACTAAATACCAAATTTACAAAGGGCATATAAGAGTGCTAAGTTAGCTAATTAATTGGTTTGCACTAATCTTCTAATAATGGTTGGCCCAAATAAGCTCATATCATATATTTTCATCTCATGGGTTCTAACTTCTCATCCAGTCCACCTCTACCCTTTCAACTTCTAATAAACTATATCATCTTAGATAAAATTACTATATCATCTTAGATAAAATTGGAAAATACTTATCAATATCAAGTGTATGGATCCACTTTTTCACCAAACAAATCACAAACAATTTTTTTTTTTTTTAATATAATCACAAATGGTGTTTTAGTTTAGAGGAGAATATTTTCACCATACACTTGAGAAAAAAAAGAACAAAACAGTAATATTTTATAAAAAAAATCTTTTATATAAAAAAAATCTTTTATATTATTATAATATAATATATATATATATATATATTCACAAAATAGATTCCTTTCGTTTATCACGTTTTGTTCTTTTTTTCTTTTTTTTTTTTTTTTTTTTGTTCTTTCTTTTTGAAAGGGCAATCATCAAATTTTTTTTTTTTTTTTTGTTCTTTTCTTTTTGAAAGGCATCATCAAATTAAACTTAATTTCCTTTTTAACATTCTAGTTTTAATAATACTTTTGTCATTGCTCATTCAATAGCATACACTAAATCTAAATATAGACGAGAAAAAGGAAAGGAAGCTTAAAAGAAGCAAGCTCGTGGGCCCAGGAAGACCCTCAGTTAGGGTTAAAGCTGAAAGCGATATAGCTGTGTTTTGTTAATATGTCAGGACTTTATACTTATCAGGATGCCTTGACATGACTTTTTTTTTTTCTCATATATTAAATTATTTTATCTCCAGCTTCACATTCTTTTCAATTACTTTTTCTTCGTCTCCAAAAAAAAAAAGTTAAATTATTCATATTTTATGCGGTTATAAATTTTTTTATAAATCTCTGTTATAAATTTAGTTTATATAATTTTTTACAAATCGAACCAAATTAAACCATAAACACTTCTAATAAATAGTAATCCAACACAGATAATCGATGCCTTCTTTTATTGTTGGCTTCGCGCACATTCCTACTGCTTTTTCTTTTTCTTGAACATGGCTCTATAGAAGAATCATATTGATGTAACATGTGATTCCCTTGACTGTGGTGGGTCTTGGTAATTGTTTTTTTCTTTCGGATGCCTCTACTACCTGTGTCTATATAAGAAGCAAAGACTCAAAACAAGTACCAAACTTTCTTTCCCCTTCAGTTAACTGTTCTAAATTCTCCATTTCCAAACCTAAACTTCTTTCGTTGCTGCCAAATATGAGTATTACCCAGCAAATGACCCAAACACTTCAAACCTCACTTTCGATACCTAAGTTCTTGCAGTCCGACGATGGTGCGATAATTAGCAAGGTTGAAGGAACCCACAAACCTGATGGCCGCCAAGTTGATGTTGAAAACTTATCCACCATTATTACCAAAATCTTGCTTCCTGACAATCCTAGCGGAAGTGGTACTGGTGTCACAAGTGTATGTTCCAGTTTCCTTTTTTTTTTTTTTTATTAATTATTTTTTGGCTCAATGGAAATATGTGTATATACTTACAAGCAGGTTTGCTTCTTTTTTTTGGCCCCTTTTTTGCAGGGATCACCTATAGTGTTGGAAATACCGGCTCAAACCATAAACAAGCTCTGTTGCGAGGTTAATTATCTTTTTTTTTTTTTTTAAATATAGAAAGGTTCTTCTAATACCAACTTTAAAATACAAATATGTCTTCAAAATTCAAAAATCCCTTTTTTAAAGAGAAAACAGATGGAATAAACCCCTTTATTTCTCTCCTATTTATACATTTGAAACTTTCTAATTTGTCTGAAACCTTGATAAGTTGCAATTTATAAGTACAGCGGCATAAAAAATAACTTAAGATATCAAAGTGAGATAGAAAAGGAAATACATACATATGCTTACATGCGGTTTTTTTGTGCAGGGAATATCGATAGTGCATGAAGAACCTGCTCAAATCATAAACAAGCTCTCTTGCAAGGTTAATTATTTTTCTTGATTATAAATTGTTACTTCTACTACCATTTTCTTTTTCTTCTTTTTTTTTTTGAGAAAAGACAAAAATCAAAGCTCCCTACCTAATAATGTACATGCAGATATCATGCAATTGCCCAGGTGAAAATGCTCAAGAAACAACTATAATGTTACTTGAAAAGTTACTTTCAAACTATTCTTGGGATGCAAAGCTAATGATAGCAGTTGCTGCATTTGCTGTTAATTATGGAGAATTTTATATGCTTACTGAGTTTTACAGCAAAAATCAAGTTTCCAAGAATCTAGCTCTGCTCAAGCAACTACAAGGCGTAATGGAAGATAATGACTTTTTGGAACAATTTTCTGAAGCAATTATTGAACTTAACAAGGCTATAATTGTTTTAATTCAATCTGTTCTTCAGTTCAATACTTTACCTTCTGAGTATGTTGCAAGTAACAAACCACCATTTTCAACTGCCACAACCGATATTACCAGAGCTATCTACTGGACAATTTATAGTGTTGTGACTTGTGCTTCTCATATTGTTGGCCTCATTGGATTGAAAAATCAGTAAGTTTACTTTATTATATCTATTTCTTTTAGGATTCATTTATGTTGACATAGACTTTGGTTCTTACTATTCATCAATTTTAAGTTTTAAATTAGATTGCATTTTAAATCTTAAAACTTTTAAATTTAATTTTATTTTTACTCTCTAAATTATTATATTATGCATCCTCGAAAGCTCTGGAATATTGTATTTTTCTTTTATTGTTCATATCAATATAAATATTAATATAGCTAATATTGAAATAGCAAGGAGCAAAGTAAGTTCTTTGTGCCTTTACCAAATTATATAAAGCTAAAAGTGTGTACTTGATCAAAATCTTGGGAGTTCTTCTTTTCTCGTTTAACCTTTCTTTATTTTTGTTAATTGGACTCTAAACCGTGTTCAAATTCTACTTAATCTGTTCTTTAATTTTGATGTGAATTAAATAGCAAGTCATCTGCTTGTATAATTTCAGGCGTACCGTTGCAGTAATGACATGGGAACTGTTAGAATTGGCTACTAAAGTTAGCAGCATACAGACAATCCTGCAAAGTCATTTCTGTCGTATCAAACAAGAAATTGGTAAGTAATTGCTTATTATTTTATAATTAAAAATTCAAATCTTATTAACCCTTTGTCTTAAATTTTATTATTGTTCAATTATCGTAATTTAATTTAGAAATTTAAAGATCCAAATTCAAACCAGTTCCTTCCAATTCTTAATTTAATTTGCTGCAATTGGCTTATAAAGAATATGGGATAATGCAGAGGCTTACAATGTGCTGGTCAACCTTTTTCACTCTGTCCAAGACATTACAATAATCTTCCAGGCCTTATTTCTTATCGAGGGCAGAAAGCTTTCCCTTGTCAAAGGCACCACTAAGCAAAAGGTTTGCTCTTTAATATTAATGTCACCATATGTTACAACAAACTAAATTTTTTCAACATTAATTAATTTTTTATTTTTTACAATTTAAGATAACTTTGTTTTTTTATCGATTTATATATAAAAAAAAATATTACTTTTGATGATTAAACATCATTCTCAAAATAACCGAATTTAATTTAATTCGTTTCCGTTTGATTCTCTTATATTATATAGAAATAGAATTATGCACACCATTTGATTACATTAAGTTTAATATAACAAATTCTTGTGACAATAATCTACAGTTTGAAATTGAGGTATTGAGGGATGCAAACGTTTTGTTGCTGATTTCTGGACTTGATGCATGGGAAATAGAGATTAAAGCTCTTGATAAACTGTTCGAACAACTCCAGAGAAAGCATAATATTCAGTATCAACTAGTTTGGATTCCAATTGTGGAGGGGCAATTCAACGAACAAAAATTCTTGTCTTTGCAATCCCTGATGCCATGGTATACTGTAAAGCACCCTTCACTTGTCAAACCAGAGGTTATTAGATACATCAAGGAAGTATGGAAGTTCTCAAAATCGGCAATTTTGGTGCCGGTTGATCAAAAGGGCCGTGCAGAATCTGTTTATACTCTTGACTTGCTTTGGCTAAAAGGATATTTGCCTGGTCTGCTCCGATCATCACTTGAGAAGGAGATATCGCTATGGGAAGAGAAGCAGCTGACACTAGATATTCTTATTCATGATCTTTATCTAGTTGATTCGGTAAGTTTACAATATCCCATCTGGTATTTATGAATTTAAAGCATAGATTTCATTTATAGATAGTAGAATTTGATTTTAATACGTTATGTATATTGCAGACAAAACCTGCACCAATTGTGTGCCTCTATGGAGGAGAAGACATGAAATGGATTGAGGAGTTCATTGCAGCAATAACTCGCGTTAAAGAGTTCACCGAGTTGAACATAGAATTAGTTTACGTGAGCAAGAGCAATACAATCGATCAAGCCAACAAAGCCATTTTCGATTTCATTGTTACAAACAAAATTGGCGTGTATTGGAAAGCAGAAGAAACAAAAAGTTGGCGATTTTGGACTAGATTGGAAAGCATTTTCTCTTCAGGGCTAAAAAGCGGGAAAAATGCAAAAGAAGACAACATAATGAAAGATGTTATAACTTTGCTTAACTTCAATGGAAGCTGTAAAGGATGGGCCATATTGGGTCAATTAGGATGTCATCAGAAACTGGCTAAAGCAACAGGCGAAGTAATTCTGCATGTTTTGTTAAAAATAAACACATGGTGGAAACTTGGAACGAGTAGCGACTCGTTTCTTGCAACGCTTAACAACCAAATCGAACAACAACTTGATATCCAAGCACAGCATTTTTGCTACAAAACACACCATTGCAACCACATTGTCCTGCCGGCGACAATTCTTGAGGTCCAGGATGAGATGATGACATGTGCAACGTGTGGCCGGAGAATGCACAAGTACCTGACGTATCAGTGTTGCGTGTAGTAAGCCTGCTCTGTGCAATATCTGCCTGAGGTTCGTTGTCAGAATAATTTTGTTGTGCGACTTGTGTTTGTTTTCGTTCGTTAATGCAATGTCTAGTCTAGCTAGTGCTAGACCGTGTGCTCTTTTTTTTTTTTTTTTTTTTTTTGGCGACTTGTGTTTGTTTTTCTTTCGTTATGCAATGGTCCTAGTCTAGCTAGTGCTAGTACCGGTGCTCTTTTTTTTTTTTTTTTTTTTCTTTTTGTTTTTTTTTCTTCCTTGAGGCGAGTTGCTTTTGTTAATTTTTTTTTTTTTTTTTTTTTTCTTTTTGTTTTTTTTTCTTTCCTTTGAAAGGCGAGTGCTTTTGTTAATTTAGAGTGTTGTAAAACTTTCCTTTAATTAATAATTTTTTTTATAACACGTATTGTACGTACTTGCTCGTTTTAATTATACTCATAATTTATATTCGTTTATTATTTTTTATACAATATTAAGTATTAGTTATTTTTTCATCTTTTAAATTTTTATAATGTTAAAAAGGATTAAGGTGAACACAGTAGCTAACTAATAAAAAATAAATAAAAATTACATTAGAACTAAAGTATGGTAAAGTTTTTTAAGCAATTAATACTGTATATATTGAAACAATTTTACACCATTTCTCATCGAAGTAAAAAATGAACTATATTTCTTAGACGCTGTGGCATTTTGAATTATCATTCTTATCAAATGGAATCCATTTTTAGGGCCAATTGCATTTTCAATAGTCATTTTTATCCTTAATATCATCATCATACAGAACTTCACAAGAATTCACTTACAAACTATAATAAGATTCACAATATATAAACTTCAACTTCAACGCTTTTAAAGAACTAATCAATAATCATTAAATTTTAAATTAAACACAAATATGTATATAATTAATTAGTTACAAGAAAATCCATATGTTATGATTGAATAAATTAGTCATAATACTATCATTCAGAAGTACAAGCAATACCAAGTCTTACACATACAAAACTGGACATACTAGTGTCAATAGCTATAACGATGTCTTCACTAAATTTGGCCTTCTTCCACAAGGAGGAAGGGTGAAGCATACCATTCTTTTCTAGCAACATAAATTTCCGTTGGTGTGTTGTCTGTAGCTATCTTGCTTGGTTCAAGAAGACAGATGTCATATTTGAACGCTTTACAATTAATATAAGTTACTGTGTGATGAATCATCAATCATCAATCAAACACATATGTTATTATTAATAAGTCTCAATTACTTGCAATTTTGAATTGCCTCTTCCTACTCAAGAAAAGTTGTAAAAATTGCATTTCTGGCTTTCTCACTATGCATGAGATAGATATTATACAATATATATGTAACCATATACAATATATATTAACCATACATTTGGTCTAAGAATTATAGTAATTAAGGAGGAAACTTGATACCTTCACATAGAGGTGAGAAATCATAATGAGAATCAGTAACTACATGAAGATGAGCCTCAGAAGCTTAAGAAGGGTGTTCATGAGATCCCAAGTGTACTGTGTATGACTTCATATCATTTAGCTTGTTTCCTCCCATCAAGCTTGGTAGCCAAAACACTCGAGGTTTATCTAAACATTTACCAGAAAGAAAAATTCCAAGAGTTGCACCTTAAGGTGGGAAGAGATTTTATGCTCTACTTATCAGCTGTAGCGTCCATTGTTGGGATTATATTTTTAGCACCTTCCATGGCTAAAGTCATCCCGATAAGGGTGGATATAGGTCTTGTCGCGGTCAATGTGCTTTTAGTGCAGTTGGATCACTATGGGGAATTGTGCTTCTTGCTCTGTTCATTTATGTACAACCCATGTTTTATGCAATATGGGTCTCCACCAAGCATAAAGAATACAAAGTGTTGCAGTGTAAAAATGCCTGTGGGTAAATGTAGTTACTTTTACAAATACTGTTTGAGAATGTCAAGAATGTTCCTAATTTCCTATACCTAGACAGCCTCTTGAACCAGATGTGCTTTATATAACGTTCAAGTGTGCCTCTCGATATAAGTTTGAAGGCAAGTCTTTGCTGATTCTTAATTTGTTATGGTTACTATATGCGTGGTATTATAAATCCAGCAAGATAAAGACTCAACTCTATCCCATATGCATCCCTCTTCTGTTTTTTCCCCCTTCTCTTTATTCTTTTTGACAGAAAGCCCGTAGTTGGTTGCTCTTCAACTCAGTTCCTTATGCATCTTTGGTGGTAAAAGACAGATGGATAGAATATAAGTTCCAAAATAAGAAAGAAAAGGAGAAGGTGCAACAGTTTTAACATGAGTCAGAATGCTTATTAGTTTTATGAAAATTTTTTTATACTTAGTAAAGTTTAATTCTGCTCAACCGACAAGTTCAGACTAGGTTCAGGAAACAACCAATGGCATCTCAAAGAAATTGTACATATACAAGCCAACATATCTAATCGAGCTTGTGTCTATATGAAGCTACTGCCTACCTCTTTGATTCGATTTCTCTCACACTTTGCACTATGTCCTCAATGTTTCTTGATAGGTGATTCGAGTGCTCTTCCATCTCTCTCAAAACCATGTCAAGTTGTTGTTGGTAAGCTGCAGATCGCTTTCGCTCTCGTTGTAGTTCAGCAGTCAATTCTCGAATTTTTACATCTTTCTCATCCTACATATTATAGAAGAAACATGCATATAGTAAAACTATTACTTGAATATAATGTAGAAAAACAAACTTTTATTCCACATCAAAGGACAAAACAAATATGTGCTAGATTGATTTAAAGAATAATTGAGAGGAGATCAAAATAAATATATCATGTGATCATTCTCTAGCCAAAGGTAGGTGGAGAGTGAAAGATATTCAATAATAAATTAATGTGTAATACTTCATCCATCCAGAAATGAGAATTATCAAATATTGAAACAGATAAAGTTAAGCATCACATCCAAAACCCAGTAGTCTTAATTTGGCATTTCAATCATTCAATATTTTCTATCTTTTGGGGCTAAGAGAACCAAATAAGGACAAATTTTAGATTCTAATCATCTTAAAAGCAATTGATATTTCAGGAACTTCTCGCTCCAGTTTCCCAAATTCACAACTTCAAGGCAATTGGAGCACCTTGTCCAAAAAAAAACAAAAAAAAGCAAAAAATTGTATTTCAGATATGGATGGTTGTAGCCCATGTCAATCCGTCTGAGATATCTATAGAGGTGTAGACTGTTTGGAAGAGTGTCACACTGATGGACGATAAAATTTGTGCATAAGATTTTCAACTGTTTGGAAGAAGAAAATTAGTTCATTCGGCCAGGACAAATGGTCAAACAACATTCATAGATACGGATTCTCATATGAAGAATAGACAGGCATGCTAGCATCTAAAGAATACAACTAAAGGAAGTAACAGTTCAGTACAACACAAGATCAGAATTAAGAAGAAGGAAAAGAGGGGGGAAGCCAAAAAGGAAGGCCTACATGCAAACAAATATCCAACTTCCAGTAGCTTTGCACAATCACAGAAGGCAACTTTCCAGCTTACTGCATCTACCACAAATTTCCCAGTTATAGCCTCTATACAAGCATAGGACCTGGCATTAGAGCATCTACCCCAATTAACAATGATAAGGTGTTTATTTAGCCTTATATGACCTGTTAAAGAAAATTCCTAATGCCAATAATCAGAATGTTCCTAAGGTGAGCAGAAAAGAAGATTATTTCACATAACAAGTAACTCAGTTTCAATTACCCGAGTGGTAAAAAAAAAAAAAAAAGAATCAGCTTGCTTCAAGAATTGGTGAAGGTATCTGAGGAAACCTTCTCCAAATGTGGTTTTTCTTTTCACCAAAATAAATAGCCTACCTAGAAGGAATTGGCAATTGGGCAGGCACTCCTAGAAGCAACATTGACAGCATTTAGCACCTTCATTTGGCCAGCCTATGCACTGATCCTACAGCTGCTTACTCAATTTGCAGTCCAAAAAGTTCACGCCCATGCTTACAAAAACCATTTTGGTGCCTCCAACTTCTCAGAATACCAGAATAGCATTCACACAATACTGCCTTTGTTTGATAGTTAATGGAATATGCACTGACAAGAAAAAACAAGGCAAGCAGGCAGGCGACACAGGAAAAAAAGACTACTCTGAACAGAACCTACTCATCAAGACAGAATGTTCATCTAAAATTTGACTATGCATTTATTCATCTTATCTCGTTTATTTCAGACACTAAAATCACCAGTTAGCAGCTTCTTACACCACCAGAAAATCAGAACATTAGTGTTGCAGCAAGAAGAAGAAACATCAGAACTTATGTAATCATATTGGTAAGCAACATGTCCCAGTTGGCATGACACTGCCAAAGCTAAAATGAGTAAATCTTTAAAGCAGACAAGAAAAACAATTGGTAATAGGGACAAAAACTACTAACAAGAACAATATTTCAGCATTTATAATCAATGAGAATCATGCAACTAGATGTTAGTGAAGAGCAAAATCAGTTGGTGACCTAAAAATGCAAACATTATATAAAAATATCTATAAGCTACTGGCACTTCTGAAAAAACTTCTTTTCCTCTAAAAGCACTCACTGGTGTTTGAGATAAAAGCACAGTTCGACGACCATTAGAAGGTGTGGCTACTAGTGGATGATTATGCTCCTTTACAAATCTTGTTACAATCCATTTTCCTGTTTTTTCTTTCTTTACCACTATCATGGCTTTACATCCTTCTCTTGTTACTGCTCGAGGCTTCCTATTTTCACTTCTTCTAGGCCTTAACTTGCGAAATCCTTCTTTATTACATACAAGCCGGCGCCAAACTACCTTCCCATCACGCATTGAACGTCGAAAGGCATCAACACGCATCATGAATCCCAAGCGTGTAGCATATGCATCATAAAACACCTTGGCAGACTCTTCAGATTCAAATTCCATGCCTACATATGGTTCCATATCAGAACTTCCTTCAGTTGTAGTTACCTCTTTACTATTAGAACTCTCTACAATTTGATTCATGTCCCCATCCTCACTCACAGAAGGTTGTTCATCCACTACCAGAAAACATAGGGCAATACTATTAGTTAGTTGAAATGTAATAGTAAACTCAAAAGGAAGGGGAAGGGAATTATTAAGTCTCCAATTAGATTTTCTCCCCTTTTCTTTTTGAGTAAATTCGAATAAGCAACCATCTTGTATTCTAACTTACTAAAATTACCCTTCTAATTCAAATTATTACATAAATTACCCTTGCAATGGATGTTGTAATGATGTAACTAGCTATTTTGCAAAATAATATGGAGCTGTACAATTTATCTTCTGCTAATTTTATTTTATGGGCTCCCTAAGTACTTAATCTAAGTAAAATATATGTGCTCAATGTCATTTTCCATTTTTAGTGCATAGCACCAAATTGCCCAGAACAATTACTCTCAAACTCAAGCCTCAATGCCCATCACTAACCAAGATTACCAAAGTTTTTTATAAAAAGAAATACCAATTTTTGTATTCAGCCGTTTTTAATAATCCAAATTTCACATTATTGAAAAAGATGCTTAAAACTAATAGTATTCGAATTCAATAAGCATAATTTTCAACACCAAGAACAAATACACCATCTAACCTTTGAGTTGACACATGAAATGATACTCAATATCTTTACTCAATAAGAAAAAGCAAACCCAAAACAGTAAGCTCTACTGCTGCACACTACTACATTTCCAGAGTTTCTAAGCTACACGAAGGAGAAGTTTTTTAGTCCCTAATTCTTTTATTAGTTACATATATTTCACAATAAATAAATAAAAATCACTAGATTTTACATTAATCCAAAGTTAAGATTGGAAAAAAAACCTTTAGTCAAAGCTCAAGAACTACACAATCAAGCGAAAAGAAACTCTGTATATTGAAGCTTATATTGTCCTCTAATCAATCAATAATGCAAAAACCAAAGTGCATAAGAAAGAAAGTAAAAAAGAGAAAATATGAAATTGAAAAACAAGTTGAGGAGTTAAAGAGACTAACTTTACACAAATTCAAGTCCAAAAGAGATGAATTTAGCTTCAGCGGCAACGCAGAAAAAGAAATGAGTGATTTGGGGTGAGTGAAAATGAAGGGTTCCCGGTTTGGAGTGAGTTGGTGAATTCTGAAGGATTTTTGGGTTTGGGAGTTTCTAGAAAGAGAAAGCTCAGGCCTCAGAGGAAGTGGTAGACCAAAGGGTGCAATAAAAATCGAGGAGGAGTCCTCTACTCTCTGAGCAGAAACTAATTTCTATGCTTGACCAGTAAAAACGTGACACGTTTTGCATTTGTTTTGAAGTTAAACATATTTTTTGGAAATCACTATTTTAGAAAAATGTGTTTTTAGGAAAGTATTTTTGAATTTCAGTAATTAAACATACATTGAATTATCACCTTTTGGCTCGTTTCAAATTGTATATCACTTTTCTTTTGTGCATTATAATTAATTCTGTCTATTATATTTTTATTAAATTTTATTTTATTTTTAATAATTATCATTAATTTTTACTTACTATTCTATTTTTTCTAAATTATAAGTCGTTTAAGATTTTTTTATAAGGATTAAGGAATCAATTAATTCTTCTAAATTATAATAACAAAATAATAATATGGCTAAATTATTTTTTATCTCAAAATTAACAGTTAACTGTAACATTGTAAAAACATCATTTATTTTTCCTTTAAATACTCAAAACGATTTATATTTTTGAACAGATGAAGTATTCAAATATAATAATTGATCATGTGTTATTTAATATAGGCATAATATGAAAATTATATGAATAAAATTATTTTTTAAATATAATAATTATTACTTTTTTTAATCTGTATGAAAATAGAAAGTAAACTATATTTTTAAAACAGATTGAATAATAGATATCACTGGTATGAACTTAAAAAAAAAAAATTTAAGAACAACATATGTTATTAAATTTGCTATTTACTATGATAAACAAGTTGATATTTCTCGTTATTTTTCTTTTTCTCCTTCTACGACAAAAGGTTAATGTTGCTATTGATATTTGAAATCTTTGGGAAAATAGATAGATTAAATAATATAACAAACTTAAATAGAATGTTTTCTTAAATATGTTGATTTCACTAATTTGATGAGCCAATAGGAGAGCTACCTCTATTATATAATTCACAGTGTTATTTTAATTAATTAGACCTCTAATGAATTAAAAAGTTTAATATTGAATTTATATATCCTGGTTCATGCAATGAGTACATTAATTATTCTTTATTTGAATATTTTTTGGAAAGTAATATCACAAAATAAATAATTTATTTTATCTAATACATTGAAAATTCAAAAAGGAAAATATCTTTTGTATTTAATTTCAAATTTCAAAATTAATTTAATTTTTAGATTAATGTATTCATTTTTTGAATTTTTGAAATAAATTTTAAAGCTTTAGAAAAAAACAAGCTTTTTTATTAATAATAAGAAAGTTCAATTAAATAAAATTCCAAAAAATAAAAATAAGGCCAAAAAAACCCTTCACAACTTAAGTTATAGGGTCCGAGTACTAACACGCAAGGTAATTCCTCAAACTCATCCATCAGTCATCACGCACTTTGACAGTCCTTGATGGCTCGATCCAACGGCGGTGAGTCTTCCATTTCATATGTGTTTCTTTTGCCATCCGCTTCTCTACTCGCGCATTAACGCGAAGATCGCTTCGCCTCTCCCAAATTTTTTGAATGTCTCAAGCCAATCTTTTTGATTCAGTAAGTTCCTTTACATTTCGAGCTTCGATTTTCCTCTTCTTCTGCTTTTATAGCTTTGTGATTTCTGCCCTTATAATGTTGTTTCCTCTGAATTTGTCTTCTTTGCTCTGTTTGGTTGCTGAGGAAATTGGTCTAGAGGATTTACAGTTTTTGACTTTACTTAGAAGTGATGCATACATTAGTTAGCTCACTCGCCTCTTTTTCCGTTATGGTAATTTTTGTTTCTTTTAATGCTTTAGATGGGTGCATTCTTATATTAATTCAAACTTTTCAAATCAATTCGTACTTTTTTTTTATGTTAGTAAAATATGTTCCTAATTTTAAGCCTTGTTCGATTCCAATCATTTGCTATCGTTTTACGTTACCTGCTTAAATTTCAAACTGGCAGTTCTGTTAAGTTGTGCCCGTGGGTTTGGAGTTTCTTGATTTTGCAATATATTGTATCATCTTCCCAAATTTCAGCCAATTATTTAATCAGAATTATTATTTCATTTGTTAACTTCTCATTACATGTCATGAGCTGTTGTGGAAATCCCAATTTTGCCAATTTTTCTTTTATTTTCTTATTTTTAATCAGTCAAATTTTGGCAATTGCTAGTCTTTTCCCTCCGATGGTCATTGGTCTCAGCCTAGGCTTTAACTATTACAGTAAGATTTTGGCACCCATTATTTAGTGCAAAGAAATTTGGAGAATGGCCAGAATCTTTTATTTCTTTTCTTTTCCATGAATCTTCAGGATGCCTGAATGACTATCCCTCCTCACTCCGCCTGAAATAAATGGACTTTTTTGGCCATATTAATTGGATGAGATTTCTATATTTTCAATAAAGATACCAAAAGGTTGAATATAATGTTTTCATCCCATAAGTGCTATGTAAACTCTGGGTACATGGCTTCAACTAATTTTGGATTCCTTTTAGCTTATTTTAAATTTCTTCTTCCATCTTCAAAAGAAAAAGCAATGGACTTTTAAACAAAGGTTGAGATTTTTCACCTTATAATTCCACTTGGCCATGGATATTAGATCCAATATTAGTTTTCTAGCTTTGAATTTGAATTGGATGGCTTCTTATGACAAGGACTTCATTTTCAAAAAATAAAGATTTTGTGCAATGTTTTAATTTTCATGTTGAATGATTTCTTTATGGCAGTGGACTTGGATAAGGAAGTTGGAGCAGTTGACATCTCTGTTGAAGAAAAAAATGTTTCTGTAGAAGGAGATGGAGTTCTAGAACCATATGTAGGCATGGAATTTGATTCTGAAGATGCTGCTAGGAAATTCTACATTGAGTATGCCAGAAGGATAGGGTTTGTTGTGCGTATTATGCAACGCCGTCGGTCTGGGATTGATGGAAGAACTCTTGCTCGTCGACTTGGATGTAATAAACAAGGTTTCTCTCCTAAACATAGGAGCACGATTGGACCAGATAAGAAGCCACGATCTAGTGCACGAGAAGGTTGCAAAGCAACTATCCTGGTTAAAATGGAAAAGTCTGGAAAATGGGTTGTTACAAGATTTGAAAAGGATCATAACCATCCTTTGGTTGTTACTGCTAATGGATTCAGTACAGCGGTTAGTATATTCATCTCTGCATTTGTTTTTTTTGTTCCATTTCCTTTTTTATTTTCTTGACAAAGTTATATTACCCTTATATAGTATCATGTATTACTTTATATTCAACACCATTGCATTACCAATATCTGGATAGGTTTATGTGATATAACTGAATGCATAGCTAGGTTGATATACATAAATACAGGAAAGAAAGAAAGAAACTCAATGCAAAGTTATTTTCTCCACTCTGTATGTAATTCCAGAATTAATTCTGTAGCTGGTTGCAGCCATCATAATTGAACCTGTGTTTCCTTTCTGCAAGTATTTGGACTAGGACTAATAACTAAAGGCTAGTATGGTACATTCACTTTCGATACATTTAAATTAAATGGTGCATTCTGCACTATTAGTTTACAATTGCAATGGGTTTGTATTTTTGGACATATGGCTTTGGCCTCTTTAGAAGGAATAGGCCGTGGAAATTTTCCTTGGATTATGTAATAGATCAGCCACACGTCAAATTTTGGCAGTTTTCAATTAGTGTGTTTGCTGAATTGAACTCTCTAATGCTTCAGGAACCCTGAGAACAATGCTAAGTATATATGTATGTGCCAAAAGAGACATCATTTTATCAAAAAGGTACCACTTACAGATTGCATTCATAAAGGGCTGGGATTGGAGTTGCTATGTTTTTTACCTAGGCTTACTGTTATTTCAACATATTATTCAGTTCCTGCTCCAAACAGAACCTTTAAACTCTTCCATTATCTACAGCTTAAACCCCTGTCCATCTCTTATGCACTGTTCTCTTGTCATTTCATATTAATTGCTTAAGGTAAGTTTAGTTCCCTGTCATTTCCTTCTGGTGTGCGAGCAGTTGTTTTTTTCATCTACTCTGTACTTTTATTCAACTTAATAATGCATCAGGAATTATTTATTTTATATAGAGATATTTATGGGATTTAATTAGGATAATGATTTAATGACAGATTATTGCTCTGATGTCTCTGATCGGTGATCCTAGTGTAATGCAGTGATAAAAATCAAAATCTATCTATTTAATTTAACACAGTTTTTTTATTTTAAGTGATATAGATGGTGCCTTGTGTCTGTGCAATTGATTTTTGTTTGATACTCGTAGGGTGATAAAGATAAGAAAATTGAAGAACTGACCAAAGAGTTGGAGCGTCAGGAGCAATTATGTGCAGTTTACAGAGAAAAGTTGCTTAGTTTTATGAATAATGTTGAGGAGCAAACTGAAGAGCTCTCTTCAAAAATTCAAGTTATCGTTGACAATGTGAGGAAAGTTGAATCTGAAGTGCAAAAGTTTTCCCACCGTAGATAGCCCTGGTATTTAACCAATGTCATTTAGTTTCAGTCATGAATACATTTTCATCATGCACAGTATGTATTAGAGTCAATTTATTTCACTCAATTTTTTAGCATTCAATGCACTGTAACACTACTAATTAGATGCAATAGAAATTTCACACGGTTGTCCATATCTCTCTAATTTATTCATTGATTTAAAGGAAAATGCAGACAGTGGTTTTTTTTCCAGATTACTTCTTCGTTGATTTAAGGGAAGTTTATCCGAGTGAGCAAGTATCGCTCCCAAAATTTTGGAACTTCAGTTAATAAATGGCGTGATAGCTCAAGGTCAGTGCTCAAATTGTGGTTTGCATGCCTCTAAACAATCAAGAATTGACTCATACTTCTCTAAAGTTATCATTATTGGAAAATCAACACACTTGTTCCCTGCTTACATGTTTAAACCACAACACTTGATATGCCTTACTTTCTCATTAATAATGCATCTCACTCTGTTTCATTGGTAGTTGGTACACGAGAATCTTACTTGTACATTTGGCTAGTTTTGACAATGATTCTATATAAAATGAAGTTTCAACTCAATTATCCTCAATTTATGAACTAGACATCAACATGAAACCGTGCATGTTTGATAAAGATACAATGTCTCACTGATATGTGCTTTTTTATTTGTGGGCAATCTTCAACTTAACTGATTTTTTGTGAAATTATCAAGTAGAATAGAAGGAGAGTACACTTTCCTACTCACATTGAGGTGGACCCCCACCATATGGGTCCCACCACAATGTGAGTAGGAGGGAGAGCAACAATTCTCATAATGCATGCCTTGGTTTCACTTTTGTATAGCGCAAGGAGCAGTACCAGCAGCATGTAAATTTGCAATGAACTTGATCTCTTGCACTGAAATTGGAGAATTGAATGTTATGAATAAGCACAAGTTATACAACTGAGCATCCTCTCTTTTGCCAACAAAAGTCATACAGTTAGACAATAATTTTGTACAAATGTCATATAAATGGCACTCTCTAATCTTTAAGCTATCAAAAGTATAGTTTTGGTCATCTCTATCTTAAAAATACAAAAATATGTGCAACCTAGTGCTGTATTATTCCCGGGCTATTGTACATGTAACTATCAAACTTCGGATTGAAATTTGTGAACATTATTAACGATAGGTTTGGTTTTTCCTGATTGTGGTTCAGTTTGCTCGTCAACATTTTCTAGAAAACTATTCAGCAGCCCCTTTATAGCTCACATAATCGATCTTGACGTGCAGCTTTGTAGTGTCTTTTTTTTTAATTTATTAGAGGCTTTTATAGGCCAAAATAACACTGCGGGTTATATAACATAGATAATCCTTCCCCTTGACTCACTAAATTGGTGAAAATAAGTATAGTCGATACAATTCAAATATGAGACCTTCCACTCATTACATAAGTAAGAAGACCAATCAGATTACCACCTGATTTGCAGCTTGTAGTATCTTTTGTATCCTAATGTATTTTTATTAATTATATTGTTTGTTAATATAATATTTATAATATTTTCGGAGGTCGAGAGAGTATTTCTTGAAATGTTATCCTCTTAATGTGACTCTTAATGTGACGTTTGACAATATTTAATTGATTTCTTTTAAATTTATTTTATGTTTACTAACTAATCAAATAACTATTTTCATTGAGCACGTATGATTTGAAAAACTATATAAACAGCTAGGTACTAACAATTAATATTATCAGTTAGTAAAATAGTTAACCATTAATAAAATTATTATTGTGGAACAAGGTTTTAAGAGATACATTTGCAAAGAATACACACATCATCATCATCATTAGTGTTTTCATAACCTTCTTTCAGCTAAGAACAAATTACAATAACCCCTATTTTGTTGGTTATCATGCTCTGAAAACAAGTATGCAAGAGTTTACTTGATAAAACAATAGTTATGTTCCTCATCGTATCAGAGTTAGGGGTGAGTAGGGGTGAGTAACATTTGGCTTCTAACCGAAAACTAAATAAGTTGACTCATTTTGATTAGATTTGAATTTAATTTTCAATTTTAGTTTGGTTATCATATATAACTAACTAATTTATTTTTAAACTCAAAATGTTAATTTGATTTGGAATAGTCAAATTTAAATTGAATCAAATCGATCAATTCAGTTTATATCGGATTATATACCCTTCGATTACTATAAAAATATGTTTAATTGGCTCGAACTTGGGGTAATTTGCTTCGATTTAATTCAATTAATCGAATGCTTAGCCTATACAAAATGCAATTTTAGGAAAGAATCATCTGCCCTATTCTCCAAGAAAAGTAGGGGCAAAATCAAGTGGAGTGAGGAGCATCGCATCTAACGAAAAAAAAAAAAAAAAAAAATTTTCTGGTAAAGTAAGTGTTGTGGCGAAAAACTAAGGTTATTGCAAGAGTTTTACTTGATTGTTAAAACAATAGTTATTGTTCTCAATCGTATCAGGTTAGGGGTGGAGTAGGGGGTGAGTAACATTTTGGCTGTGCTCTATACTCAGAAAACCTTTACACAGTAGTAGACTCCATATTATTGTAATTAGCATTTGAATTTTATAATTTTCAATTTTTAGTTTGTTCTCATATCATATTTATAACTGAACTAATTTATTTTTAAACTCAAAATGTAATTTGAGTTGTGAGTTAATAGTGCGAGAGATTTCTAGAATTGTATCAAATCGAATCAAATTCAGTTTATTATCGAAATTAATATTACACCTTCGGGGATATCTATTAAAAATATGTGTTAATGTGCTCGAGACTTGATCAGAGTAATTTTTGCTTCCTGAGATTTAACTATCAAGTTATTCGATTGTGCTTTAGCCTATTAACAAAATGCAATTTTAGAAAGAATTCATTTTGGCCCTTGCCCCTAAAATTCTCCAAGAAAAGTAGGGGGCAAAAATCAAGATGAGTGAGGAGAGCATCGCAATCTCACTATGCGTGACAAGAACACAAAAAAAAAATAAAAAATATGGTTTCTGTGATTAAAAAATGACCATTTTTTTGGTTCCTCAGAAGAAGATACAAAATATATACGTCAATACACAAAAAAGTTACTTGTTTTGTCTCTACAATAAAGTTAATAAAATAAAAATTGTGTTATTTCGTCTTACCAATCAACAATTTATTTTCTAATTCTCTCTACCCTCAGCGAATTTTGAACAATTCACTCTTTACAGAGGTCACTTCGCAATGAATTTTGTGTTTCTTAAAAATCTAGACCGGCCAACCCTCAAACCAGTTTCTTCACAATAAAATTTGACATCAAGAGTCAGGGATCGGGATCGGACCTCTAACAGGTTGTGCCACACCCTCTTTTAGATGAGAAACCCGTTTGTAAGATATACGATGCTAATTGCTGTGGCCACCCGACTTTCTTTACCAATGCTATATCCTTGTATATGTGTGGTGGAAATTGGGTGTTCAATCCTCGATTTTTAATGGGGGCATGGTTTCCAGTTTTAGTTCAATGTGAACTCAATTATGTGTAAAAAATACACACTTCCTCCAGTTGGTTAATAATTAAAATAAAACTTGTTATTTTATCAGATTAATTTACTTGAAATAAATTATTTTATTTTAATATTTTATTAATTACTTTAACATTTCTGTCTCAATTTATATATATCATACTTCTATGTTGCAAACACGCATTTATTATCTGCCTAAAATTTTATAAATTTTCTATGATTTGTGTGTGTGTATTGGGTTCTTATTTTTTACAGATTAAATTATTTTACTCTTATTTTTATATTTATAAAATAAGTTTTTATGAATTATTCTGATGCGTTTTATATAGTGTTAAAAGTTATATTTAGTAAATTTATTTATGCCGATAATACAAGTTATTGAAAATCCCTTCTAATGTTAATAAAATATTATAGTTTACAGAACAATTTATTTATATGAGTTATTTAGTTTCAAATTATTTTGCGTGTGAGAAAGCTTATTTTGAGTGTGTACACTAGAATTTTAGTTATTTATATGAATATTTGCTATATTCGATAAAAAAAAAAAAAAAAAAAAGGTTTCTTATTAAAAATGACATTTTGGTTCCTCGAAGAGTAAAAATTTACGTCATACAAAAAGTTATGTTTTGCTCTCAAAAAGTAAAAAAAAAAATTTTATTCGTCTCCAAACATTATTTTCTAATTTTCACCCGGAATGAAACAATCACCTTACAGAGGTCACTGATGATTTTGTTTTCTAATCTAGACCGGCCCAACCAGTTCCACAATAAAATTGACATCAAGAGTCAGATCGGGTCGGTTCAGTTCCACACCCTCTTTAGATGAGAACCGTTGAAGAACGATCTATGCGGCCGCTTCAACCGGTAATCTGATATTTGTGAATGGGTCAACCGATTTTAATGGGAGGAGTTTAGTTAGTCAATGCATTTGTAAAATCCCTTTTATGTATAATTAAAATAAAAACTTTATTATGTTAATTTACTTGAATAAATTATTTATTTTAATATTTTATAATTCTTACATTTCTCTCAATTATTATATCACTTCTTGTGCAACATTTATACTGCTAAAATTTATAATTATGATTTATTTTATTGTCTTATTTTTACAGATTAAATATTTTACTCTTATTTTTATTTATAAAAGTAGTTTTATGTAATATTCTGATCTTTTTATAAGGTTAAAAGTATATTTGTTAAATTTATTATGTATACAAGTTATTGAAAATCCCTCTAATGTTAATAATATATAGAAATATTTATTTTTATTTTAGTTTCAATTATTTGCTAAAGCTATTATTGTAGTGAATTTTAGTTATTATAATATTTTGTATTTCAATAATTTTACTACTTTAATTCACATATATAATTTTTAATAAATTTTTTAATTTTAAATTGTTTTATATAATATTTAATATATTTAAAAAATATCAGTTTGACTTTCCGCCCAATCATGATCAACCATTTAACCTCATCTTCCTTTATCTAATTGATGACCGAACGGAATCTGAAAGCCTTGACAAACTCATTATACCAATGACTTGACGAAAGGATCTAAGAAGAATCTTGATCTGTATGAAACGACATTGTCGTTCTTTCGCAGAAAAAAAGAAAACTATAACGTTAGACAGTTGCCGTTCAAAGGGAATTAAAAAGTGGAAAAACTAAATCTGTGGGCCCAAACGCAGCAAATAAAGATGTGATCGCGTACATCTCCGGTCTATCATGTCTGCGCTGCCGCTTCAACACTCTGCAATCCTAGGGTTTTCACTGCTTCTGGTACGCTAATCAACACGTTAGTTTTTTGAAGCCATTTTATTTTCTTTTTTAAACTTTTTTTTTTCTCTTCTTTTTCTTCCTCCACGACTCTTTACTAATTACAATACAATTTTCCATTCGGTTTCCTAGAAAATTAGGGCTAAGAAAAAATGAATAGAAAAGGAGAATTTAAATATTTGATCTTCAAAGCTAGATTTAGAGCCTTTGCTTTCATATTCTCTGCCATATTAATATTGTCGCAAATGTCTTACTCCAATTACTACAAACCCATCTCAGGTACGGGCTTAAGATTGTACACTTGTATTGCTGACTGCAGACCATATTTTTCTTCAGTAATTACAGTATAAGGCTTCAAACTTAATTTGAATCGTTAATGGGAACTTGTAAATTAGACATTTTTAATGATTTGGGTGAAAGTTCTGTAGAATAGTGTATTGTACTGTTAGCTAGATATATATACTTTCTCTTCTTAACTTTTATGGCTAATATTAGTGGATTTTGGTGACCTTGATGTGTTATGCATGACTCAAGTTTAATTTTTTTTTTTCTTCCTCTGATCTCATTTATTTAGATTTAAATTTCTGCAACTTACAAGGTTAGAATCTTTAGAAATTCTGAAATTCTGCTAGAAGCTTCATTCAAATGAGGCCTTCTTGACTAGGATCTAATACTTCGTTTCAGAAAGTTATATTTTCCTCATTAACTGACCTAATAATGTTGTGTACCAGTTTATGATAGGTACAGTTTTAGCCATGTTTGGTTCACTTTAGAATTGAGAATGGAATGCCATTCTTCAATTGGATTCCTTTTTTTTTGTTTGGTTCACAAGGAAGATAAATTTGTTTGATATTTTTATTTTTGAATGACATAAGATTTATATTGAATTTGAATCAATTTTTTTAAGTATAATTCTTTAATAGCTAACAAGTTCTGTTTAGTTGTTTAAGAAATAAATGAACTTGGAAATTCAAAGGAAATCAATTTCCATTTAAAGGATGAGACTAGCTTGCATGTAGAGTACTCTCCCTTATATTCCAGGATTTCAGCAAGTACAAGTACTTGAACATTTCGGTCAACGGTAAAATCCTCGACTACCCTAAGTGAGCTGTGGTGTAAGGCCACTTTGTGAAAATGGGACGAAGGTTGGATCATCCTCGATCAAACTTCTTAGGACCCTAATTGTTGTTTTGATTTAGCAGTTTTCATGCTAAATAAGCTTTTGGTAAAGATGCAGGAGCTTGTTATTATTTTCCTCGGTTGTTTTAATACTACAATCTCGTTGCTTATTCTGAGCTCAAAACATATGATCTATGCAAATAAACTAGGAGATTGAAAATCTGATTTTGCTTTCCTGGATGCAGCTATTGGATGGATGAGAACATTGTCTAAATCTGCATCAAGAGCGTAATGGAGAGCTCAACTAATCAAACATTTGATTCAGATGACAGCGAAAGGTGTTTTCAAGATTATGATGGGCCTGAATTTGCAGATGATCTCTCGAAAAATATCGATTTATGTTTTGGCGAAGTTGACAAGATCATAGAGCAATCTAATGAAAATTTGCTTTCAATGAGTGATGTTGTGGAACCATATATTGGCATGGAGTTCAAGTCAAGAGATGATGCTCGGGAATTTTATATTGCTTATGGCAGGCGTACAGGGTTTACTGTTCGCATCCATCATAACCGGCGGTCTCGAGTAAATAACATGGTTATTGGTCAGGATTTTGTTTGCTCTAAAGAAGGTTTTCGTGAAAAGAAATACATGTACAGGAAAGATAGAGTTCTTCCACCCCCACCGATAACCCGAGAAGGATGTCATGCAATGTTGAGGCTAGCTTTAAGGGATGGAGATAAATGGGTCGTAACCAAATTTGTAAAAGAACACAATCACACATTAATGTCTCCTAGTAAAGTACCATGGCGAGGATCTGCAAAAAATTTGGTTAGTGAGGTATGTTATCTTTCTCATGACAGGTTGAAATGCTTTTGATGTTGCTCGTTATTCTTCTATGATATTATTCCCAAATATCTGGAGTTTTTGTTCAACATGATGTCGATCAATTGGTTGTATAAAAGCTCATTTCTAAACTGGAAACCTATGGAGATTTACTCTTAGCTGGGAACTTACGGGAGATTTACTCTGGACAAATCAGGCCTGTCACCAATTATTAGAATTCAGTCACAAACTAAGTCCTAAAATTCTGTACACTGGTTTTGGTTAGCGTGCGATATTCATTCCCTCTGTACAATACAATATAGCTAGCCTCCAGCCTGGTGTTGTAGGCACTTTTTTGGGCACATTTAATATAGGAAATTGAGTTGGAATGAAATTCTGGTAAAATTATTATTCTGACTGTCAATCAGAAATCAGTTCCCTAGATCAAATGACGAGTCCTGGATGAGAAATCCCAAATTTTCTGACTTGTGTTCGTATTTATCAAGTGCAGAATGATTGTCATGCATAATCATCTGAACCAAATTATATGGCAGTTTGTACTTAGTTAACATTTGTTTTATTCTTATTTTGATAATCTCTCCCCTAAAATTCTTTATTTTTCAGTATGAGAAGGATCGGAGGATACGAGAACTAACCATTGAGCTCAACAGTGAGAAACAGCGATGTAAACGTCAGTGTGCTGCTTACCAGGAACAACTGCACATGGTTTTGGCTTTTATTGAGGAGCATACTAATCACTTGTCAAGTAAAGTTCAGGATATTGTTAACAATGTAAAAGAACTTGAAAATGAGCTGCTGGAAGATTCTGATTGCAAATATGTCTAGAGCAGATTGTACATTTGTTTTCCTTTTATAGGCGTCCATACAACTCCGGTTTCTTTCTCTCTCTTTTTTGTCCCTATCCAAATTTAACTTTTGGTCACGGTGAATGTCTTGCTCTTTAGGTTTAACGTTTGCAGGTCTCTTAATTATTACACACCTAGCGAATATCTGTTAGCTATTTTATTAACATTATATGAATTAATTTGGAGTTAACGTTTTATAAATACTATTTTAGTCTAAAATGCTATTTCAATCTCTAAAACACTATGTTACTGAGCTATATAATAATTTTTTATAAAATGCTATTTTATTTTTTAAAATATTATATTACTGAACAATATAAAAAATAGCATCTATAAAAAAATTGTTGCCGAATACAACTTTAGTCTTTAATTGCATGCATAAAGCTTGGCGTTGATAAATTGGGAAAAAGAAAATTCAAAAGCAAATAAATGAGAACAAACGCATTCTCTGAAAATTTAAGGAAAAGATGATGAAATAAATAAGGACAGTTTTGTTAAGCCTGAGTACTAACCAATAATCATATCAAAGAAAATAAATATTGAAGAAGTGCATAAAACCAAAATGGTGAGTATTATAGCTTTGTGCACATCTCCTATCTCTTCTTCCTCTTCAAAAGAGAAGCAGCACGAAGAAACATACGGTCAACCTCATCGAAGGTAGGTGACTGCAAGTCTTTCTCAGATTCTGTGGCCCATTTTGAGTCCTGAGATAGTTGGCGCAAATGATCCTCAAAATCTTTAGGTTCTCCATTACCTTCAACTGGGAACTTTTCAAACTCATCCAAATAAAGAGGGCGTCTTGATTTATCCTGAGTCTCGGTTTCAGAGTCAGTCTCAAAAATATCTGATAGATCTTCTGAATCTGATGACATTCCAAGATCCATAGGAGATTCGTCCTCAGAGCATTTCTCTTGCCTGTCTATAATTTCTTCCAATTTTTCTGAATTCTCAAATGGAATGTTTGAAATGCTCCCAGATTTTCTACCGCTAAACTCGGTCTTCACAGTTTCTTCAACTGAAGTAGTTTCAAGTTTGCCCCTAGCTTCTTGTGCTTGAAGCAATTCAAGATCCTGTTCAAGTCGAGGGATATATTTCCTGACAGCCCTAAGGCCATCCCTGTACTTTGATTTATCCAAAGCCTGCACAAGATAGATTGGAAAGAATAGGTAAATCAACCGACACAAAAATTCAGTATTAAAGCTCTCTTTTGAATTTATAAGTTTAACAAGAATGTGTGTGCATGTGTGTGGCCTTTGTTTCCATGCTTTATCTGTTTCAATTACAAAGTATTTATCAACCACTGGAAGAATTCTATAAAGGGTGATCAGGCAACAAATAAGAAAAATGATTATGCGTAGTTCTCCCAAAAAAATATTTGATGACGTCAGATCAGGGGGGGAAAAGATCCTAATTTACTCAAACTGCAGTGAGGAAGAAAGCAAGACTATTTCCTGTTCATATGATTTTTGTTAACTTTGAAAAGCTGATGACAAGTTATTTGGGAATAAAGAAAACAGACAGCAAGGACAATGATGACCAGCAAGGACAATGATGACCTTCTTTCTGGGAAGAGTGATCCTAGGTGACATTATTTCTGTTGGTGGCTGCGTATAATTCTTCCCTCTGTACATGATTATTGTGTTCTCTTCATGAATATCTAGCACAATCCCTCCAGTCAATCGTGCTAGCTCAGCAGCAATCTCCTTGACCTCCTCTGGTGAGAATGTCTTCACAACCACCTGCAGAGTTTGATGTTTCTTCCAGTGCAAGTGCATGTTAAGGATTAAACCCTGGTATATTCCTCGTCTTCCAACTGGGACGTAATTCTTACACTTGAGGCCCATCTTTAAAAAGAAGAAATGCTCTTCTGGGGTCAATATCTCTGGATCATGAGTTGTTTCTGATGATTCTGCAGGCTCAATCTTTTTCAAAGCTTGAACAAGCCTTTCCTCTTTTTTTCGAGCCTATAGGAAGGAACTGACAAATCATATTCAGAAGGTGGATCAAGAAAGCATACCATAATCAGTTAACAATAGCTTAAAATTTCAACTAGGTAGTTAACCTCGACATCCCCATCACCCCAACCAAGAAGAGAAAAAAAAATACTAAAAATATATGCTGCATAAAAATACAATCAGGAAGCAAGTATTTATTCTAAAGGTCTCTAGAAATCATTATTCCAATTGACCAACTCAAATTGGGAAAGCAAAATGGGAAGAATTTCTCCTTATACATTATACAACATACTAAAAGAAAAAAGCTGAAGTCTACCTTTTTCAACTTGTACAATAGTTTCTCTTCTGTTGTCATTCTTTCATACTCTTTCTTCTTTTTCCACCTGAAGAACTTTAGCCACCTTACAACAGCTCGTTTTCCTTTCAACTTCTTCCTCTTCACTTTAGCACCACCAGAATCATCAACAATTGTGCTTTTCCCACAATCAGTTGGTGGCAACCCATCTTTGTGAACATCATTCAAAGTTGAACCAGTGTGTATCCCTAGATGTCCCACTAGAGGAGGCCCTTTAATATGACAGAATGGTCCAAGGGCAGGTGCCTGAGCAGAAGCCTTGCATATAACATCAATCAAACTAATAAAGTGTGAGTTCATCTTCATACAAATGCTGTCCAAATAAATATCATTTCAATTTATACTTTCAAGTTCATTAAAAATAGCAGAACAGTCCTCTTAGCCGTTTAATTTCAAAATTTCACACCTAGTATTCTTGATTCATTTGAAGGAATTTGTGCCACACCAAAGAGAAAAATGATACTTGATAAACCAACCAAATGACTCAAATGAGTATTTTTCTAAAAAAAGCATTTTCTTCAAATAGAACTCGTATTCCATTCATAACCGAAGTAGTTTTATGAAGGGAGAAATCAAGCAAGACTGCTGAAGAATTTTCATTGACAGCAGATTTGGAAATTAGGTTTTTCACCGACCAATGAACAAATCAAAATTACATTAGATGAAGGGGACTTAGGAAATCTACTATTAGCCAAAACATGTTATCCAAAAATTCAAGGCTTACCAGCCAAAATATCTTCATACATTATTAAATATAAATATATAGTACAAACAAACAATTACCTAATTTAAGATGCAGGCATAATTTCAGATTTCATTTTCAATAAGAATTCCAAAAAAAAGAAAAAAGAAAAAAAAAGAAGTAAATAATTCAGCGGCTAATCACAGCAAAAAATAAGTAATACCAAAAACTGAAAAAGCAAAGGCATTACAAAAGGAAACATGCCAAATCCAATTTAAGAGCTCTCAATTATATGATTTTATTAAAAAGAGAAATACCTGGTTTTATGATGAAGTGACTTAGGAAAGAAATAAACCATTAGCAAAGGATTAGATGACAAATTCTTAAGCTGGAGACATTTGGTGAGTGCCACTGATGCTGTAGATGCTAAAACCCTCTTTACCACCATTTTTTTCTTCTGCTTTTCGGTGGGTTTTCTCTGTTTCAGCACACTCGTAGTTTTTAATCTCTTTTATTCTTGCCAAATGTTGAAAGCCCTCCAATTTGATTAACCTGTTTAATTTTAGGAAAAAATGAACAAAAGAAAATTTACATCTTTATCTTTTGATGATTGGTTAAGTACAGTTTCATCTTAGTCTATTACTACATCCATTTTTAGTTTTCTGATTACAAAATTCCAGCCAAAAAGGAAAATAATAAGGAAAAAAAAACTCGTTTCTTCATGTGCTCAATAATAAAATAAAATAAAGCAGAGATACTAAACTTAAAAAAAAAAAAAAAGAATAATTCATGTAATTACTATATGTTATCCTTTTCTTTTAATATTTAGATGTGATATCATATATTAAATTTTATGGTCTGATAGTAAGTGGACTTTACATTGATGACATGTATGTAAACCTGAAATTTACTCTTAGAATTCATACGTCAGGCGTGATCTAATATACTAATACTCCAGGTAAATAAATTTAGAAAAAAAAAATCAACCATTTTCATAAGAATCATAACTAAAGTATTTATACCATAGGACCAACAAATAAGATAAGGAAATTACTAGCCCACACCTCGAGAATTGATTTCAGGTGAACTTGGATTAAATATCCCCCCTACATCTTCTTTCCATTGCTGTGAACCATGTTGGTTTTTAGAATTTGCTTTGCAAATTTTATCTAAATGTACCATTTATTATTCAGGAATTCCATGAATTGTTGAAATAAATATCCAAATCACTTAAATTTACTCAAATTGAAGTAAAATAGTAGTGAACAAAAAGTATCAAAGTCACTAACAACATGAAAACCAGGGCGAAAACCAACAGCCACTGCCAATATAGCATCCATTTTTTTCTTAAAAACATAATTTATATCATTAACAAGAAAAAATTAACAGTATATCGAGTTAACCGCAACTAATCAAATCACAAGAAACAATCTGGTCCAATTCAAAGAGAGTTTCAAAGAAACGTTAATAAATAACATATCATCGACACTATAAATTCAAAGCACAAATTAAAGACTGAAATTAATCGTAATAAGATTACAAAATCAATTATCCAAATCAAAAACCCTAAATAACAGCGATTATACTTACCCCAAGAGTTATACGAAATTGATGTAGAGAATGGAAAGATCGGCAGGAGTGAAACAAGGCACTCCAACTTCATTGAACCAGTCCTTAGTAAATGGTATGGCCGGTGAAGGACTGAAGGGAACGGAGACGTGGAGCGAGTCAGCGAGTGGCGGGTCTGGACGTGGAAACGGCTGAGATGCTACGTCTGTGATAATGATATGAGAGAAAATGACCAAAATAAGCGTGTGAAGGCGGTCTCAGAGGCGCGGAGCGAGCAGCGGGTTGGAATTGGGAAAATAAACGAAAAATGTAAAACTAAGACATTTGAAATAAAAATAACTTTCACTAAAGTAAAAAATATTATTCCAGAAAAACAATTTCCTTTCATAAATTTATTATAATAAAAGAGTTCTTAGATAAAGGGAAACTTAAATTATTTTTAAAAAGTTACTTTCTTTTCAGAAGGGGAAAGTAGTTTTTAAAGGTGAATTGTTTTTTAAAAAATAAACAAAGAGAAATTTAAAAAGAATTACATACCATTTAATTGAAAATATAAAATCCATTTTCAAATAAAATTAAAAATATGAAATTCGTTTTTGAATGAATTATTATTTCTAAATCATACAATTTGAATTGAAGTCAATTTAAAAATCAATAATGATTTTTAACTCTATTAAAAAAATATTACATTTAATATATTTGTAATATTATTATATAAAAATCAATAAACAATATTATTATAATTATTTTTTCTTTTTCAAATCAATGTGCCAAATATAGCGGGGAAATGTATAAATATAAGTAGAGTAATTAAGTAGAATGAAATTCTCAAAGTTGACTGGTTATTTATTTATTTATTTATTTTTACTTTAATGGGGATAATCCTTATTTACTTTTAATGTATGGATCTATTCTTAAATGAAATTATTAGTTAATTGTCATTTAAAATTTTCATTTTTTGTTATTATTTTGTCTCATTTTTCACAATAGGAAAACAAAATGTCTTTGATAAATTTTTTATGTATATATGAGAATTTTAATCTAAATGTGATGTTATTTTACAGGATTCATTTTAAATTCTATCAAATTTGATAAGAATTGATTTTAAATGGTATAACAGGAGGTACAATCTCTCTTGTTCTGTAGAACGAAAATGTAATTGGCCTTTCTAATAAAATTTGCTTTCCAAGGATCGAGTTTGTGTTCTCACTTTTATGGGGTTTGAAATCACTTACCGCTCCAACCAACACCTTATTGATTGGATTTTAATATTTTTTTCAAACCAAAAATATAAAATATGGAGGAATTCAATTGAATTCAATTAAATTTTATGGAATTTATTTAAACTAAATAAGTTGTTGGAGATTTAATCATGTTACCAAATGGAATTAACATTGCAATTTCAGAAATAAAATGCAGCGTTTTAATTTCAATTTATTTGAATTGTTTGGTTTTCTTAGCAGAAAATCCCAAAATGATAAATTGAATAAGTTATTTTCAAATGTGATAAATTCTTATTGAAATGAGGGTTAACATATATACTTGAAAAAAATAATAAAGTCGGACACTTTTTAAAAAATTCATAATTTCATTTGTTTGGTCCATAAATAAGGACATGGATCGGATCTAGGCAATTTTTTCCTACATTTTAATTAGTTGTTTATTATGATTATCACTTTTGAAATTGAATTCTAAGTATATATATACATGCTTTATCGTATGTTCTGTAACTTATTATTAGACATGTTTGGAAGGAGGAATATTTTGTTCTTATGAATGATAGAAATAATAAGAATTTGTAAGTTTGCCAATTTAATGAACTTAAAAAAATAAAATAAAATTAAGGGAGAACAAGATTAATTAAAAAAGAAAAAAAAAATAATAAGATTTCCCTTTTGCCTATGAATTGAAAACAATACAAATAGCTATAAAAGCTAAATACAAGAAGTGAAAACAACACAACTTGATTAACAACTAAGACTTAAAGAATATATAAGCACCAAGAACACATAATTTTTTACATGTTCTTAGAACTGAAAATGATACAAAGAGGTCTCACCCTGCAAAAGGCTCTCCTCTTTCTATCTTCATCAAAACATTTGTGAACATATATATATATTATATATATATATATAAACCATGTTTATTACCTTCTCTATTATTGAAGAATTGATGATAATTAACTTGATCCTAGGGCAGCAAACCCACCACCTTTCATCATTTGTCTAAACTCCTTATAATTAACCATTCCATCTCCATCAACATCAACTTTCTTTATCATCGTCTTGCAATCTTCTAGGGTTCTTCCTTGTTTCAGCCCTAATGATGCCAAAACTGACTTCAACTCATCCACTGTAATAAACCCATCTCCATTTTGATCGAATACGTTAAATGCTTCTCTCATATCTTCTTCTTCATCTTTCTCACTCATTATCGTCTCATACAATTCTCCAAATTCTTCAATATCCACAAACCCATCTCCATTCGCATCTATTTTTTCGATCATTTGGATTAAATCCTTGTCCGGTATAAAAATACCTAAGTTTCGTAGTGAATCGCTTAATTCTTTTCTTGTGATCTTGCCATCTCCATTCTTATCAAACATCTGGAAAACCCGCCGTAGCTCAGCCGGATCCATGCCCATCATTCAATATGTATATAATAAGTTAATAACCTTCAAAGAGAGCTTGGAAAGGAAACTCTTGATAATCAAGAAACCACAATCTATATATCTATATGTTATGTAAAGATCGAAACACCCTAGGATATATTTCTTCTTTAGAGAGAAGTTTCAAAGGCAAAAGGGAAAAGGGATACTAAAAGGAAAGAAACTAAAATCTCAACTAAGGCACAAAGCGAAGATATGAAAATAACAAGGTTGTTAATATAAAGAAAATGAAGGGTAGTAAAGTGAGAAAAACGAATGAGTGGTGGTGATGATGGAAGGTTAAATTAGTGGATTAAAGGAAATTAAGGAAGTAATTAGTGATTTAAGACAAAGGAAGAAACTAAAATCACAATTTAATTAAGCATATTTATAAAAGAATGTTTTATATATTTGTGTTGAATGAGTCCAATTAAATGGACGTTTACTAATCTTGGCTTGAAGTCGGTATTTTAAGATTAGACAATTAGGAGACTTAATTTGTGGTGTGAGAATTGGTGCTGGCCGGCTTTTCTTGGATTCTACTGACCGTTGGTAGTTATAAGAAGAGATTATTGCTCAGTTGACCCGGCAAGAAAGTCTAGTTACGTAATAATACAGCGTCTTGAGTGCAAGTTTTAACTATGGATTTCTTTACATATTTGAAAAAAAACACTTTGCTATTCTTTGAATACCGAATAATTAACACTATATATATAAAATTTATATTGAGATGCAGCTCATGTGCCATGGTCCAATTATATATTCATATTTGAAAAAAAAAACGACTTCTGCTATTCTTTTGAATATTTGTAAGTGAATTAACCCACTTTATATATAAAAATTTATATTGAGATGCAGCTCATGCTGCCTATGGGTACGTCCACTATTCTCTATTATAATAATAATATATAGTAATATGAGCGACTATTATATTATACTATATAATTTAATATTTCCTATTTAATAACTCATATTAATAAGTTATATTTTTAATATATTTTTTATAGTATTTAAATTTGGACCATAGGCACGATGTAGTCTGCATCTCAATATATAAAATATATAATTGGACCATGGCACATGAGCTGCATCTCAATATAAATTTTACCAACTTTATCTAAATATTACCCTAAATGGAGCTTGGAGATACATATACTATACCTTAACTAGGCATGCATAAAAAAATTACTCTTACATTGGCCCCAAGAATTTGCCTACTACTTGAGTGTTACTTTTCTTGAATTTTTCTTAGAAAAGTCTTTCTCTAAAACAAAATACTTTGAAAATAACAATTAAAATAATTGATTTTGTTTAATTTTGTCAAGAAACTCTTCGCCAACGATAAATTCAAGAAGAACATATTAAACTCTTGTTAGAAGAAGATGACAAATTCAAGGAGAACATATTAAACTCTCGTTAAGAGAACGGTTACATTAATTTTTATTTCCTCCCTCTTAAAAGATAATCTATCCTTTTTTTTTTTTTTTTTTTTTTATTTTTTTATTATTTTTTTTTTTTTAGTTTTGTTCTAAAAAAATATAATTCACTTTCTTTGTTTTTGCATTATAGTTATTCCCTTAAACTCCTTAATCAAAATTTTATTTTATTTTCATATAACTCATTAATTTCTTATCTCATCTATTCCGCATAAAAATAAAAATGCTAACATTTGAGATTTAGTTGTAAAAAAGGCGATCATATAATAGAAAAAATTTATATAAAATAAAATTATCTTTTAATTATATAGTTATAATTTATTTGAATTTTTTTTTTTTTTTTTTTTAGTTTGTTCTAAAAATATAATTCACTTTCTTTTTTTGCATTATAGTTAATCCCTTAAACACTTATCAAATTTTATTTTATTTTCTATAACTCATTAATTCTTACTCATTATTCCGATAAAATAATTGCTCATGTGTTATTTAAAAAGGGTATAATAGAAAAATTATATAAATAAAATTATCTTTTAATCATAATAGTTTATATTTATTAATAGAGTAATTAGATTCCAAAGTACCAATATGAAATGGTTGTCTTATTGTATATATCAGCTAAATATAAATTTAATATTTAGATGTTTATTACTACAATGCAATTTTTAAGTATATACTAGAGAATATAAGTATGCAGCAAATATAAAACAATATAACAAAAATTATTAACAATATAGCTCATGAATACAATATTAAGAGTAATGTTATCATTTCACTTAGTCAAAGCAGGTGATTGGCTATACTCAAGAATTTGACCACCCGTACTTAAAATTCGAATCATTTTCATGTATATATAAACAGAAGACCTGAAATAATATAATTGTGCGGACTCGGTCCACCAAATGACCAAATGTTCAAGTTAGCTAGACTCTGACTCTCAGGATTAGGAATAATTCAACATTTGTGTATTGTACATCCTGTATTCTTTTTTTTTTTTTTAAATAATAAAAGAGAACTTTTCCTCCTGATGTTTGGATATTTAGGAGAAAAAGAAAGAAAATTATGTCAAAAATTATGGTTTTAAGCTTTATTTTTTACAAAAAGTACTATAAACTGGAATAAAATTATAATTTTAATTATTTTTTTTTTCAAAATTTGGAGAGAATATATTTCCTTTCGTATTTTTCATTCCCAAACCAAACAAGTGAAGAAACTCAATTTTCTTCTCCGATATTTTCCACCAATCCAAACATTATATAGGAGTCTATTCTCCAGTCAAAGTATTAGGTTCTAGTGGAGTCAAGTCAACAGTATTAGCTCTACTTTTGAGTAGAGTCATCCACCATGGAAACTTCAAGTCATCCCCTTCAATAGGGGGTGGAACTTAGACTTTGAAATCAACAAGAGAAACAAATGAAAATCAAACAATTGTCAGCGACAATTATGTTACAATTAAATAAAAACAAAAAAGTGAGTTAAAACGGAAAAACCAAAAATGAATGTAGTCCAACTATGTGCCCAATAGGATCACGAATTGAAGGATCGAATGGGCGAGTTAGCTAGAAATCAAATGCTTTCGCAAACGAAGAAATTGCCTCAAAACATTCGTTTCAAATGAAAACGGTTTTGGGACAGAGTGCGTTTGCTTCGCAAATAAAAAAGGACTTAAAAAGGAATATGCCAGCAGTAAAAGGGCCCGAAAAATCACGGAGAGAGATCAGATTCAGGCGAGTGATGCTGACTTGCGTTCCATTTAGCAAGTTTTTGATAATAAATTGTCTGGATCGTTATCGTTTCGAGATCCAGCCAAGAAGCTGACTTGCTTTGCCTGCTGTTTTTTGTTTCCTTGTAAGAATGAATTTGAGAAGAAAATACAGAGAAACAATTTCGTGTAGAAGCCATCGATTCAAATTTTGCTTAGCATAAAAAACGAAAACAATGGAGACAGTTGTAGGGATGAAGAGAAGGAGCGTTAAATCAAACAAAGAAGATATGAATTTATAGAGATAGGAATTAGGGTTTCGATGATAGCAAAATAGAGAGAGGGTTTTTAAGTGGACTGAAACAGTCACAAGGCCCAAGTGTTAGGCTTGCTGTTACAGCCCATACAGTTTCATCATCCTTTTTTTTTTTTTTTTTTTCCTTTTTTTCTTTTTTTTTATCAAACTAGACCTGTGTTTGAATAAGCAGTGTTACTTTACAATGTAATAGTAATGACATTGCATGGATTACATTTTTATTAATTCAACCATATAACATTACAAAGAAATTCATTACAGTACAATCTTTTATACCACATAATGTTGGAATAAAATTTTTATTTGTTAAATTTATTTATTATATTTGAATCATTAGGTTAAATTAATTATTCATGTGTATATCAAACATGGAATTTATTCGAGAATTGCGATTAGATTCCAATAGTTTGTACTCCTTTTAGTTTAAAAATTCCTTTGTTTTAAATTCTTTATCAACTTTTGATAAATTAGGTAATCCTTTTTTTTTTTTTTTTTCAACTAGACCTGTGTTTGATAAGCTGTGATACAATGTAATAGTAATGACATTGCATGGATTAATTTATAACATTAACATTACAAAGAAATTCATACAGTACAATCTTACATAATGTTTGGAATAAATTTTTATTGAATTTATTTTATTATTTGAAAATAAATTCATTTATAAATTAATTTTCATGTTTATATCAAACATGAAATTTATTCGAGAATTCATTAGATTCAATAGTTTGTACTCCTTTTACGTTTAAAATTCCTTTGTAAATTCTATCAATTTTGATAAAATTGGTCTAAATATAACCAATATTAAATTTTTATTATACCAAACATAAAAATTTACAAACATTTGTAAATGAAATTCCAAACATGAAAAGTTTAGATTTGTGAATAAATTCTATAAATTTTATGGAATAATTTACAAATTACACCAAACAAGCTCTTAGTCTTATCCAAAATAATAATAATAATAATAGAAAAGCTCTGGGTACATTTTTCTTGCACCTTATATAGAAAACCCTAACCTAGAGCATCCGCCAATTTAATTAGAATTGCTCATGGTTCATTTAACCTCTCATAACAAAAGAAAATAAATGATAAACAAATAGCACACAAGCATTGTTACCCAGTTAACACACAGTGTATAGTTTAGAGCCAAACTAGCTCCAAAGCATTAGGGAATGAAGAGGCTCCTATGCTTTGATGCTCAAGCTAATACCGCAGTTTAAATGAACAAGAATTCAATTCAGTTATGTTATGCTTGATTTTGCATACTTCCGATTTAAATAGTATAAAATTCAGTTGTTTCCAACTAATAAAAAATTTATATTGAACCAAATCAAGAATGCCAAATCTAACTGGGGAAAGCCTAGTATGACAGGACCATTACCCTCTTCCACAAAAGGTTAAACCATTGGAGTTTGAGGCGGTGCCTGGCTGCATAAATATCCTTTCTCATTAAACAAGACACTAGATGTCGTGAATCAACGACCTCAACAAATACTAACAAAAACAATCCGCAAACAAATATAGGCAAGCACCAAGTGTGATTACACTGGGCAGCACTCAATTGGGATAAGTTTTGTGCCGATGAATGACGTGCCAATCATGAATACTAGGGAGATTATCCACTATTAATTTTAAAATCTTTTCTTTTGTTCCTCAAGTTCAGCAAGGAATGACCTGTTGGTTATACTCTCATCCGTTCCAGGATGTACTAGTAGTCATTTAAAGTGCAATTCTAAAACATTGATACTGGATAGCAGAACACAAAATGTATTGAGTGATCATCAAAAACAGTGCACAATCCCTAAATTACCAATACTAATGGATGATTTCGTGCAATTGCAAAATTTACAACGTTCTGCGCCTAGCTGCTCATAATCAAGAATAGTTAACAAGAATACATTGAAAAGCTCTAAAGCCATTTAATAAGTCTTGTTAGCATTCATATTTTGTAGTAGTCGCCCTATAACAACATCGAGCTGCTCAAACTTCACCTTTGAACAACTTTTACAATTCACAAACACCATCTAGAGCAGTGTCATCCTAAAACTAAGTTTACTATCATTTTTGAACATTTCTAATAAGAATTACCAAATAATCTAACATCTCAAGGAAACTTCATTTCAATACAATACAATTGGGAATGGGGTTCCAATACAATTTTATTTTAGAAAAACTAAATGGGTTCCCCCATGTGCAATTATATTCATCCTCTTTGTGAACAAAATCTAAACAGAACTACATTTTGGAAATATAAATATAAATAATCTACAAGTGACCTGACCACTAACTACTCTATTATCTCACAATATTGCCTATGCCTTTGATAATACATCTCAAACTGCTATCTATAACTTCTCCTATCAGCAAGCTCAAGGACCTGTGCATTTAAAACTACAGTTACACCTAGACAACTGCAAGGGTTTAATGATTCATTTGCATAACTGATGAGAAAAGAAACACATTATGCAGTGTTGATGTCTGCCATTTGAATAATGCAAGCTGGACTTCCATATTCTCAGTGCCTAAAACTTACAATGATCTTTCACGAGCTAAGACTTTGAACCAGAAACCTTGGGTTTTCTTTTTCTTTTTTCTTCATGTTCACTCTAGCATTGTTCTAATTTTCCAGTTATAAAATGGTTAGCAATCAACAATGTCAAGACAGTTTGTTATTTCAGCAACCTTGACAGTGTTACACTCAGTCAACTGGCATAAAAGGGCACAAAAGTATATCAAAGCAACAAAAAGCACAACAATACAAGCAGCTTGTTTTGCAAGAAAATTCAAATTAATTAAACCAGAATAACAGGATTAAATTCCAGCATACCCAATTCAAGGGTGATCTTACAATATCCCACTTTAAGGAAACATAAATTCATTAGAAGTGTGCACATTATTGAATATTCTGAGTCCAAACATCAAGATAAAACAAAACCAAAACAAAACCTTAAAATCATACTCCTCTTAGGGGATATCCCATGGTTTTGGCTCAGGGATAGCAACAACCATACCTTTCAGGTCTGGTGTAAGGACGACCTGGCATCCCAATCTAGCATGCTTGTTCAAAACCCTAGCTCTAGAATTTCTCTTCAAAACATACTCCTCATCATAAGATCTCGGAGGCAACTTCTCGAGCCACTCTTGGGCGATGCTGACCTCGCATTCGGCGGAGCAAGCGTCGATTTCCTCGAGGCGGTGGGAGGCAGGATCGATGAGGCCACAGTTAGCTAAAGCCCTGAGAAGGGTCTGACCGGAGAGGCCAACGACTTCCCGCTTCTGACCGTCAAGATCGACGGCGAAAAGCTTAACGATTCTATCGGCGACTTTGGCGGAGGAAGAAGAGGAGGTGGTAGCAGCAGAGGCAGAGGTGCGGACGAGAATGGATTTGGTGAGAGGAGAGAAAGATGGGAGGCGGTGGAATTGAGAAGAGAGTCTCTGGAGAGTCGATATTGCCATTTTTTCGACTGTTGTGGAGAAATGCGGGTTCTGTGTAGACTAACTGCGGTGATTTGGAGAAAAGTGTTTCTCTACGGTGAGGTTCTTGTTCAGTATACACAGGTGACCTTCAACTTCTTGCCACTTGTCTTTCTCAATCATAATTGTTTGGTATTAGGAATAAGGTTAAATTTGTCAAGCAGTCTATAATTTACTCCAAAAACAATTTTTTTTTATAATTTACTCCCTAAATTTTAACCAAAAGAACGAAAGGTAAAACCAAATTTTTACCAATAAAAATTTAAATTTAAATCAAATATTTAAAAAATAATAAAATATTTAATTTAAATAAAATATAATTAAAAATAATTAAATAATAAATATTTTTATAACCTTATAATTTTTTAAATGAAATATTTTGTTTAATTACACTATACTTTTTTTTTTGTAATTATTGTATTCTTAAAATAATTTTTTCTTTTCTAAGTATAAACTTCTTAAATAATTTTCATTAATTAAAATATTAAAAAATTATTTTTCTTTAAAAATAAATTTTTTATTCTTTTGACGTAAGTTTAGGGGATTAAATAGTACAGAAAATTGATTTTTAGAAAATTATATGTTATTTTCAAATTCATGGGGTAAATTGAATTTTATACCTGTTATTAACTTCTTCTTGTAGTAAGAAAGCTAAAAAAAATGAATATTACTATTTAATATCTCAAATATTAAATACAATATTCCATACAATTAAAAATGTGTAAATTTATATTTACAGGTAGAAATTTATATAGAATAATTTTCCCATCAAATGAAATTTGCTTTTTAATTTTTATAAAACTTATGTTTCATAATTTTGAAAAATATTTATTATATAACGTTTATATAAATATTTAAACAAAATTTAAAAAACAATTATTCCATAAAAATGATTATTTTATATTTAAATTTGAACTGGATTAAAAATTATAACCACTCTTATGAATGAATAATTTTATTTCCTCATGTTAATCAAGTGTGGTTTTTCAAATTTTTTCATTAATGTAAAGAGTAAGAGGTTTTAAATTATTTTTTTGAACACAAGAATTTTTACCAATTTGGTAAGCCAGCCCATTGAATGAGTTATTTTATCCTTGTTAAAGTCTTACTTCAAAGCCTCCCCCCTTTTGATTTTACTCCATCATGAGTTTCTCTCAACTGGCCCCTCCTCCTGCCCCAATTGACGCTTCTATACCGATTGGTCAACCTCCTCGCATAGTGTCTCTTTCTTTTCGGGATTGTCTTCTTTCCCGATCCTCGAGGGTGTTGAAGCAACCTTCTGTGCTCAAGAGTTCTGGCTTTCAGTTGGGTGATGAATGGCAGGTAAAGTCTGTTTGTAATATGAAAATGTTGATCCTTTAAAACCCAGAGTTGTGGTTGATTCGGATGTTATTCATGAGCTTAGTGAACAGTGGTCGGATTCCCTGATTATTAAAGTTTATGGGAAATTGGTTAGCTATTCTTTTTTAGTTAATCGTTTGCATTTGTTATGGAAGCCGAGTGCTAGTCTGGATGTAATTGATTTGGGGTTTGGTTTTTACTTAACTAAATTCAAGGATTAGGAGGACATATTACGTATTATTTCAGAAGGACTTATATGGTGGGGGGTCAACCTCTGTATATTCAGAAGTAGAAACCAAGTTTTCAACCTTCGACGGCTTCTATTTCTTCTATGGTTATTTGGATTCGGCTTATGGAGTTTCCAATGGAGTTTTACTATGATGAAGTTTTGTTTGTTGCTGCTAGTGCGGTGGGAACTCCAATTAAAATTGGCCGTCAGACTGCTTTAGCTACGGGCGGACGGTTTGCTAGGGTATGTGTTGAACTGAACTTGGCTCAACCTTTGATCCCTCGGGTCTTTGTTGGTGGTGCGTGGAGGAGGGTTGAGTATGAAGGAATTATAAGCGCCTGTTCTTCGTGTGGTCGGGTGGGACATCGTTCAGAAAGCTGTTCTGATGCTACGGTGGATGTGGTTGAGGCGGTTAAGGAGGCTCCTACTTCTTTGAATAATATCGTTCAGGAATCAGGTTTGAATTTAAATCAGAAGGATGGCTTTGGTCCTTGGATGGTGGCTCATCGCAAATCTAAATGTAATTTTAAAAAGAAATTCTGTCCAGTGGATAAGGTTTTTTCAAGTAAGGAGGGGTTTGGCTCTAATCAATTTGCATCCTTAGTTGCTGAGGATCAGGGGAAAGTTTATGCTGGGGCCCGTCAAAGTGCTCACTTAGATTCTGTGTAGACGCGTTCAAGGTCGGGCATGCCAAAGGGGAAGGCCCCTTTAGTCGTGGCTAGGCATGGTTTGGGACGGTCTGGTTTTGTTGGTCCTTCAGACCAGTTAGGAAATACATCTCCTTTAGCTGCTACTAAAGCTAGTGAGCCTTCTAGTTCTCTTGGCCTAATGGATTGTAGTTCAGTTGGGCCTTCTCTACAGCCTGCGAATGAGGGGTGGTGGATCCAGTAGTTGTTTGTGGGTCTACTGGTCATTTGGGTTTGGTTTTATCACTGGAGATTGGTGTAGAGGCTATATCAGACTTGGTTGGTGGGCCTGTGGCTTGTGATCTAGGTCGAGTGGTGGGTTCTGTGGGTTTTGGTTCGGGTAAAGAAGGAACTAGTTCTGTTGATTCTCTTGTTGTCTTGGACCTAAATGATCCCAGCTTTGTTATTGGGTTTTCCAATTTTTTGAAGGCATAGTTTGTTGGCGACGGTGGTGGGGTTATTACGACTTATGATGCCGATGGAGACTCCTCGTCCATCGATAAAGAGTCGGCGGAGTTCTCGGATGGTGAAGCTATTGGGGGTGCGAGTGCTGGTCACCGCTGTCGCAGTCACAGCCGTAGTCCTTAGCAGTCTCGATGATTGGGTCTGCTTGGTCAAGTTCCTTTTCTTTCATTTTGTTTATGGATTTACGAATTATCATGTGGAATTATGGTAGATTGGCTAAGCGTGAGTTTCATACTCAAGTTAAGGAATTTATGCGATTGCATAGAGTGGATATTCTTATTATTGTTGAGCCTAGAATTTCTGACTTACGTGCTAATTCTGTGGCTAGGAAACTTGGTTTTTTTCATTTTATTCTTTCTCATCCAGTTGGCTTTGCTGGTGGGGTATGGGTTTTGTGGCACAATTATGCCTGCAGTATTCATGAGTTGCAAGTTAATTCTCAGTTTGTGCATTGTTTTATTTCTATGCCTGGCTTTGATGAGTGATTTTTAATTTCTGTATATAATAGTCATGTCCGGGTTCAGAAGGATTTCTTTTGGTCTCAAATGTTTGATATTGCCTGTCGAATGGAATCCCCCTAGTTGCTTTTTGGGGATTTTAATGATATTTCTTATCCTTCGTAAAAAAAGAGGGGTGTTGTGGATTCTGTTTTTAATTGCAGGCAGTTTGTGGATAATTGGGATAGGAGTTCTTTGATGGATATGGGGTGCTCTGGATGCCTATTTACTTGGACTCGTACCATTTCAGGTGTAGGGGTTATTCAGGATTGGTTGGATCAAGCTTTATGTAATTCCGAGAGGCAGTGTGCTTTTTCGGAGGCTTCTATTATGACTTTGCCTAGACTTCATTCTGATCATTTTTGTTTGTTGTTGTCTATGAAGGGTTTTTCTCCTTTTCCTGTTAACATACCTTTCCGGTTTGAGGCAACTTGGACTACTCAGGATGATTTTAAAGCTGTGGTGGCTTCGGCTTGGGCTCGGCCTCACTTTTCCATTTCCGGTGCTCTCTCTAGTGTTCAGGAGCAGGCGTGTGTTTGGAACAGAGAGGTTTTCAGTAATATTTACTATAATAAACGTGTTTTACTGAGGCGTATTAAGGGTGTTTAGGTTGTGTTGCAACGATAAGTTTCTGATTTTTTATTGCATCTTGAGAAAGATATGCTTTCTCAGTATCAATTAATTCTGTAACAAGAGGAGCTTTTGTGATTTCAAAAATCTCGTAGTTCTTGGATTTCTAATAGGGACTGGTGTACTAAATTTTATCATGTTGTTACTCAGGTACGGTGGAAGAGGAACAAGATTGAGTGTCTACGGACTGAGACCGAGGAGTGGGTTTCTAACCCTGTTGTTCTTAAGCGTTTACCCTGTGATGTTTATAAGAAGTTGTTTTTAGCTGACTCTTAATTTTCTCCTACTACTTTTAATAATATTGTTTTTCCTCATTTATTAGAGGTTGCTATTGTTTCTTTGCAGAAGCCTGTGTCTAGGGACGAGGTTTGGGCTGCAGTTTCTAGTATGGGTTCCTTTAAGGCTCCTGGGCCTGATGGTTTTCAATCTTTATTTTTTAAGAAATATTAGGATATAATGGGTGATAAGGTGGTGTCCTTTGTTTCTCATACATTCACTTTTGGTATCATGGATCCCCAGATGGCTAAGGGATTTATTATTCTTATTCCCAAGGTGTCTACACCCAAAGAGATTACTCAGTTCATGCCTATTACTCTGTGTAATGTGCTCTACAAAATTATTATGAAGGTTCTTGCTTTGCGGGTTTAGCCTTTCATTGATAGTTTGATCAGTCCTTTTCAGAGCAGTTTTATTCCTAGATGGACTATAGTTGATAACATTGTTGTTTTTTAGGAGCTTCTTCATTCCTTTCGGTGCTAAGAGTAAGTCGGGTCATTTTGAAAGTTGATCTGGAGAAAGTCTATGACAAAGTTAATTGGGACTTTCTTCGGTTTGTGTTGATTTCTTTTGGCTTTCCTGGTTTGTGGGTTTCTTTGATTATGAGTGCCCTGTCTTAGTTTTCTTTGGCCGTGCTTTGGAATGGAAGCCCTTCGTCTTTCTTTTCGCAAACATGGGGTTTACGGCAAGGTGATCCTCTTTCCCCCTATTTGTTTGTGTTGTATATGGAGGGACTTTCGTTATTGATTCATCAGCAGGTTGTCAAAAAGAGTTGGATTCCTGTTTTTGCTTCCAAAGGTGGCCCTCCTATTAGTCATCTGTTGTTTGCTGATGACTTAATTATTTTTGGGAAAGCTTCAGTGCGGTAGGCTAAGGTGGTTCATGATGTGTTGGCTGACTTTTGTAGTGGTAACAGTCAAACGACTAATTTGGCCAAATCTCGCATCTATTTTTCTAAGTCTATTGCTCATGTTGTGTGGCTTAGAATTCAACAGTTGCTAGGGGTGGCGATTGCCTCAGATTTGGGCAAGTATTTGGGTGTGCCTTTGTATGGTCGCTCTTCTGTGTCTCAATATCAGAGTATTATTCAGAAGGTGGAGTCTCGGCTGGCTAATTAGAGTGCTCGGTTGCTGAGTCTTGCAGGTAAGGAAGTTCTTATTAAAACTTCTATTTCTTCCTTACCTGCTTATGTTATGAATACTAAGTGGTTGCCTTCTTCTATTTGTGGCACTCTTGATCGTTTAGCCCGTAATTTCTATTGGGGTTCTTCTGTGGAGCATTGTAAGATGCATTTAGTGGGTTGGAATTACCTTATTAAGCCAAGGTAGTTTGGTGGATTGTGATTTCGTAGTGCCCGTCTGTTTAATATAACTTTGTTGGGTAAATTGGGTTGGAAGCTTCTTGTTAATGATTCAGACCTTTAGGTTCAAGTTTTGTCTCTTAAGTATTGTTTGGGGCATTCTTGTCCTCCGGCTGTGCAAGTTTCTGATTCTAGTACGTGGAAGGGTATTATTCGTAGCTTTAATACTTTGCAGTCTCATGTTAGATGGCGTGTTGGGAATGGGCAACAGATCAGTTAGTGGTATGATTCTTGGTTATCGATGGGTCCTTTGGTGGACTTGTTAGAGACATTGCACGAGGTGAGGAGCATTTTAGGGTGGGTGTGCTTATTCGGAATAGTACCTGGGATTTTTCGGTGTTGCATACCTTTCTTCCGGATGATATTAAATGCTTAATTCAGCCTGTTCCGCTTCCTTTGGTGGCTGTTGTTCATGATGTTCTAATGGTGTGTTTTCTGTCAAAGCTACTTATTCTTCTTTGTTGTTTGAGGAGTTACAAGTGGATTATGGGGTTGGTTCCTTTTCTTGGATCTGGCGTGTTGATGGTTTCCCTAAGTTGAGTCATTTTTTATGGCTGATTCTTCATCATCGGCTTCCTACTATTTGCTTCCATTTTTTACGAGGTTTGGCTGCTTCCAATTGTTGTGGTCGTTGTGGTATTAGTGAGGATTCTCTCTTGCGTCTTTTTCGGAATGTAGGCTTGGTGGTAGCAATGGCGTTGGCCTCCTAATTTTTTTTGTTTTTTTGTTTTGGCTGATGTTATTTTGTGGTTGCAGATGAATTTATCTTGTCGCATGCTTAGGCCTTTTGGTGTTTCTTGCCATCATTGGTTTTTAGCTGGTATTTGGTGGACTTGGAAAGGTAGAATTTTGCATGTTTTTCAAAATGTTATTACTCCTTTAACTCGGTTAAACACGTGTGTTTATATTTGGTGGACTTGGAAAGGGAGAAATTTGCATGTTTTTCAAAATGTTATTACTCCTTTATCTCAGTTAAACATGTGTGTTTTTAAGGTTCCCTTGGATATTGACAATCTTCTGTGTCCTCTGTTTTGGCTGTTAGCAGGTGTAGACAGATTAGTGTTGCTTGGGAGCCTCCTCAAGAGGGTTAGGTGAAGCTTAATTGTGATGGTAGTACCCTTACTAACCCTAGCCTTAAGAGTGGTAGTGGTTTGTTTCATGATTTTAGGGGGAAATGGCTTGGGGTCTTTTCTCTCAATATTGGCCCCTTTTCGATTTTGATTAGGGAGTTGCCGACTATTCGGGCAGGTCTTGTTATTACCTGGGATCATGGGTTTCGGCAGCTTATTGTGGAGTATGATTGTTTAGAGGATGTGAGGTTAGTCCTTTCGGATTTACACCATGCTCATCCTTTAGCGCCACGGTCTTCGATATTCAGAATTTTTTGTTTTGTGATTAGGAGTGCTCTCTTCGTCATGTTTATTGAGAAGCCAATTTTGCAGCTAATCATCTGGCTAGATTGAGTCATTTTATTCCTTTTTTATTATATATTTGGGATTCTAGTCCTACTTCGTTATCCTTGATTCTTTGGGCTAATTCTTGTTGTATCAGCTTTTTGAGATAGATCCTTTCTTTTATACTCCTTTATGTAACCAAAAAAAAAAAGTATTACTTCAAAACTAAACCTAAAATCCTCCTTAGAGCACAATAATGTATAACCATCATGTTGTAATCCAGGAGATCAGTATAAGTGTTTATCGAGAGTTCGAAATTGCTTAAATCGCCTAAACTAATCTAAATCAATTTAAAATTAGTGTTTAAAAGTTAGTATTGATTTGGTTTGTAAAGTTCAAATAATAAACTATTGGTTCAATTTGCAGTTTTTGAATTCGAAATTGCTATATATATACTTCTGAAATTATCAATATTTTAATGCAGTTTTAGAATGGATTTTTTTTATTGATGAAGTATATATTGGGGGGAAATTACATCATTTGATAGGTAAATTATATAATTATTTTATAAAAAGTCAAAATGTAGAAAATTTATGATTCTTATGTGAACAACGAAGAGGAGTATAAAAAGTCCATGTCGTAATTAGTTATTCATTTCATGTCGTAATTATTTAAAAAAGAAAAAAAAGAAATACAACTATAATTTGGGACTAAGTTAAAAATATATATATTCACATTTGGGACTAAAGTTACAACACATATTATATATTATAATATATATCATTTTATGGCTCCTGCATAGCTAAGATAAACTCTAACTTTTATTTTTACCCAAATACTATTAATGTACATTCTTAAATCACCTCAATCATAACTAAGTAAACCATAGAGGCAAGCAAACGGATCAGATGGCATTGTCGGGACACCCATAAGCTAAGAACCGTACCTCTTTCATTTGTCGACTATGTCACGTCCACTATATTTTATGGCCTGCATAGTAAGATAAACTCTAAACTTTTATTTTTAACCCAATACTATAATGTTACATTTCTTAAATCACCTATACTAAGTAAACCATAGAGGCAAGCAACGGATCAGATGCATTGTCGACACCCATAAGCTAAGAACGTACCTTTTCATGTCGACTATGTCACGTCCACATTGTAGCAATCTTGCCATGCCAAAATTCCCAAGACAACCAATGAGAAAAAGTTAATAACTCAAGGCAGACACATTTACTTGAACTCGTCAATTTATCAATTCCACAACCAAATTCCCCATAACTCAAATAAGAGAGATTTTCTGGGAGAAAAGATTGAAATAACAAAGAAAAGAACAGAGAAAAAAGGAACATGGAAACCCGTGGGCCATGCTCTAGCCTAGAAGGATGCATGAGAGTCCTCCAAAGCAAGATGACAAGTCACCACATTCAGCAAACTAATAATTCCACTAAGAAATACATTATCAAGGGAAAATTAGTTATTCTTCAAAGTCAAGGTCATTCAGCTCCTGGAAAATCAGCATCCATACGGATTTATAGCAGTACAGTAATTGATCCGAGTAAGTTCAAAATAATAGCAACATCAAGGAACCATAAGCTTCTTGTGATATAAATAATAACACAACATTGTTAGTCTGCTCAAATTGACATGACTTATTTTATTTTATTTTATTTTTGTGTAACTTATTGAGCAGAGTAACTTGACGAGTATCTGTGGAAGAATTGTAAATTTCCACTAAATACCAATAATATCAAAGTATTGCTGATCTTATAACTTGCATTGCCCTGATAGGCACGGGCAAAGGGAAGTTGAGTGAGAAAGCATACCTCAAGCATGGAAAGAGAAAGAAATATGAGGGCACAAAAACAACTGCTTACAAAATAAAGCTTCATGTTGAGCAAGGGTTTGGAATTCCAGGAGCATTTCTCATATCAAACCAACATAAGCATGAATTCTTCCTTGAATCTGCAACTCTTGAATTTCTTGAGAACCAGATCATCCACTTTGACTGCAGGTCTTGGGTATACCCAGTCCAGAAGACAAAATCAGACCGCTTGTTCTTCTCAAACACTGTAAGTAACAAACACAATTCATAAAAAAAAAATACTAAAGGTTCTATACTCCACGTTCCTACATTGTAATGCAACTAAATACAATAAATTGATGTTCTGTTGGTAGAGTTATCTACCAAACCAAACACCTAGTGCATTGGTGGAGCTGAGAAAATCAGAACTTACAAGCCTGAGAGGAGATGGAACTGGAGAGAGGAAGGAATGGGATCGAATCTATGATTATGATTACTACAATGATCTTGGTTGTTCAGACAAAGGTCAAAAACACATCAGACCAGTCTTGGGTGGTTCCAAATTACATCCATATCCTCGCAGGGGAAGAACAGGCCGTCCTCCCTGCAGCACTGGTATTCAGCCTTATCATTCAGGTCCTTCTGGGGACGTGAAAAGATTTGCCACCCTTTACTTTTACTACTAAATTTCATTGTTGGATTTTCACGTTTCTGTATGTGCTGTATGTTCACTTGACATAGATCCCGCTACAGAAAGCAGAGCAGAAATAATAAACTTGGATATATATGTACCACCAGATGAGCGACTTAGCCCCAAACAACTTTCAGAGGTCATATCAAACTCAGTCCAGGCTGCTGCTCATTTCCTTATCCCTGAGGCAAAATCCTTATTCAAACAAGATTCCAGTACTTTCAAGTCATTTGATGAGATAGACAACTTGTTTTTTAGCAAGAAAAATCACGCAGCCGAGGGAAAAGTCACAGAAAATTTGAAGAAATTGATACCAGATGAGCTTTTCAAAAAATTTATTCATGTGAGTAAAGAAGAAATACTAAAATTTCCATTGCCTCAAATTATAACAGGTAACGAAGTTTTCAACCTGCTCTTACAATTTATGAGTTGAAAGGATGTCCCATTTTTTATTTGTTTAAGCATTTATAGGTTCAATTTGCATATTATTCTTCAGAGAACAAATTAGCCTGGAAGGATGATGAAGAGTTTGGGCATCAAATGCTTGCAGGAACTAATCCAGCACGAATTCAATGCTTGCAGGTTTCCCCAACTTCATGGACTTCACTGAATATGACACCTTAAACCATTTATCCAGCTCCTCCAGGCTCCAGTTACCTGCCAGCCAATTTTTTTTTTCAAAAAGAAAAAGAACAAAAAAAAGAGATTATCAGTAGATTTTGTTGTTTCTATATTTAATATAAGATGAAGACAGGTTGCGCTAGCACATCAATAGAGGCACAACCTATCTAGGCTTATTATTTGCTACAGAATTCATGTTCAATTGAACACAATGAAATTTAATTTTCAATTAAAATTGTTGACACACAAATGCACATACTCACATGTGTGACTATATTATTACTGGAAATAAAATGATTTCTACTTGTTCTCACAACTTCATCATCAGCCAAGGCCTTCATTCATACAGTTCAGTATAAAATTTCCTCTTGCAATTAACATTGTCGTGTACTGTTAAACTATATGTCAGACATCACATTAAATCAAGAGTATTGACTGCACATTTTAATTTTATTATATCTTGCAGAGGTTCCCACCAGAAGGCAAAAATGGAACAAGTAAAATAAAGGCATCAGACATAGAGCACAACCTAGATGGATTAAATCTTATCGAGGTACCCAAATTACTTCAACTTTTGTTCAAATAACTCTCTCTCTCCACATACACACACACATATCACATGCCATTGAAGCAGCAGCCTAGTTCTCGAGTGCCTACTTAGTAGACAAAGGTCCAAATCCTAAATTTCCAATGTACCAAAAATAAATATACACATCACATTACGTGTGATCATACTGATAATAAACAAGTGTATTTAGGTAGAAGGTTAAATGCAAGTAGCAGACAAAGTGGAAAACTGCAAGATGTGTGAAAGTTTTATAGAAATTAGAAGCAACAGTTTGCATTAAATGCAAGTTTATAGGGTAGGAAATTGTGAAACTTGGTTGCCAAGAAATAACAAAAAACGACATTTTCAACAGTGAACTGGTTAACTAGGAAATTGTGAAGGGTCCTTGAGTAGGATCACATCACAAGTCATTGAACAGGATGATCTTCCTCAGGACAAATGACATTCGATTTTATTGTTGTTTCTCTCTCCCAAGGAACCTTTTTTGTTTCAAGCTAAAGCTCGTTTGAGGGAGCTCTTAAAACCTCTTAGCGAAATTCTAATAATAATATGCTATCTTTGTTTTACTAAAAATTGCTCCCAAAACAAAAAGTACATTGTTTAGTCTCACATCCAAATATAATTAAGACTTTTATTAAATAGTAAGACTACTAATTAAAACATCTTAATAATAAAACTTCCAAATTAAGAAAACTGCCGTAATAAGGCTGTATCAAAATCACTTGTTTCCAGTCAACTTCTTTCTACTGTGGCCCGCGTCTCACATATTAATTGCTTACAAATGCATCTCTAACATGAATAACTAAGAGAAGACATTTTCAAGTCCATGGATAGGATTTGTTATCTTATCCATAGAGAAGAAAGAGATTGAACAAGAAGATGATCATAAAACAAGAGCAAGCTGGAGAAAATGTGCTTGTAATACTAATGTATTAGAAGAAAATCAAAAACTGGTCAAGTTGATTGCCAACATTTATTGAAAGGAGATACAGAAAACCACATTTTAGGCCATAGAATGTTAGCTAAGCCCCATTTAGAGGGGACAAGAAAAATATTCATGTCAAAATTTAACCTCAAATTCCTGTCAGAACTTCAATTTCCTTCCTAGTCATGTTAAAATCAGCAAAACAGTCATAATTGCAATCATTAACTACATAACAGTCCATGCACGTGAACTATTCATGAAAATAGCTTTAAATTTCAGAGTTATGACAAGGATGCTGGATGATCTTAGAAGCCTCCAAACTCACTAATCAACAAGTTGCCATCATAAAGCACAACTTTTAGATCTCTCTGTCTTTCCATTCATCTCTCTGGATGTTATCTCACAGACAAATGCATGAGATAAGTAGAAGTAAGCCGACCAAGAAAGAAAAGGGAAATGGATGAATTCAAAGAAAAAGGGAAAAATGAAATTAACAGATTAAGACAACCACAAAGATTTTGTTTGTTATTCCAATTCCATATCTCAAATGGAAGTCTCAAAACTGTGATACTTTATCACTATTTGGTCTGGTTTTTCACTTCTAAATGTACATCACAGGCAATGAAACAATGGAGAATGTTCATCTTGGATCATCATGACTATCTCATGCCCTATTTAGGCAGAATAAACACAAAAGGTGTTTGTGCTTATGCATCAAGAACACTATTATTCTTGCGGAATGATGCCACATTAAAGCCAGTAGCCATAGAGCTCAGCTTGCCTGGGTCTCTTGAGGGCGAAGAGATCAGCCAGGTGTTTCTACCAGCAAGTCAAGGCACTGAAGCAGCACTGTGGCAGCTTGCTAAAGCTCATGTTGCAGCTAATGACTCGGCTTACCATCAATTAGTCAGCCATTGGTGAGTCAAATCTTTTGTTCATCTTTGCTCAAATTCGCACTATTTCTGGCACTCCCTGACCAAGATATATATGTTTTCGGTCAAATATAAAAATTTGTCCCTGAATTAATAGTAAAAAGTTTATTAAACCCAAATCTCCTATCTCAACCAGTTGCACACTTAAGTTTTTTATTTTTGTAATCAATAAGCATGGTTAATTCATTATCGTCAACCAATAATGTAACAAATATATAACTTTATATCTCCTTTCAACTTATGCTTGATGATTTATCTCATTATTCATTAGTTACAAACATAAAAGCTAAAGGTTGCAAAAGGTTGAAAATACAAATATAGGTGTAATATGTCAAAATAAAAGGTTAAGGACACAAACAAATTCTATTAGTTCAAATACAAAGTTATCTATTAGGCCAAATTTGGTTTATGCCTTTAGGGTATTTGGTTGGTACATCAACATGCATTAAATGACTACTAAATTGAAATTCCAAAAAAACTTAAAATCACACATATCATTACCATTAATTCATAAAAAGTAAGTGCATATGTGTTACATGATTTCTAATACTTTTCTTACTTATGATGTTTGCATTTCAAGGTTGCAAACCCATGCAGTAGTTGAGCCGTTCATTATTGCAACTAGAAGACAGTTGAGTGTAATGCACCCAATTCACCACCTATTAGATCCTCATTTCAAAGACACTATGCATATAAATGCGCTGGCTCGCAGTGTTCTTATTAACTCTGGAGGAATCCTTGAGAAGACACTTTTTACCAGTGAAATATCCATTGAATTGTCTTCTGAACTTTATAAAGTGTGGAGATTTGATGAACAAGCTCTTCCTGCTGATCTTATCAAAAGGTATTTCATTCTATTTCCTTCCATTATTAATAAAAAGATAGAATCAAAGTGATCCCTGGATAGGATCATAAATGTGAAATAAAACTATTTACAATCAGAGAATTTCTGGGTGATTATCTAGTTATTTTGATAGTCATCATGATCTATAATAAACCAAAGTTAGTTGGCTAAACGACAGTCCAAGAGAGTGTGACAATAAAAATTACTAGATTTGATGGTTAATCTAATGTTCGAAACTAAAGTTTTAAGTCAACTACAATGTTCCATACAAGAATTATATGCAGCAAATCATGTTGTCTAATAAAATCCCATGCTCATAGATTATTGGTTCATCTGATGACATGCACTCAAACATCCACACGACCATCATAAGGCGCACAAATATTCCATCATTACAGAGAAAGTGAAAAATAAAAACTGAACATACTAACATGACCTTAGCTGAAAGAAGTAGTTTTTTAAATCTGCATGAAATAAAATTGGTGAGACATGGACTCTTACGCTACAATCTACTTATATTATTCCATAATGGTTCGTGTTTTTCAGACGACTGGCCCTGAAAGACCCAGACAGTCCAACTGGAGTTAAGCTCCTCTTTGAGGATTATCCATATGGTGCAGATGGACTTGAAATATGGCGTGCCATCAAGACATGGGTAACAGACTTTTGCTCCATTTTTTACAAAGATAATGATTCTGTTAGGTCTGACATGGAAATCCAAGCATGGTGGAAAGAGATTAAAAATGTAGGTCATGGTGACAAGTGCAATGAGACATGGTGGTATGAAATGACAAATCTCTCCAATCTAATAGAGGCTCTAACAACTCTCATATGGATTGCATCAGCCTTTCATGCTTCAGTGAACTTTGGGCAATATGCATATGCCAGCTACCCTCCTAATCGTCCCATGCTATGTCGAAGATTCATTCCAAAGGAAGGGCAAAAAGAATTTGCTGAGTTCCTAAAAGATCCAGATAAATACTTTTTCAATATGTTGCCTGAAAGATTTGAGGCAACCCTTGGCATAGCATTGACGGAGGTCCTCTCACAGCACAGCTCTGATGAAGTGTATTTGGGACAGAGGCCACTAGGGTGGACTGATAATAAAGAAGTTCAACAAAAATTTGAGAAGTTCAATGAAGATCTAAAAGAGATAGAGAAGAAAATCTCTGAGAGGAATGGAAATCCTCAGTTTAGAAACAGATTGGGTCCTGCCAAGATACCATACACACTTCTTTACCCAGATACATCAAATGTCGGATCTACAGGAGGCATCACAGGAAAAGGGATTCCTAACAGCATATCCATTTAACACATCTTCATAGTACTGTAAACTTTAATGATAATCATAAATAAGAAGTGATTTGTCAACATGCTTCAGATAAAGTAGATCAAGCATCTGAAGCACCAATTTTCTGGTCTAAGCCCAACTACTTACATTCTTCAACAGAATATCAATTTTTCCTTTTCTTTTAATAAGAGCTTAGAAATAATATTACCAACAATCACAGCAGCAACATCAAGAACAAAGATTTGCTTACAGATCAACTAAGATCATACGTTCCTTATGGATATAAAGAAAACAAACCATGGGCCTACAGATCTTTAGCCTTAAGGCAATAAAATATCCTTCTAATCTAATGCTTGTCTAGCACATATAACCCTAAAAAGGAATGGATATCCAAACTGAAACATCTCAGTACATTGTTTCTTGAAATGTGCAACTTTGCAAGGTTAACAACAAAAAAAAATACGAAATAAAAGACTGAGAAGAGTGTGTGCTTGTGCTGTGTGCGAAAAATATAGATACCAGAACAAACAAAATTTATGAAAAAAATTAAAAATAAAGATGAAACATGTGTAAATGCAAAGATATACCAAATATGTCAGGTATTACAGCAGTAAATTTATTGCTTACCTTGAGGTTCCCTGAGAACCAGCTGCACTTTAAACATCAATATGCTTGTTATGTTAATGCTTCAATCTTCAATCTTCCATCGCTTCTCTTTATTGGCACACATGATATCAACAACATCGATTGTGAACAGCAAATGGTGCATGATCAATAGTCCCAGGATTACCCAACACCATATCAGCAACCATTTCAGCAGTACCCAAAGCCTGAAAAACATTTAATAACTCTGTTATATCTAAGATCTCATCGCTTTAAATACAGCCCATATAATTAGCAATTCTCATGGGATTAGAAAATTACAGAAAAGATAACAGGATCAATCACTACCCAGTTTAGTTTAAAAATGAAAGGATATAGCCAGATTAGCAACCAACATACACAAGGTAAAATAAGTCTTAGATAAACAAACTACTTTTCAATGAGAAAGAATGCAAGCAGATAATTATTACCATAGAAAGACCTCCACCTTCATGCCCAGTTGCAATGAGCACTTTTGAAAAATCAGGCACAGGCCCAATCACCGGTTTCCCATCAGGCACTGATACCAGTAAAATTTTATATTGTTACTTAAAAGGCAGTGGCTGAGAGTATACATTCCAAATCTAAAATAGTTATTTGGAAATTCTTTTGTTTTCTTCTTCGCAAGTTTCTATGATATAGACTTACTGTAAGGGCGTAAGCCTATTCTCAGTTTTCTGTTCATGATGAGATCTCCAAGGGACAGCTCTTTTAGTTTGGGAAAGAATTCTCCAGCTCGTTTCCATATATGACCAACAATGGACTCATCGACTTCAGTGCTAAACCCTGAAAACTCACGGCTGCTCCCTAAAAAGACAGATAGTAGAAGATGGTGAATTGGTGATATATGTATGTGTGGATATGCCAAGATCTTTTCATTTTAAAGATGTCTCATAATAACTGGAGAGAGAGAGAGAGAGAAAGAGAGAGAAAATAGAAGTATTTAAGATCAGCCTAAAAGGCACGCCCTTCTACTTACTAAATGCAACTAAAGGCATTAGCTAGCAATCTAGTAAAAGATCAGATGCACTTGTCATTCACTACCCAAATGCTATGTGCAATAAGCAAGAGTCAACAGGAAAATAAAACACATTTTTACTTTTAACTAGTTTGAGACTAAGGCTTGGTTGTTGTTGTTGTTTGATTTGACAAGGGAAAAAACTGGCATATGGTCAAGTCCAGAAACATGTCAGTTATGATGAAATACTGACCTTAAGTGCCTCTTGCCAAACCCAAGGAAAGCATTGCATGAACTTTCAATAGACACTTCTTAACATGTATCATTTTTCTCATAATTAAGAAAGAAACTAAAATGTACTGAAGATTATGATCAGGGATTAGGCTATTGACAGATACTAAGTTGCAATTGAAATTCAGAAGCGAGATAACATAATTTTACCAAGAACAAGGTTTCCAACAGAGTCCATTGTCGCTGTCATCGAAACAGACAGGGTTCTCCCATGATCAACAGATCCTGATGCTGAACTTGAAGTTTTCATACCTGCAGCTCGGTGACCAACATAACCTGCCTCCATCAGGCCATGATTCAATTTTAAGGAACTAAAGTTCTCAAGCACAAGTAAGTGACCCTGTCAGGAAATCAGGTGTAAAACAGGTCTTATATACAAGATTAAAAATGCATCATAGGAAAAGAACCATCAAAATAAATCTAAGGACAAAGCCCATAAAGATCATCATATCCTTGATGACTATAATTTCCTTCTAAGGAATATTAGTGACACATTAAACAACCACCATTCCCATCAACAGGCTCCAACATGAACGCAAATATACACATCTAGGCATATTTCATTACCTTACAGGATGTGGAATAGCAGTATATCTACACAATAGCATCAATATTTAATATCTAACGTAAAGACCACTTATCGCAAAAGTCAGACATGGCTCATCAGTCAACTGTACAAGTTTTAACTAAAAAAGGGACCCAGTTATTGTGAATTTTTTCCAAATTAGCTAACCATGATTTACTTAAATAATTTCAAAAATTAAACCTTCTTTTTTTTTTTTTTTTTTTTTTGCAGTATATCTACACAATAGCATCAATATTTAATATCTAACGTAAAAGACCACTTATCGCAAAAGTCAGACATGACTCATTCAGTCAAACTGTTACAAGTTTTAACAAAAGGGACCCAGTTATTTGTGAATTTTTTTCCAAATTAGCTAACCATGATTTACTTAAATTAATTTCAAAAATTAAACCTCTTTTTTTTTTTTTTTTTTTTGTTTTTTTTTTTTTTTTTTTTTTGTTTTTTTGGGGGGGGGGCGGCGGCGGGCAGAGAGGAAGGAACTGAATACTAAATTTGGTACATGTGATTCGAGACCCATACATTATAGGAAGGGGGAAGTGAGTAAAGTAAACAAAGAAGGGGGCTGAAAATCTAGTTAAGAATGCATAAGTATGCAATGAAAAGTTGGTTGACATCCTAATACCAACCTTCCGAGGCTTAACAGGGACATGTATTGCCGTATCAGAATCGCTAAAAAGATCATGCATCAAAGACCCACTCCAACAACCAGCTGCAACAACAATGGCTTTCTTACTGTATAAGGTAGTCTTGGAAGTTTGAACAGCTTCCACCTCCCCAGTGCTTGAAGATCTGAGTACAATTGCTAATCTCAGAAACTAAATCACCTCTAAACATGAAAGCTATATATATTTGCACGTGTGCTTGTTTGTACTCGAGTGCAAACGATGAAAATAGTATGACAACAAACCTCAATAAGCTTGTCACTGGATCGTGATAGAACTCTGCATATCTCCCTTTTAATGCAAAATGTCTATTACACTACATGCATCAACCGTATTAAACATTAATTCTAACCACATGTGATTTAAATAAGCATTAGTTCCTGAAAAGAAAAGCATTGTCGTTTAGTTGAAATAAATGTAAACTAGACCTTTTCGATAAATGCAACAGCTCTTTGAGCATCCAATTGATAGTCATCTGGCAGAAAGGCAGCCCCACCAGCTTCCCCAACCTCTAGTGCAGGTTCCTCCAATTTCAAATCATAACTAGACAAGTAATCTGCTCTTAATCCAGCTTCAGATAACATCTTCACCTTCATTTTCAACACCTTAGTTTCTTCAGGGGTTTTCCCCACTAACAAACTTCCTGAAAATTACAATACCACCGCTATATTGTCAGTTTATACCAATTCAAATCAAACAAAGTCACAAATTAAAATAAAATAATACCAACTTGTAGAAATTATGAATAGACAAGAGAAGGTACAATACCAGTCTTCTTCCAGCCCAACACCTCTAATGGATTCAAGCCTTGATCACGGATGCTCTCGGCGAACATCCTCCACAGTTCGTGGCTTCGCATTGTAAGCGACCACGTGTCACTCTCCGGTGACTTGTGCGCCATCCATATATAGCCTTGCCCTGTAACCGCCGCCGAATCCCACGCAAACAATCAACATTCTTCTTACTAGCTTATAGTTCAGAAAATAAAAATTAAGAATAATCAATTAACCTGCACCAGTTGCACCAGAGCACGGGACAGCTTTATCGACGACGGCAACGGATAGGTCCGACCCGACTAGGAGCTGTCGGGCAATAGTTAACCCGATAATACCAGCACCAATTATTACGACATCGTAAGTATGAGTAGAAGCTGATATAACGGGTTGGGTTCGGAGTTTTGGGGCATTGTGATTTGATATTGAAAGAGTTTTGCCGGGCAATTTGGAGCCAAAAAAGCTAGTTTTGAAAGGGACGGTACATGAATGCCTGCTTCTTGGAAATGAAACGACGTCGCGGTTATATGGATTGGAGGGTGGAGTATATAGCGAAATCGAAGCCATTTTCGTTGGACAGTTTTGTAGTGATCGGAGAAGGAACAAGCAGGGGATTAGCTACCAGCCCCTAAGTAACCTAACTAGTGAGAAGATCGAAGTCAACACAGCAACAGGCGATGACGCTTCCATTCACAGAGACACTGCTCTTAATCGCCGTACAGTTTGATGGTAAATTACATTTTCATCCTTGGGTTAATTATGATTAATATAAACAGTTGTATACTATACGATGATTAAAAGACAATATTGGTTGATTCTTATCCTTACAAATATAAGATACCTTAGTTAATAATAATGAACAGCTCTTATTCTATCTGTGGAATTAAATTTCATTTGGAACAAAATATATAAATTCATAAATGAATTCCTGTCATGTCAATTAATATTATCTAATGATGTACAATTTACCACTTAAAGCAATGCAAGTTTCTCATCCAAGAATTACAACATGAGACCTTAAAGATCATCCAGGTTAATCATCCATTCACTGCACCAATAAGTGTCTAAAGACTTCGTTTTAGAATCAGCTTCTGAAGAAGAGTCACGATCTGCCAAGGCTTTGTCTAATGAATCTGCTAAATTAGCATCCCATAAAGCCAATCTGCAACCTTTGTAGTAGGTATCATAACTTGCAGCTCTTGCACCTTCTGAGATCATCTCCCTTAAAGGTCCAAAAATCTCTGGACTATTATTCAGGACATCTAGAAAAGTTTTAGACATACCCCGTTGCCAGAAAACCACAATGGCACAGCTCTTGTCTACTAATTTAACATCAAATTCCTCGGAAAAAATTTTATGAGACTCTTGAAGCAGGCTCTTCAGTAGCCCTGCTGACATCCCATCCCTAAATCCCCACAAGAAAACCAAGTCCTCACAGCTTACTTTTCTTGTGCTGTTAGTCCAAATTCTGATGTCCTCATCAGTTGGTTCTTGGGGGCCAGGGGTGTATGGAGTGAATATATTTGAATAAGCTTCAAGGGCTGAAGGTAGATTTTTGTCATCAGATTGGATAGAATTCGGAGCAAGTTTGAGTACATAGCATAGCTTCGCAAACAATTGGCAAATCCTCACAACATTACGCCCATGAGTCTTGCCTTCATTTACCAAAGCTGAAAAATTACACATCAGAGGTAAAACAATCAGGTTCATTTTCATGCAAAATACCATGTGTTTTAAGCAGTAATCTCATGACATAATTTATTCAATAAGGCCAATTGGTGAAACTATTAATTTACCAAAAGACAAGTTATTTAACAAGCTATCATCATTGTTTAAATAATGATAAACCAAGTAGTAGCTACAACTATTAACTAAGCAGTTCATAGATAGGTTTTGTTGCCACAAATTTAACAAAAACACTGAATAATATATGCATGGTATTTGAGGGCCAGAAACTGGTGAGAGCAACTGACCTTCAAACGGAACTTCCACATCAACTGGTGCAAAGAACCGATTCTTCAAGTAAGATATAGCCATAGGTATATTTGTCAATTTTTTCAGAGGGCTAATTTCCCTCATCAGATGATTGACATCAATTACCTGAGGGAAAGCTAAGTGCAAGGAATGCATGAACTCTTCAATGTTAGCTGGTAGGGGAGCAAGGAATTTAGAATAGATGAATGTCAAATCTGCAAGGAACAGTGTAAAATGATTTTAACCTTAAATGAAAAGACAAGATAAAGATATTTATTACACATGATCCAGAACCCCATTATAAGGAGATACACCATTAAGGGAATTGTGGGAGACAACAGGCTTCTGTGAAGAAGAAATCAAATCGATCACCTCACGAAAGCCACGAACTTTCTTGTTATGTTCCTCTTTAAGGTTTTGTAGCTCATTCTATCAATCAAACCATCAACAACATCATTTAGATGAATATGGTTCATGGCTTATATCAAGAGATTGAGATTCACTTGTTACCTGAAGAAGATCCCTGTCTTCCTTTGAACGTGCTAAGACAACACGGATTGCTTGGGTACCTCCACCCTTGGCTGGAACTATTAGAGGGACAAGATCATCAGAGAATTCTTGCAACATCTGTAATCAACACAGACAAAGTTCAAGGCATTATGCAAAGAACAGATTTGCAATAAAACACCAATTTAGCAACAGCAGCAATGAAAAGGAAATAGTAATTAAGCATAATCACTACCAATTAAAGAATCTAAAAATGTCATAACATCCATCTACCTCAATCACTAGTTGCACTTGGCGTTCACTGCAAACATCAATATTCATGCATGGTCTTGAATTATGCTCTTCAGTTCCTAGTACGAGTTTCCTCAAGGATTTCAACAAACCCTCTGAAAACGGCGGGTAGAAACATTTTAAAAACCTGAAAACATATGAAGATAAGAGCCTTGAATTTTCTTACCATCAGCCTTGGTACCGGAATCTGTACATGCATTTCTCCAGTGCTTAACACGTGATTTAGTTCTTTGAATGAAAAATTCATCAGCCGCAGAAGAGATAGAAGTAGATTCCAGAATTCTATTAGCCAGTATTGGATTCCCCATCTGGACTTCCGCTGCAGATTCTTGTGCTTTAGACAAATATGATATGCCTATCAAGAGAAAAGAACCCCTTTTTGAGTACAGAATTTCAAATACAACCTGCAGATATCTAGGCCACCAATTCCCACTTGTCACATTTTCTCCACTTTAAGCCAATAGTTTGAGAATTTATATCTTCGGTAATGACAGCAAGAAAGACAAAGGTTGATTGTAGTTGCAATGTGGCACAGCAAACATATTCCTTAAGTATTAGGATAAGTCAACAGCAACAAACACAGTATATCTCCTATCTTGACACTTAGTCATAGAAATCAAAAGAGCAAAAACATGAAACTGAGCTTATTTGTCTAATGAATCAGGTTAAATAAAAAGGAAGTTTTGTTTTTAGAAGAAACCAAAATTAGCAAGCAAATTATCTAATGGAGACAAAAAAAAAAACACCAATAACTGCCAGAACAATACAGGAAAACATCAATAATTGGATACAGATACAAACTACAGAAATGGAAGAACGGCTACAAATACTATTCAATTGCAATTATGACCAAAAAAGAAAAAAAGAAGTTAGTAGAGCGTTTGAAATTTTTTATTAGTGATAGCATTAGTGCCTAGTGATCTTTTCTATTTTGTGTCCAATCTTAAACAATGACACATTACCATGGGAAGCAAGAGAAAGACTGACATTTCAAAGGGAAATATAAGAAAATCTATCACAGGACCAACAAGGTAAGCTGACCACAACAACAACAACTTTTCATCAACCATTCTTGTTTCACAATCCTAGATACTTCACTTCCTCCTAATCGCTTCACCCCCTAAGATCTATTTCATTTTCAGAAAGATTATGTCAAATTGTCAGGATAATGGCCAATTCTATTTGCTGAACAAGAGTCAAAATCTGTCAATTGGCAGAGATTTATTCTCTTTCATTAAAACTTCCTCTGTCAGAGAAAGTTTATGTATAATATTACTAACGTGCTTTTATCATATCAGTATTGAAAATTAAATACAGAACACTTGTAAAAATGCACTTAGCGCAGCTGGTTGATACTAGGACTTACCATCATATATACAAGCATTAAAATCAAAACCTTCTCGAGCCATGGAAGTCAAATAAGAAGTTTGACAAGAAAAACTATAAGATGGCATCCCTATATTTAATTCGTCTCTAGGGAACAAGTGAAAGTTGTACCTGCGCCAAAAATAACAAATTTATTTCACCAACTGGATTGGACACTGAAATGCTATATTTGCTTCATTTTCTCAGCAATCAAACAGAGCACAACAAAGACAAAGAACTAACACGTTAGCTATATACAGATATACTCACGGATAAGCAGTGATCTTGGATGCCCTGACAGTGAAGGGGCAAACAGCGAACTGAAGAACCTGGAAGCGTTCGGCGACGTGTTTCGCTTTCAAGTAAGCAGTGTCGGCGGTGTCGAAAGGGGAAACGCGGTGCCATGGAGAAGAGAAGGAGCCGGTCTTCTGCAAGGAGACGGCTATGAAATCAGAGGTAGAGATGTGAGATTTAACTTCTTCAAGAGAGTTAGTGAAATTGGACTTGGTTACTTGCTTGACGTTCCATTGGCTGTTAGTTTGGTGGTTTTTTGGGAGATGAGTGGAGAAGAGGCGTCTTTGAAGCCAGTGAGGGAAAGAAACCATTTTTCTGCAACTGGATGTTCGTTGGAGAAGGTAATTATTTGGGCTTATTATAGTTGTGAGCATCTGCTAGTGAGACTATGTTTGCATGGTCCATGGGCCCTGTGGTGGACGCAAAACCAATTCCAGATTCCTTAAGAAAAATTTTTTTATAATTTTATATATTATTTCTTCTTTACAATTTTTACATTTATTTATCGTATTTTCACTTGATATAATTTATCCAGTGATAAATTGTCAATTATAAATAATATTAACCGAAACAAAAGACTATATTGAAATAAATCCTTGAATCTAAATTATCAAATTAGGATAAATTAAAGATTAATTATGATCGAATGTCAGTTTAATATTATTAAAAATGCCTTTAAAAAAATTGTGGGATGACAAGTTTTAAACTTTAGTGCCAGTTGAATTAATTATTAAAAATAAATAATGTTCACTAAAAAAGTTTAAATTAAAGGCACAATATGATATAATCAAGAAAAAGCATAGTTGTGGCTGAGTGTGTTTCAAATAAAAGTGTAATATATATTATATTTGATGAGTGTGTTTCAAGTAAATGTGTAATATATTATATTTGATTATTAACCCATTATTTGGAATAAATGAATAATATAATATATTTGTGAAATTCATTTATAAAGTCAAATTTTTATGTTGGTATGAGAAAAAAAAATGAACATCTAAATTTTATGAATTCAATTATATAGTTGAATATAACCAAAACCAAATTATACCAAGAAAATATAGAATTTTCAAATGAATTTCATTAACTTAAACAACTTAAATCTTTATGAAGCTAAGGGCTGGTCACTCGATAACCTACTTTTATTTTGTCTACTACATTTAATCCAGTTTTTATTTCAGGAGACATCAATACATAGTCAAGTCTTTAGTGATAACTCTTCACTCCATAAATATTGAAGAGGAAAAAGAAAAAGAAATATGTTCAGTCACGTAAATGGTTGTACATGTCAGATATTTCTCTTATATTGATTTCCCAGCAAGAAAACGGCTGTAAAAATCCAATGCCTCTTGTGGTTTGTACTCTGGGACAGTATGTCCAGCCCCCTGCACCAACACAAGGAATCAACCAAAAGAAAAAGAATAATCAAAATGTTCAAATTCATATTTGAAACTGCATAAAGATACAGTAGAGTATATATTACCTTTATGGTTAAAAAGGTGAGGTTGTTCTCATACCCTTGTGTATACCTGCAACAAATAAAACTTCTCAAAGTCTTTCCATGAAGAGCACAATTTTTTTGTAAAAGGTAGTGCTGAAAGCAGCAAAGAAGTACTTTTTTTTCTTATTAATATGAAAGAAAGATTCTGGGGTTCAAAATTAATAAAATATTTGAAGTGATTTTGTTAGAGAGAGAGAGAGAGAGAGAGAGAGAGAGAGAGAGAGAGAGAGTTATTGAAAGTACCCAGCAACTTGTCCTTTGGAAGTCCATGGCCTCCATTCATCCACTATTTTATATCCCATTGATCTTGTCCATGCTTCACTACCAGTGTACGGCACGCACATATCATGATCCCCACTGTCAAAAAGTTTGAGAACTTGCATAACACGACAGAAAACATAAATTGAAGGGATAAACAGCACAAGTTAAAAGATGCATAAATTATTGATGGTATTTGACAAAGCAGAGAACTCCCAAGTTCTACATAATCGAAGATAAATGAAAAGGAGTGTTCAATGTTAAAAAACTTTCATCTCATATGGTAGAAAACGTTTCTGATATATGTTTTTAGTGTCCACCTTAATATATTGTTGTTCTCATCCATGAGGAACAGATTTCCATTAATGCACAACTTTTAACAGTTAGTACTACTATGACTATGGATAATCCACCAAGTTAAGGTAAAAAGCATAATGCAGTCATTCCACTCTTAAGTTATTTATCACATTAGTCATGGACAAGCAGATGACTAGACCAGAAGCAAAATATAATTTTTGCCCCATTTTCTGGATAGACTACAGAGAAATAATTTTGTTAGGTAGCAACTGGAAAAGAACGAACATTTAAAGGATCGCCTTTGCGTGCTCTAAATTTAAAGTGATTTTTAGGTTATTGGCTTATTGACAAGAAGTTTTTGGTTTTTCAGATTAATTATTTCAACCAAAATATTGTTTTCTTTTCTTCATTTATTTACCCTTCACTTTTCGATATAACCCAAAACAATAACATCTCATAACTTACTATTTTTTCCCTGCTCATCTAGCCAACTCTTACCAACATAAACTAGTAACAAGTAGTTGAAGATCTACCTGAATATAAAGCAGTAAGAAGTATCAATTGGAGATCTACCTGAATATGAGTGCTCGATACCCTCTCAAAGTTAGGTTCCTGTGGAATTTCATCATGCTCCCAGCATCATGATAAAAGGTGATTTTATCAGTACACAATTCCCAAGCACCAAGTGCACTTTCCTGTTTGGTTGCAAGTTTATTAAGCTATTTGCTTGCAAAATTTTGCATGAGGACTGATTAAGTAAACTTACATCATCAGCATGGATTGCTTTCCTTACTTCTGCATTGTTCAGCCATGAGGTAGCAACTTCATCATCCTAAGAGTTGATATTGTAGATAAACCCAGAAACATAAGGTAAAGGAAAAAGAAGAAGCTACCACCAGATTAATGATGAAAATTAGTTATTCACAATGTAGTGATATGATAGACGATGAAAAGGTCAAGTGGCAAGTAGTTGATGGGTATTAGCTGTAAGAAACAGAAAGGGTCTGAACCTTTTGTCTGAGTTTAACCGCAAGGTGGGCTTCAAATAATAACATATTATCCATAATGCTCAAGGAAACTATGAAGAGAATTTATTGTAGATAAAAATTTTGAAGAAAGAGCACTGTGATCTAATATTTCATAACACTTCCTTTTTCATTTGCATATAGTGTAGCTGTCTTTTGTCCACCTTAAGTTCCAACTTGAGTTTCAGTATATTTTGCATAACCTGGTTGATAATTTCAGTCCGGTATATTCCAGCAGCAGGGTCTACGAAAGACTGCATATTTTGCCAGATAAAAATCCTTCAATTTTTTCCTTCAAAACACCGTTTTTTTCTCGCAATTTTCCTTGCCTTATAAAGCCTGGAAATTCTATTTTTCCTCAGTGGCATAGTCTGGCAGCAAGTGGTGACACATAGAAGTTATATGATTGCATTTGTTCTCTACTCACCATATTCTTTTTTCTTTCTAATCATCAATCTAAAAACCCAGATATAATGTTTCCATTGCAATTTGAATACCACCTTATTTTTTCCACTGCATGCTACATGACTTAAACCTTGATCATAGTAAAAAAACAATGCAATTCTTATAGACCATACATGTTACAAAATGAAAATTCCTAATCAATTTTGTCGTTTCTTTCTTAAGAAAAAAAGAACAGTGCAAGATTCACCATGTGCTACAGATTGAAGTTTAAGATTATAAACAAGAACAAGTGATATATGATGAAGAAGCATAATGGTATGAGAAAATATTATAGCAAGCGAAGACATTTTTTTTTTTAAAGAACAAAAAAACGAAAACTTGAAAAATAATTTAGGTTTTAAAAAAAACAAATAAAGGTCAAATGATTGAATATATTGACTTACAGTGCATGGAACACTTTCGCTATTGAGGAGCTGTGGCCAAGTTGGAACAATTCCCTCTCTTACAGGAGCTCTAAGAGGCCAGGCACGACCAAACATCCTTTTTCTCACAGGAAGAGGTCTATCTGTCTCACCTAATTGCCGGAAGCTAGGAGGTAACCTGATTTTAATATCTGTAACCTCCTTTGGGTCATCATCATAATAGCATGGTTCTAGAATATCATATATATTTAAACCTTCAATGTCCTGGAATTCATAAATTCTTAAGTAAACAACAGAGCACATAGTAGAGGGAAATCTTCTCTTGAAAAAATCATGATTTTAGATGTTCCATTACCTCATCAACCTTCGCAAGCTTGCTGTCACAAGCATCACTCAGTGGATTGTAAAAATTTCCCTTGCATTCACTATTTACTGCCTGCAGAATGCAACTTAGATTATCTAGACGAATGTTTAGAGAAAATAAAGAAACTCTACCTCAGTATCATAGTCAAATGTTACTGAACTCAATGAAAGAATACAAGGGTTTAAAATATTTTCTACGACATAGAAACAACAAGACATTTGTCTTCTTTCCAAACACAAGAAGAAGCATGCTAAGGAAGTAAATAAGAAGCAATTATGAAAATGCCTTTTATTTCAATTGTATGCTCCACTCACCTCAAACAGCTCATCGGAGATCAGTCCCATCCCATGCGCGAATGGAACAAGAGCATTTCCATCATACATCTCATCTGTAACTCCATTTCCTACCAGATACCCCTGCATATGATTTAAGATTGCAGCCACATATTTTGACTTCAAAAAAAAGGCTTCCATTGGGATACATTATATACCTTGAAATTTAAGGTGGGCTTTACACCAGCATCCATTCCTGTTAAATACAAAAAGAAGGAATTTTTAGGCTTGTCCTACTACATGCGACTCAAAGAACAATGAGAATTACCTTTCACTACTTCATAAGAAAGAGTTGGCACATAAACTCCAGCATATGACTCCCCAGAAATAAAAAATGGATTGGGAAGGAACTCTGGGTATATCTCAAACCACTGGTTGCAGAATATTAAACTAATGAGATTCAAGTACAATGGAAATTAAGATACAGTTAGACATGACCAAATTAGCCTTTTTTTCATTTTATACCTTGAGCAAAAAAGTATGTGAATCCAAGGAGGTCTTTACGTCACCAGTTATGTAATCGCTTTTATTCTTAGAATAAGAGAGACCAACACCAGCAGGGGAATCTAAATATAAAATGTTGGAAACCTGGAAAGCAAATAAAATTGTGATACGATTATGTTCAAACATATGGAGAAAGTCTAACCTAGAAAATAGTATAAGTTGCAGATTGCAATTCCTCCAAAAGAAGAAATATATCTATATATAATTTTTTTAGAAGATCAAAACCTTGGACCAGCTGTATGGATTAAGATGCAATGTGGGCAGATCTCCATGTGCTTTCGCAGCTTCAAAATTGAAAGGACCTGCATCGCATTAAAAGCTATCTTTTTAAATTGACAGAAATCAAGCAAAGGAATCTGAATTGATAATAAATACTAAGAACTAACTCAAAAAAGCAACAAGCAACATGCAGAATCAATAATTCAATATTTGTACCATAAATTTGGAACAAAGCAAATCCAAAACTAATATGATCAAATCATCATACGAATAAGAAAATCTGACTTTAGATATAACATCATAATTTAAAAATTAAATTAGCCCTGTTTTAAAAGTAAAGCTATCTTTTTAAATTGACAAATTTAGCAAAGCAATACTAATTGATGATAAAAACTAAGAACTAACTCAAAAAAAAAAAGCCAAAAGCAACAGGATGAATCCTTAATTCAATATTTGTGCCATAAATTTGGAACAAAACATAAATCCAAAACCGATAATACCAAATCATCAAATAACTTCCTATAATTGGACATACAAGACGAGAATTTCTGATTTTAGATACAATATAAAATCATCATTGAAAAATTAAATCGGCCTTATTAAAAAGGTTAAAGTTTATAGCAAAAAGGCTGACTAACTATAAAAACAGCATGCATTACTCTGGAATTGGACTGCTAGTAGTATATTTAGGAAAGAAAAACTTGATCAGATTGATACCATGCTCATATACAAATCCATCAAAGCTAGAGCATCCAGGTCCACCATTGAGCCAAAGAACAACAGGATCCTTTGATGGGTTTCCTTCAGATTCAACAAAGTAATAAAACAATTTCTTGCCATGGCTTTCATCAATGGTCACATACCTTCAAAAACAAAAGAAATAAATAAATACAACTCACAAAATCAATAAATTAACTTACTGGGTCACAATCACATGACTTCAGTTTCTAAAACTCCGTAAGAATAACAGAAAGTAATATAAATAGCATAAAAATACAACAGAAGCAGATAAATTAAGAAGTCAAGAAAGAAACCTACCCAGAATAGTGTTTAGAAGGAAGGGTGCCATTGAAACCGGGGATTTGAGTAATAAGAGAAGACTGAGGAGCACAGTGAGCGAGCAGAAAAAAGCTTACTAACAAGCAAAGAGCTAAACTGTAGAAGATAGCCATTGTATTATGCTTATCCATGGCTACTTGCTCACTACTATGAACAGAATACCGAAAGTGGGCCTTTTAAAGATCCAAAATTTCAAGTAATAATAAATAAAAACAAAAGCATAAATAGTCTATTCACAAGAAACACATGCTGTGATGATTGATATTTATAGAAAAAAAAAAAAAATCAATGGGATTGTGCAATTTGTTTATACTTTTATTACCTTGCAAGTCAAGACCCATACGGAAGAGGGAGAAATGGACGCTTGCACTGCACGTGGCCCAACCAACAGAGCATAAGACCTAAATGGAAAATAAATGTTACCCGTGCGCTCTTCATGTCGTACCCTTAAAAAAATTATTTAATTTATTTCAATCTCGAATAAATTAATTATATTATTTTTATTTAAAATAAAAAAGAGAAATTTTTAGGTTTTATAATAATTAATATTCCTCATTTGTAAAGTGTAAAAATAAAAAAAAATTATTATTAAATATGAGAATTATTTATAAAGATGATATTTTTCACAAATGTAACAATTTTTTTATAGACATAAATATAATAATTAATTCTTGATACTTAAACTAGTAATTAATCCTTCTTAATTCTAAAGTCTGATCCTGCATTGGCCCTTCACATTTATTTAATATTGAATTATTATTTAATCGCAAGGAATAGCTTATTATTTATTTAATAAAGTTAAATTTTTATATTATGACTGTACATCCAAACAATTATTATATATCCAATACCTAAGTAGATAAGGAGTTAGGGATGACGCCAGAACAAGAAATTGCGCAACCAAAAGATAACAAATGGAATGTTTACCTGGAAATTTTTTTACGTTGAAGACTGTGAGTGGCTCTTTTAAAAGGATAATTCAGCCTGTTTTTTTTTTTAATAATTTTTTTTATTGAAAAGCCAAGGCTTATATATTCTTATTTGCCAAATTAATAATATTTTTTGAATATATTAAATGAATACAATATATGATTTATTTTCTTTTCTTGATTAAAAATAAGTCATTGTTTCTCTTGATTTTTAAAATGAATTAGCTGAAAATAAACTATGTTTGATGTCTCGAAATTGAATATATATAGAGAGAGAATATCGGTTAATAATAATGTGACATATTTAAATATTTGATATTTAAATTTATAGGGAGATTCCTTTGGTTAAATAATGATGTGGTATCTTTGAACATTATTTAAATTTAATATTAAATTCAATAGTCTAATTAAAATTCAGATTCTTTGCTTTGGTGTTAAAAAAAATATATTGTTACTTATGAATTGTGATTGACCAATACCGTTTCAGTTTCTGTTATCTTTGCGTGTGCGCTAAGTTTGTCGAGAGTGGACAAACAAATGAAATAATAAGCATGCGGAATATGTGACCATGTGAGTTGCAGAATCCTAAAATTCCCATCAAAAATTTTTTTATACACTTCTGCCCTGCATTGATATTAATTCGATGAGCGAATATTTGAAACAAAAATTCATATAATCAATCCCAATTAGTTAGAAACTAAAAATTTATTCGGCAAAAATACCTGTTTTTGATAATTGTTAGTCATTATAGTAATATTTAAGTGTTTGATTAGCCAATAGTTATTTGAGTAGCTTTTTATAAAATGTTAAAAGTTAAATGATACAGGAATTAACATTTTATAAAATGTTAAAATATTATCTTAATCTCAAAAAATTAATTCAAATGCTACGTTACTGAATATGAAAAATAGTGTTTATTCAAACACTAATAGCTACCTAAAGCATGGTGGTGGTGGTTGTGAGCTGCAATTCTACTACAACTAAAATTGCAATCCCAATACTTCCAAGTTTCAAGCCTTAGAAGAAAAGCTATTTTCTCCAATAGTCAGTCAGTGGTTTTTAGTTGAACCTGTACAGCTTGAACAACACAATCACTGATTTGCAAGGCAACCATTTCACTTGAATACCATAAATACATCAAATACAATACAAGAACACAAGCCTTTCATCTAACAACCACCATATGTTACATTTTCACTGGATTTTCCATTTCATGTGGAACAGGTCACGCCTTTTCGCGTTCCCTTATTTCAATACCTGTTACCTAACAAAACTTGCATACAAGGTTGTGAAAATGACAGCAAAAACTGTTACACTCACATTTGCAAGTGATGGTGCATTAGAGAACTTAAACCTCTGAGCCTGTTGTCTGCAAAGATGAGGAAATGTCAAGGAATGGGATATTATGAACAACCATTCATTTTTTAAGTTAAAATACAGACAATGAACTTTGTCCATAAGATTTTTGAGCAGCAGTTCAACTCCCCAGTAGTAATGCATGATTCAATATATTGTAAAGGTTCATGATCTTCATAAGATATTCCTAATTTTTTTTACACAGAAATGTGAGGTTAAACTTGAGCCAAAATTGAATTCAAAAATGAAAATGGAAAACCTTTTTTTGAGATTTTATATGTTAAAAAGAGTTATCAAGCACAGTTTAGCTTATGAGATCTTACTTCTGTAAAGAAGATAATAGGCCGCAATAAATGCAATTATCAGGCAATGGAATTTCAGATGAGTCAATCTCTGGATTTACAACGCTCACATAAACCTCCTGGCCCAGATACCAAGTGTTGAGATTCTGTGTCCTGAGATTCCAAATGCCAGCATTATCAAGAGAAACTAGGATAGCAGTCCAAGCTCCAGGGAAGACCTGAAATCAAGTGAGGATAATAATTTTTTATTTTTATTTTTTTTTAAAAGGGGCCTAAATTCCTTTTTGTCTCGGTAAAGATTCATATCCATGTAACCATATTTATGCATGAGAAGAAACAGTGTGCAATTTCTTTTTCCTATGCACTTCCATGTATCTGCAGACTGCAATAATAATGGTCTACCCACTTCGCAAACATAAAACTTTCCCTTCTGATTTCTTTCAGACAAGACGCAACATAAAAATTTAAGCACACATTCAAAACAAAAGTCTAATATTTCAACATGACACATACCATCCACTTGGCAACAGAAATTACATTAATGTACTCATTGTTGGCCTCTCAGTTAATATACTGATATAACCAGTATTTATCATTCCCATATTTATTAGTGTTTTTCATCCAGTTTTATCCATAAAGCATAATCCTAGGTTTATTTCTTAGAAAAGAACTCCAGACTGGTTTTCCAATAATATTGTTTTAAGAGCTACCTCTAGTTTTCTTTTCCACAAAATATGTGCAGATATTATCCTCCTCCATTTCAATTTCTCGAGTCTCATAAGCCTTTCCAGCAAAAGCATTCAGCAATGCTTCATGGAAAAACATATAGAATGGAGGTTACAAGACAAAGTACCTGTGTAGTGCAGCGAGCAACACCATCCCATTTGTTGTATGTACCTCTGCTATTCTCTGTCCACACTCCAAAATCCATACTGCAATGCAGAAAAAGAAATTGCATATTATCTTGCTAAGTTCTGCATATATTGCGTAGAAATAGCGATTATAAGCATATCAAAACTGAAATCTCACCCCACAACAAAGAATGCATATCCATCCATATGATAGCTTTGGACGGTGGTGTCGTCGTTCTGAAAGATTATTTCCATAAAACCTTTAAAAGTACCATTAATTAGAGATGTATCTACTTTGGGAGGTCTGTTCATCAGCCTATTAGGGAAGTCAAGCTTGTAGACACCTGAAATGTTGTATTGCTGAGCAAGCTTCAAGGGTGTTGAAGGTGGTAGGTATGAGATACCATTAAGGGTAGAACGCAACTTCCCATCTATAAGCTCTGCAGGTTTATTGAGAATCACATATACATCTGTCACAGTAATATCACCGTATTTGAAAGATCCCTGTGGATTTGGACGAGCAGCACCCGCTGAGACATTCCATCTGAAAATGCACCAATTTAACGAAAATTCATTAAAAACAATCCCAGCATCCATGAAAATCAAAAGCACTTATTTGAATATGGAAGTTCAAGGAAATTGAACTAGATATAAAAGCAAACAATTGTCCTTCTGGTTCTGTTGTTGTACCAATTCCCCATTTCTGTAAAACTTGTCATACAGAAGCTTAAAGATTAATTAATCACAGATTATTAATTAATTACTCAGCATTAAGATAATGGAGTAAAGTGATAGTTTAGCAACTCAAAATGGTGGAGGTTAACGATATCTTCAATTGTAATCCAAGAGATATATACTTAACTACAACCTTATGGATCTTGCTTGATTCATTGAGAAATATGTATCGTATTCATTAGGAAGATCAGGAAGAGGACCTGAAGCAGGTCCCTGTGAATTGGAATAGTGCAAGATAGCAACTCCTGTGGCTTTAGTCCAAGTAGATGAATTTACATATCGGGAACTGGCAACAATGTAGTAATCACTGGTAGCATTTTGATCCATTGTAACCAAGAATGAATATGATTGACCCACATGAATATCCATGTTTTCATAGTTCTGCTGGACAGTGTATGATCCTTCTGTCTCCACAAGAAGCAAGTTATGGTTTTGTATTCTGAAATTCAAGCTTGTTGAGATACCAACATTGTGCACCCGGAAGCGATATGTCTTTCCTGTTTAAGATGAAATATAAAGCATCTGATTATTTCAAAAAGGGAACGGCATTTATATTTTAAAAAATTGCTTTTTGAGCAGTGAACCTCAATGTCAATCCTAAAAAAGAAGGCATGTTCTCAGCTAGCAACAAATTACAAAGTCAAAGATTTGAGAATGGAAAAGCTATAGTTAACTGGGTATTAATCCCTAGAGAATTCGCAGATGCTTTGGACCCTGTATTTTGGACATTATTTGATGGAAGTAAGACCTTTCTAATTATCTAGTTTGCACAGGATTCACGGGACAAAGAGGCATGCATATCTAAGTCCTTTTACGGAAGAAATCCAGGACATTATAGCGAGTAAGAAGCTCAATTCATGTGATAAAATAACAGTCATTAAATATTTTCACACAACTTTCTGAATGTAAGAACTCAAACCAGAGGGACATAAACTTAGTGGAAGAGCTATAAATATGAAGACATGCGATGTATCAGACACTATGCAAGATGGTTGGGTTCTTTACCAAAAAAATGCAAACGAAGTCCATCTTCCACAGCAGGGGCAATGATAAGACGGAAGAGATGAAACTGGCATCACATTAACATTTTCACCATTTGATAATTATTCTGAGAATGGCAGATTGCTACCATTTAAATTTTAAACGTAAATATCATCCAATCCCTTGTGACAGCCAAACTTCCTCTAACATAAAAGCCTAACTATTGGAAATTTTTGGGAAAAACTCAAATTAAAATTATATAATCATTTCCTCCAAGCAAGATTCAAGTTCTAGAACTAAAATAATAGCAAATTGAGCATGAGAGACACATCTTAAACACTTACCAGGTTCAACATTTATTATCTGATAAGTAATGCCGCCTTGGACAAGAGCCTCATCATATCTATACGGACCAAATCCATTAATGAGGATTCCATCAGGAACTCCTAGGTCATCTCCTTTTTCCAAATGCTTCCTTAGTTCCTGTTACCGCAAAAATATTTGTCAAGCACACTAACCAACTAAAGTACCAGGCATTCACCAGAAGCAATAAGCAAAACACCATCTTGACTGACCTTATGACTCTTAGTATACCAATCACTGATGAAAATAGTAAAATCTCCATCGGGCATGGCAAATGGTACTGGAATGACATTTCTGTTGTTTATAATGATTCCTCCATAACCGCCTGCTGCTCTCTGGAAGTTGAGAGAAGGGAAGTAGAAGAAACTCCCTATCTGATCTTTGACCTGAAACTGATATGTCCAATTCCATCCAGCTGGAATTGGACAATTAGTCCCCAGAACACCATCCTGCCAGGAGTTTTTCCTATGTTGTAAGCCATTCCTAAACAGTAAACAGAGGTAACTGACTTTAACCAGATTTTTGTTCTAATTTTCAAAGTATAATAAGCACATAGTATCACTATCATTATAATACCATGTGAGAAGCAATGGCTCATCAAGTTCATTCTTGACGTTGACAATCACGTTCCAATTTGTAGTGACATTAAGAATTGGCCCAGGAAACATTCCATTAATACCAATCACCTGGAGTAATAATTGATTCAAAAGTAACAGAAAACGACCAAAATCATCACTCCCAAAAAAGGGAACTTTCATATTAATTATGAAACAATACTACGCAATTCAAACTCCAATATGATATATTACTGCATATTTAAAATAAATAAAGAAAAAAAAAAAGAAGGGCATAATTGAAAATAAACAAATATAATTGCAGTCATAAAATAGAGAAAGAAGGAAAAAGAACCTGTTGTTTAACTCCAAGAGGGTATCCAGTGAGATAAGAGACAGTCCAATCAAAGTAAACATAAGGATCATCTGCTAAAGAAGCAGTTAGTAGAAAACTAAGTAGAAAAAAGAAGAAGGAAAAGGAGGAGTGGGATACACAGGCAACAGAGCGCATTGGATCCCTTCTCTATCCACTTTCAGCTTTCTTTTCTCTTCGTTCTGCAAGGGAAAGAAAGAAAAACCAAAAGAGGCGCATGGGATTCTGAAGAAACCCATGCTTGTTTGCAGACAGCTAGAGGATTCTGTGTCGCTGGAGCTGCCAGTTCTAGTAAAGGGACCCACTACTTGCTTTTGTTCCTTCTCTTTCTCCACTTACAGTACAGTCATACACATTCATTGATCCATAGATGGACTTCTTCTTTCAACGTGTGGGTCCTAAAGGTTGCAAGTGAATTTTTGACCGACAACTGACTTTCTTGGGATCAAACCCAAAAAGAAAAAAAAAAAAAGTAGTTAAATTGAAACAAAACAACAAAGGAATTTAAGTTCAGATTGCTTTCTTCTTCTTCTTTCATTTGTTTTTCATTTGGATTTAAAATGAAAATGGAATTCAAAATTTATGTAGTATCAATAAATTAAATTATAAAATTCACTTATGGATAATAAATATTAAATTAATTATAATTTTCTCAATTATTGGATAATAAATAAAAAATTAAGGGTGAAGGTCTCCTGCTATTCTAGTTGGCATTAAACTAACTGCTCTCCATATATATTTGTTTCAAATTAAAATTTAAATTAACCCATTTATAAATATATATTTAAAAAATTTTACTATAAACTTGAGAAAACTTAAAAGCAACAACAAAACATTAATATTTTAAGCTCGTGATCCGACTCAAGTAGGAGTAGTCTCAGTCCAATGAACTGGGGACATCTCTGGTCTAATGCCAAAATCTAGTTGTAAGACTGTTAGCATACAGGAAAAATAACACTCCTATAACAGCTGCTAACTGCTACGTATTGGTAGCTACAATTAATTTTAAAAATATTTTTTCAAAAGAATACATGTTTAATTAAAGTCAAAGGTGGGCTGGGCTTAACTAGAGATAGGACTGGGTTGGGACGACCTGGGCTAAAAAGTTGAAAGGCATATGCTGCTGGGCCCTATTGAAGCCCAACCCTTCTGAATTAAACATATTGTAGGTATCATCCTATGTTGACATTTCTTTAGGAAGTATGTTATTTAATGCTATTTTCATTACAAGAGAGATGATTAAATTAAGAAAAGTAGGAGTCGCGAACAATATAATTTAGAAAGACATGCTGCCTCGGAGTAAAAAACTGATAAATATATGAAATTATTGTTTTTTATTTATGTCAAGACAAAATCATAATCATGCTCACATCCCTATCCTTCACATGCCATGTCTCTCCCTCTCTCTCTTAAATAATTTAATCATATACGTTTTGCAATCAATTAACTAAGTTTTTATTTAAAGAAAAATTGTTTAAAAAATTATTTATTAGCAACAATTTTTTTTTTATTAAAGAAACTCTTAAAATTGAAATTTTAAGAAATCAAATCGAATTCAATTGAATATATTCGATTTTTTAATCACCTTTGATACATTTGATTGTTTAGGATGCAAAATTAAAGAAATTAAATTTTAATTGAAATTAGTAATTAACTGATTTCAAATTCAAATTATATTTATTTTTCGGTTTTTTGTTAAAAGATTGACTGCATTTATTTTGATTGCGTTAGAATGCGAAATCGATGTTGCGATCCAAGTGTCAGAGCAGCAATTTGCGTCCTTCATCAAGCAGCTTTTTTCACACTTTTCCTCTCAACCTGTTACTGGACACACCTTTTTTAGTTTTTTACTTTTACCACTTGTTGCTGTTAGCTCACGCTTTCCTCATGTACACTCATCTTTTATATTCCCAACCCAACTTTTTTGCATTGCATCACCAACATACCTCTCTAGGGCCCACGCGCAGCCTTCAACCGCCACAAATCTCCTTCCACGCCGTGCGTGCTCCCACTCTCCATCTCCCTCCTCCATTCAATCACCGTTTGCCAGTAGTGTTGACACACGTGCCAGTAGTTATTTCGGTGCTCACCAACTGGCTCTTGCAAACTCCTATTAATCCTCCTCAAAATCACAAAAATACCACATCTACTGCAAACATGTTACTCTCTTATTGGCGGATCAGCTAGTTGCTGCAGTAGGCTTGAGCGTAGAAGATTGCCCCACTATCACCACCAATAATTGATAAGTTTCCAGATCCTCTCTGTACTCAAGCTGGCACTACTGTCTTCTTCTACCTCTTCTGATCACTCGATCTCCATTAAACCCTAACTCTAATTTAACTGCACTGTAAAAAATCGCCATAACCAGCAACTATCAGAAACAAACACCTGGCTTGGACTTGCGCCATTATATTCATGCTCTAGCACAAAAAACACACGCACAGAAACAGAACCAAAAGAAGAAAGATGCTTCCTTTTTTTCCTTTGATTTCACTCATTCTTCTTTCAATCCCAAGTGTCATTCCATTAGATAACAAACAATCAGTCTACGATGTTCTTAAGGAACATGGGCTACCCATGGGCCTACTACCGAAAGGCGTTAAGGATTTCAGAATTGAAGACACAGGCCATTTTGAGGTCCACTTGGATGAAGCTTGCAATGCGAAATTCGAAAACGAATTACATTACGATAGGAATGTTTCTGGGACTTTGAGCTACGGTCAGATCGGAGCTTTATCGGGAATTTCGGCGCAGGAGTTGTTTTTGTGGTTTCCGGTTAAGGGGATTCGTGTAGATATACCTAGTTCGGGGCTTATATATTTCGATGTTGGTGTTGTTTCTAAGCAATTCTCGCTTTCCTTGTTCGAAACGCCAAGGGAATGTACGGCTGTTCGTGAAGGACAACCGGAGGCTATTGAAACTGGGCGGCTTATAGCGGAGGCTGTTTCCATGGTTAGTTTCATGTTATTTATGCAAAATTCTGAGCTCTTGTCTTAGTTTAGTTTACAAAGATTTTTTTTTTTTTTTTTTGGGTTAGAACAAAATTGAACCATTGGTAGGAGAATTGATCTTGAGAAAGAAAGGATTAGCTGTATAATCGTCCTGATTTTCCTGAATTGTCTATGTTTATGGTTGAATTTTTGATATTATATGCAGAGTCAACTTGGGGAACTAAGATACCAAATTGATCAAGGGAATTTTGGGAGGGGTGTTCTATAGAGTGCAAAGGAGAAAGCTAATACTTGAGATGTGCAATAGCTCAATCAGCTCATGGGTTCTCCATTTCACCTTGTAAATTTCATCACAGGTTCTGTTCTAGTAGGTCCAGTGCTTCCATTTCAATTCAGCGTGTTTGCTTGTGTTCTTTTCTCCCCTTATAGTGCAGAATATGCAACTTAGCTGAGACAGTTCTTGTCTATACATGGATGCCTGGCGAATGTCTTTGGAAGAAAATTTTGATGAGGAAATACCATGATCATCGAAGGCATTCTTCCTAGAGACCTTTAAGTGAGGCAGGAGCATTCGGCTAAGTGTGATTCCAGGTGACAAATCTGAGAAATTTAAATTTATTACGTTAAATTTGTTGTATTATGAATATATAATGTGGCTGCATTACCAAGTCAGGTTTTGTAGTTTTATTTTTTTTTATTTATTTATTTTTTTTTTTTAAATTGATGAGAGACATATACGTTCACGAAAAGGAAATTCAGGAATAAACAGCTTTCTTGCTTATATTTATCCTCCTAAACAAATAAACAGTAGTGGATTTTCTTTATTTATGTAGTTTCCTATATGTCTTCATTACCAGTTTGCTTAATTTTGTCACCTTTATTTTTTCTGTTTAATGCGGTGTATATATATCATGGTGTTGACTTATCGCGTTTGGTGAGTGGAATATGTGAGAATCCATCACTGAGTTATCAATTTATCATCTACCATTTTCTTTAAGGGACTCATATTTATCTTGTTATGCTCAGGTATAACCTCAACACTGTCAGAGAACTTGAACAGAGGCATTGGGTAGTCATATTTAATGATGTATATTTCTGCACTGAGATTTAGCTGTCTTTTGTCCCAGAATTTTTTCTTCTTCTCTTTGGGTGGACAGTGGGGGGTGGGTGCAGGGTTGGAGGGATTGTGGTTAGGCAAAGGTTGGTTGAAAATTTACTTTAGGATTTTGTATTTGATTCAGGAATTGCTAAATCCATGATAGGCTATCCTACTATATAATGCATCATCGGAGCCTGTTGAGATTTTCCGGGAGTTGAACTTCAGGTGCTACTTTGAACTCTGTCTCTATCCCTCTCGAATCATGATCTTTTTTGTTTTCCCTTTTTCTAGTCCTTGATTTGTGTTTTGATTTTTTTTCTAAAGGAATTACTTGTCCACTGAGCCTTGACTACACAAATAAAGGTTGTTCTCCCTTTCCTAATGTCCATAAATATAAAATCCAAATGATTCTCCTTAAGAGTTATTAGCTTTAGTGACATTTACCAATGCTCAAGTAGTTCAGGATTGACCAACTAACTAACCACGGGGCCTATGGCTATGGCCAATTCTCGGTGCTTATCTTATGTGTTGAGGATATCAGATGAGCCTCTATTTTCCAACAGCTGACAGATTAGGCATCTCAATTGGCCTGGTCTCAGGCTCTCAGCAGCTATTTGGATGCATATAAATGCCTAATTGGGAGCTGCCTGCAATTGTTCATGCATGATCTTTCTTATTGCCAAATAATGTTTCAAGTAAACCTGCTATTCTTTCTCCATGAATTTCCTGTTCAGGTGGTAAAAATGAGGTGGAATGCATATTTGTCTCTGTTTTCCTTTTTACTGCAGTTTTTATTCTTCGACATCTGAACGCACCGATTCAAAGAAAGAGAGGGGAAAAAAATCATAATTGAGCCAGACGAATGAAGATCTGGTTCTTATCTCTCTGCTTTGATTGCCAGCCCAATTAATCTAATTTTTTTCAAATACTGTTTGCATAATTTGAAACTATTGTTCTTTTGTTTCCATTATGCATTTTATTCATGAAATAGTTGATAATTTAAATGGGAATGTAGTCCCATCACTAAGAGGGCTCGGACAGGACAAACTAGGCTGGACTGAGCTGCCTGCTTTCTTAGTTATTTCTGTGTATGGTATGATGGATCGAAGACATGTTAATTCCTAGATGTTTTTAATTTATTGGAGTGAGAAGTTCTTGTTATATGATCCCCAAACATCCCACATGCACTAAGAACAAAGGATGTTTGACCAGCATGCATGTGTTATTGTTCCTGTTTGTGTCCATTTTTGTTTTGTATTCGATGATAGTAACATGTAGATTCTGTAGGAATTTTGTTTTTAGGTGGAAACAGTTAGCTTGACCCACCCTTTGTGGTGGGGATTATGGCTAGCTTGTATATTGTAAGAACGCAATAATTGTTAAATCATTCTATTTGTCCCATCTAATCATTCCATTCTCTTCTGCATTATTTCAAATTGAAATGTGTAGCCTGATTAACTGGATTAAGCAACTTTTCTTATCAATATGTGCATATCTTATCTCAATGACAAAACTTCTTACCCTACATTGTATTGGAATTCCAACTACTGATTTCAAAGTTGACATGTAAAAAATTACATGTGGATACCATTTTTTTCAAAAAAATAAATAAATGGTTTTATAACTTAACGGCTATCAAGTCTCAACGCATCAACAATACATATAGGAAGTGAAATAAACCATTCCACCAAATCAACGGTATATGTTCCTGCCATTTAAGTTATGCTTTTGTTTATAAATTATTTTTGCAGGGTCAAATGAGATTGTTTTGGACTTGATACTATTTGAATAGAGAGACCTAATATTTGACCTTATGTAATCTTGTATGTTCAAGCAGGTTGCACTCAAATGTCTAAACTTGTGGTGGGAGGATTCTCGTGCAAATAGGTATCACATGTAAGGGGTTAAATGAAATATCTAGCGGTCAAGTAATAATATATTTTATCTAAAAAAAAAAAAAAAAAACGAAATGTCCTTAAACTTGTGGTGGGAAGGATTCTCCGGCAAATAGGTATCACATGTTTAAGGGGTTTAAATGATATCTAGCGGTCAAGTTAATAATATATTTTATCTAAAAAAAAAAAAAAAAAAACGTTATTTCACCAAAATATAACCTTATATCATAATTTTGTTTCCAACTCTCTTTTGAGAAATATAGAAAGAATTGCTCCATGTGGTGACATATTAAAAAAAAGGACATTTCAAATGGCCAAGAAAAAAATTTTAAAATTTTATGGAGTTGAACCAATGAATGTATAAAATCTAGCTAAGTATAACCAAATTATCAAACTCGTTTAAAAAAAAGGAAGTGGGATAAATTTTATAAAAAAAAAAAAAAAAAAACGTTATTCACCAAATATAACCTTATATCATAATTTGTTTCCAACTCTCTTTGAGAAATAGAGATTGCTCCATGTGGTACATATTAAAAAAAGGACATTTCAATGGCAAGAAAATTTAAAATTTTATGGAGTTGAACCATGAATGTATAAATCTAGCTAAGTATAACCAATATCAAACTCGTTTAAAAAAAGGATAGTGATAAATTGATGGCCAGCTGTTTGAGTATTGATGAGTCGTTTACTAAATTTTAATTAATTTGAGATTAAAGCTTAATCGCTGTGTTGAAGGGTGGATTAAAAATTTCTCTTGAATGGAATGTTGTTGGGTTTATGAAAGTTGAAAGCTAACACCTTTCAACAATTCTTGTTTTATTTTTATTATTGAGAGATGGACAATTTGCAAAATTGCTCGCCAGTTAAAAATGCATTGGAAGGCCCAAACCATTAGATGCCCCAATCATAAATAAGCCCAATAATTGCTAAGCCTATAACCATTTCCTCAGTTTTCTTGACTCCATTATTCTGATTCTGGGATTTGAAGCTCATACCAAAAAAAATAGATCTCAACAAAATCAATTATATTTATATGCGCACTCAATCATTTTTTTCTGTTGCTAATTTCTCATAATGACCGGTGAATTATACTCATACCTAATTTAGAAAGTAAAAACATTTTAACAAGAGGAAATAATAACAACTGTAGTCATAAAAGTATTGCCCTAGCTAACCGGAATCTTCTGTTCAGGCACCTCACCTCGAAGGAAATTAAAAAACACAATCAAAGTCACGAAATTCTATGAAAAATCTTTTATCAACAATTTACACATTTGCGCTCTGTAAATCTATTAAAATTTACACATTTTAATGCATTTTCACAATATACAGAGATTCACCGAGCCGATAATAATAATAATAATTCATGTTTCCATCTGTTTAATGTATTTAAAAAACTATATGGCTGAAACTATTGTTAAAAATGTTGCATATACTATAAGATTTCTGTTGATAATAAGAAGAGTATTGGAAATATGAATTTAAATTTTAGAAGTGGTATTTTTGTATTCTGTGAAATATTTATATAAATAATTAATATATGCATTAATGTTTTGATAAGTACTAAAACTATGTTAAAAGCAATGAGTCATGTAGCTATTACAAATAGTTTTGTCGTTTTCATTGTCACAATCAAAGAACAAGTTGTTCGCATGAATCCCATTTTGTTTGAGAGTGAATAATACAAGGAAGGAAATAACGTAAAGGGGAGAGGGGAAATAAAGAGCAGCATATATGGAAGGATAATGTTAAGACAATTTTATCTTTCTTCTTTTATTGTTTGGTTATAATATTAAAAATTAGTTAAATTATCAAAATTTATAATTTATAAAACATAAAAATATTTACAACTACAGGAATTTACATCTAAATATAAAGAAAAATACATGATAATGATAATATTGATTATTAATAGTAAACGGTGGTGGTGGCTAGTGATCGGTAGTAATTAATGGTAATCAATAATTAATATAAATATGTATTTTATAAGATTATACAAAATTTATCTGTCCAGAAAATATTTTTCTCTTCTAAAAAAGAGAAACATTTTTTTATTTTTCTTTAAAATAATTTAGTTTTAGTTTGACTAAGAAAATATTTTTTTCATTGATTGATTTTCCTAAACATTTCAAACATCAAAAAATTCAAAACACGTTTCCAGATACATTATTTTCAGAAATAAATCAAAACTTAAATATAATTTTATTACTGTTTAATGGGTTTTTCTCCCTCCCCGATGCCAAAATAAATAAAAAGATGAGAACCTAATGGGTCAGTGACCAAAAAGTTGCATTATAAATTTATAATGCAAACAAATACGAAACTGCACTGCAAGTTCCACAAGGCAACTGTTTAAGTTTGCCTAATATTTTATAGCTTTTATACTAATATTTAAAATTTGAAGAAACATTATAGAACATTACACTCTCTTTAACGTTTGATGAAACGCTAACTAATTAGTTAACAGCTATTAAAACAGCTAATTTACCCACATGCTCAAGATTTGAAAATGTAAATGACCATTGAAAATTTAAAAATAAAACTTGCAAAAGCAAGTGCTATTATAAAATAAAATTGAAATTCTAGTAAGAGAGTGGCTTTATAGTTATTGTTGATTTGTTATGTGTTGTTGGGGCATTCTGTGTATGCTCTTTCCTTTTTATATGGTCTTTTAAAAATGATGGATCTTTAATTAAATACTAGCTTTTAATAGTTATCAGTTGATTTATTAGTATTAATATTTTATTAAATATTAAAAAAATAACGTTTCATATAATTATCTTTTAAACTCTAAACATTATTATAAATATTACGTCAAACACTGTAAATAATAAAATATTATTTTAACATTAATTAAAACATTAAATGGTATATCAAAAGCTATTACCGAATAAAATCTTAACGTGATATTTGTGATTGAAAATGCACTACCTCTATTTTTATATGCTCTGGACATGTTGCTTGAAGAATGCAACCACGTCCTAGAATTTATTCACTAAATGGCAATCCATATCTTAAAACTTCACCACTTCAAGATATATATATTTTTTTATCCTTATCCTAATCTTAATTAATTAATTTACTTATAAAAATATTTTTAATAATTTCATTTAATTTCGGCTTCCTTATATTTAATTATCCCAAATCAACCTAAATAAATAATGAATTTAACGAAAATTAATTAAATTGATCAAATGACTTCAAAAAGTGCAAATGTGGTATAAATAAAATTTAAAAAATTAATTTTAAATATTACAAATAAATAATAAAAAATGAGTTATTTGAAAATATTTAAAAAATAAGTTAGTTTTGAAAAAAAAAAAAAGGTGCCTTAAACTTATTAAATTTAGTCTCTAATCGATAAAATCACTTGAAAATAGCTTTAAAAGAAATGAAGGAAAGGAATAAATATGCCTCGCCATTACAACATCTATAATAGATTTGTTGTCTTGCTGACATGGATTTGAATTTTCAAACTAAAAAAGAAATTATTAAATATTAAAATTGACAATTGTAAAAGTGCAGAAAACACGCGGCAAAGTCGGTTAAACAGCTCACTCAACATGCAAACACCGCCAAATATTTCAACAACGCTGCCTCTGGATTCTTACAGCTTACCACCCTAACTTGTGCTTATTTCTTTTTAACCCATGAATTTCTGTTTTTTTTACGATGACACCCTTCTAATATAATTTGCTTCACTCGTGTCATTCCTTTTTAATATTAGTAACACTTTCTTTAATATATGATGAATAAAGACACATCAATTCTATTTTTTTAATTCAAATAGATGAATTATTGAAAACTAGAAATGTTAACAACATATGATAATGACACTTTAGTTTGATAATCACCTTCCTTAATTTCTAGTTAATTATAAAATGAAGTTGTTGTTAATCAAATTAATTTTCTTAGTCTTACCTTGATTAAGATATCATGTTAGATTAGTCATACTATTCCTTTATATTTATATATTATAAAATATGTAAAAAAAAGTTAAAAATAGATATGTAATTAAAAATTTTAAGAAAACATTTATTATTGTTTGAAATAAATAGTCCAATGTTAAATTTTAAAGATTATGAATTTCTTACACTATAATTAGTAGGAAAATAAATTATTTAATCCCTTAAAATGTTCGATTGAAAATGAGCAAAATAGTGACTGATTCGACCTATTTGAATTTAAAATTATATATATATGAAGATGTATTTATTTTCTGATTAATATTTAATAGTTAGAATTATTTTTTGCTTGACGAAAATATTATTGAATTTTATAGAACAAAAATTTTGAGATGTTTAAATTAATATTTAGAAATATAAAGACAAATAGTTAATTAGAAGACTAAAAATATTCTCATATTATTTTTTCAAAAAAGTAAACAATGTAGGCATTATAAAAGTAGCAGTTTTCAATTTTTAAAAAGTGTGGGGATAATTTTAATATTGGGCTGACTATAAATAAATAATCCAAAAATGAAAGGGTTAATTTGCGAATCTTTTAATGGAAATTGAAAAATCCAACATCTCATTACTATCATCTTTCACCGTCCATCTAATCGATCGCACCATCCAAAAAACACACCTGAACGTTCCTTTCCCCATCAATAAACTATAAATATCCTGTTAGTATTAGTCTTTTTTTAGGATTGAAAGTATTTTTTTTAACAAAAAAAAATATCTCTAGAGAAATATTTAAGAAAATAAAATTTTATCATTTGAAGAAAAATAAAATTTAGTGTATTTTCTACTTGTATCTATATGTTTAGAATTTTCCTAAATTAGAAAATAAATGAAAAAGAATTTCTATATTTTATTATTCAAAAATTCTTAAATTTCTAACAATTACCTTTTTGTAATAAATATATAATTATTAATTTAATAAATTTTTAAAACAAATTTCCTTTTTTTTAAAAAATATAATTTTATTTTTTTTTCATTTATTATGTTTAAATATAAGTGGAAAATATAACTATCAAAGTAAATTCAACAATGTCTCATTATTTTCTTTTTCTACTAATTTTCCATCCTCCCTTTATTAATAAAGCATTAATGAGTTTGCTAATTTTAAAATAAAAAAAATATCATATGTAGAAAATTGGTATCTTCCTCTACTAGTAAAAGCATCGCTCTATCCTCTCATCTCTTTCTCGGGCTCGGCTACCTCTCTTTCCCTCCACCACTCTCGCCGGGATACGCCACTCGCGGGGGATAACACAGCCCCGTTCCCTTTAACCATCGGAAAAAACCCACGAACCACCAGATAGCATTTCTTCAAAATAAAAAATGGCTTCAATGCCCTCTTTATCTTCCACACTTCCCATGGTCACAGCACCAAAACTATCAGTCTACACAAGAACAAGAAACTCTGTTTCTTTTCCCACTTCATTATTGGCTTGTCGTTCTTCTGTTTCGAAGCGGACAGAGTCAAGGTTTTATGGTAATGGAGGACTGTTTACATTTGCTTGCTCTACGTCACCGTTTTTGGGGAGAGTTGGGTCGCAGAGAAGAGAAGGAAATGTTTCTCTACTATATTTTGGGATTAGTAATTCTAATGTTGAGGTGGAAAAGACTAATTCTTCTCAGGTCCTATCGGCAATGCTTCCTTTTGTTGTTGCCGTCACTGCTATTGCTGCTCTTGTTCAACCATCCACTTTTACATGGTGGGTTTCATGAAGTTGGTTGCTTCTGATACTCTTAATTCTTTAAATTGCGGGTTATCTTCTGAATCTGTTTTTGATTAATTTTGATTTAAGAATGGATGGTTTATTGGTTTAGATAAGTTGGAATCTTGTTTTGGGATTGTCTCAGGTTCTTGGGTTGTTGGTGCTTGATTATCATTTATTAGCTACAATAATGTTTTTTTAATACCTGATTAAACTATTTTTTTAAACTGTATTCGTTATCTTGGTAAACAGTTTGTTCTCGAGCTATACTTTATTTTATTTTATTTTTTATTGGCTCTTCAAAGCTTAAATTCTTGTCTCTTTATCTGATTACAGATTTCACAGTTCTTTGTTGAATTTTTTTTTATGGGACCTATTTTTCACTTGTTTATGACTCTTCAAGCTTTCTGATGCGAATTGGTTTTTGATTTTGCTTTGTTTACTTGTTTCGATATTGATTTTGATTATTTAATTTGTCATGGAGTTCGTATATATATTGTTCTTTCTGTGTCTGTAAACTATCTATTATATCTGACGTTTCCAAAAATTTGTTCTTTTCTGGCAACTTTTCAAGTACTTTGTTAATATTTTATCTTTCTAAAAGAGCCTCGATGAGGGTGTTTTTAAATTGGGATTCGAATGGGTCAGTATTACAGAGCTGGTATATAAGTGTATTAATTTGGGACATCTTCCATGTGTTTGATGTAAGTCTCAAAAGAGGAGGCTGTGATGCATATTTAGTCCACTTCACTTCACTTTTGCTTCCTGTTTAAAATGATATCATAAGAAAGGACTTCTCTCTTTCTCTTTTTATTTTTTTTATTTCTTCTTCTTTCTTTCAGGGCATTACGTGACTTTTTTTCTCATGGACTTGGATATATATGCAAATTCAGTATTTTAAGAATTTGTGAATAACAGGGAGAAATGATGATTTTGAAACTTTGCAGGGTGTCGAAGGAGCTATACGCTCCTGCCCTTGGTGGGATAATGTTGTCAATTGGAATTAAACTTTCCATTGATGATTTTGCTCTTGCACTTAAGAGGTAAAATATCTTTTAATTTACTTTTTTCTTTTTAGCCAGTTTCTTTCAAGTTTTTCTCACAGTCAATTTTCAATATGCTCTCAAGTTTCTTTTTTTTTTTCCCATCTGTTGCAGACCTTTACCACTCTCTATTGGGTTCCTTGCACAGTATGTGCTCAAACCGGCTCTTGGGATATTAATTGCAAAAGCACTTGGGATGTCTCATATGTTTTTCTCAGGTTTCGTCCTCACAGCATGTGTTGCAGGAGCTCAACTATCTAGCTATGCCAGTTTCTTGAGCAAAGGGGATGTGGCCATGAGCATTCTCCTTACTAGCACTACAACAATTACATCAGTGCTTGTCACACCTCTTTTAACTGGCCTCCTTATTGGCTCTATTGTTCCAGTTGATCCCATTGCCATGTCAAAGTCGATATTGCAGGTGATGACTGTGCTAACAAAATGATATTCTTTATTGGATTCAATGATTTTTTAGTCACTTAAACTAAAGATAGATTATCGATGAGCTTTGGCTTAATGGTAAATAGTTGTATGCATGGCTGTTAGGTTGCAATTTGGAGCCCTAATGAGAGCCTGATTAACTAACTATAAGAAAACGTGAAACTAAAAAAATATTTTTACTTTTGTTAGGTTGTTCTTGTTCCAGTCACCCTTGGCCTTGCCCTCAACACCTATGCAAAGCCGGTGGTACAGCTTATTCAGCCTGTGATGCCAATTATTGCGATGATATGTACATCAGTATGCATTGGCAGCCCACTGGCAATAAACAGGAGCCATATTTTGTCTGCACAGGGTCTCAGATTGGTTTTTCCAGTATTGGCATTTCATACAGCGGCATTCACTTTGGGATATTGGATTTCCAGGATTCCATTTTTGAGGTAATTTTACATTTCACATTCAAGGCTGTGTGTTTTGAAGAAGACTATTGTTTTTGTTGACTTGGGTTCCTCAAAACATCATATATCTCTTTTTTTTTTTTTTTTTTTTTTTATTTATTGCTGATGAATATGTACTCAGTATGCATGCAGAGCCCACTGGCAAATTAACCAGGAGCCATATTTGTCTGCACAGGGGTCTCAGATTTGGTTTTTCCAGTAAATTGGGCATTCCATACAGCGGCATTCACTTTGGGAATAATTGGATTTCCCGGATTCCATTTTTTTGAGGTAATTTTACATTTCACTTTCAATGGGCTTGGGTGTTTTGAAGAAGACTATTGTTTTTTGTTGACTTGGGTTCCTCAAAAATCATATATTCTTCTTTTTTTTTTTTTTTTTTTTTTTTATAAATTGTAAACCTCTTTCAATCACTGAAATGTCCCTCTGTTTTGAATACTTAGTAAATCGAGTTATAATTCTCCTGTCTAAACTTTTTTTTTTTTTTTTTTTTTTAATTGTAAAACCTCTTTCACTGAAATGTCCTCTGTTTTGAATACTTGTAAATTCGAGTTATAATTCTCTGCTAAACAGACATTCGTGAACTGCGAGAGTTTGGAGACCCCCTAGTTCATTTCAATGTTCTGCTACTATCCTAAGTGATTTGTATATGGATATCACTGTATCTTGTTAGAACCGGATCAATTCCATGATATCCTTCTGTTGCTGAACCCTTTGTTTGTCCAAAGGACAGGATAATGTTGAAACAGTTTTCAACATTGAGTGTTGTACTATTGTACGAGGGACATAGGTATTTGAAAACTCTTGCCTGTGATGTTTCCCCTATATGTTTCTAGAGATATGCTAGTAAAATTGATATGCCAATTCATTCAATTCTAATATTGCTTGTGATCAGCTTTCAGGTCACTGTACAACATAATAAAAGAATTTGCTTTTCCTGAGCATATTTTTCTATTCTGGAGCTTTTAGCATCTACTTGATTATTGATGATGCCAGTAACCCAAATGCATGTTGTTTTTTCCTGTTTCATAAATTTTATCTCGGCAATCATCCATTGACTACTTGGTCCACTTCGTATGAATGCTTAAGTAGTACCTTATTTCGATGCAATTTTATTTGTGAACAATTTTAAGTGGATGGTAATAAGACTAACAATGTTGTTATAAACTACATTGCCATTCCAAATTAGAATATATATGACTAAAATGATTATTATTGTTGCAGGCTAGACGAAGAAGTTAGCAGGACGATTTCATTATGCACAGGAATGCAAAGCTCCACTCTGGCCGGGCTTCTCGCATCACAGTTCCTTGGGACCACTCAGGCTGTCCCACCAGCATGTTCTGTAGTTGCCATGGCGATCATGGGTCTCTCTCTTGCATCTTTCTGGGGCAGTGGCTACCGGATAAGGGATTTGCCTTCCCGCCTCATCCCACAGTTTGGTTCTACTGTCAAGGCTTAGTCTAACAAATTGAGCTAATTTAATAGAGTTGGTCTAGATAGACAAGAAACCATCGGCAGTGATGGTCGAACCATCATAACCGATTAGATAGGCATTACAGTCAATAGATATAGTAGAAGCAAGTGCAAAGTATAGATAGCAGAAACTGCGGCCGTATCTGGTGTTGTATAGTTAGAAGAGCTGTTTTCACGGTCGGAGCTTAAAGTCACTACTGTACATATTAGAGGCACATAAATTACATCCTTAATAGTAATTGCCTGCATTGTAAAACTCAATTCACCACCATTTTCTCCAACAGCCTATGAAAGCGAAAGTGAAGACTGCAAATTTGAATGACCTGGTTAATACCTTAGCAGCTATGAACATCAAGAAGTTATCCAAAGTTTAAATCCAATAATAAAAGTTTTTCAATAATTTGACCCTTCAATTTTTACTTTATGTTTAATTTGACTCAAAAAATAACTTTTAAATCAATTTAAAACATAAAGTTTGAGTTTAGGAACTTACCCATTTTTAACAAAATAATAAAATACTAAGTTTTCTATTTTTAAAATAATAAAAAAACTAAAAAATGTGAAAATAAAAAGAATTTGTTTTAATTCCCGTTTCTCTTCTCTATTTTCCGCAAAAGGATTGATTTTTTTTTGTGTATTTTTAATTATTTTAAAGATATAATATTTATTTAGTTTTAACAAAAAAATAGATAAATTAATCACAAAAACTCAGTTTATATACTAAATCTGGTCCATAAATTAATTTTAAATAAACTGTTATTTAACCAAACAGCAACAATATTAAGTCGACGGTAATTCTCACCACCAGCTTTTCTTTTTAGACAGTAAAAAAAATAAATAAATAAGTAAATAAAATAATCATCAAGACAAAAGGGCAACAATTAATAGCTTTTACGTCGCATTTGTAGGCAAAGTTGGCAAAGTCCGATTCGACTTGTGTTGATATATAGGTGTGAAGCATACGAAAACGGAAAAACTATGGTCTCCTTCCCTTGACCTCTTTATCTGTAGGAACCGGATTTTGAAATGGAATAATACTGTTATTATTAGCGCAATTATGGGCTTAAAATGTGCATTCGTCTCTTCAACTTCTCTCTGATCACCCACTCACTACTCCATTAAAGCTTCAACCTTTCCTTTTTCCCATTCCTTTAGTTTCCTGTATCAGTAGCTAGCATTCACAAACTGAAAACGAAGCTTCGAGCTTGCTTGGAATTTCGCGGGGCAGGGTAAGTATCTTCTGTATCTAAAAAGAGTTTGTTTAGCATTGAGATTTAAATTGATTTTTAAGATACTAAGAATAAAAAAAAAAAAAAAAAAAGAACACCTGAAGAAGTTTGGTTTATCTATTGAGAATTTAAAATGATTTTTAAGATACTAAGAAATAAAAAAAAAAAAAAAAAACAAGAACACGCTGGTTATGATTGTAACATTGCTTTAATGGCAGCTAATGCCCATAATAGATATCTCAATGAATCAGAAGAGACAAAGGTTTTGTAGTTTTTTTTTTTTTTTTTGTTGAAGAAAAATTGTTTTTACATCAATATATATATTATAGTTTTTTTTTTTTTTTTGTTGAGAGAAATTGTTCATCAATATATATATTATATTTGATCCATTTTTATCAATATATACTACTAAATATTAATTTCTAGACAAAGAAGAAAAGAAAAAGAAAAATGCACCAAAAGGAGTAAACATCACATTATCAATGTCATTCAGGAATTACACTTAGAATCAACTTTATTTATTTATTTATTTTCTGAACTTGATACTAACACATACAGATCTTTTTACTTGCTGTTTTGCTTTTTCATTATGATTCTTTCTGTTTTTTGTTTCTTTATCTTCTTTGAGTTGTGATTCTAAAGGATTACAGTTGTTAACTAATTAATAAATGAACACATGCAACCTGTAGAAGACATGATTGCCAGCTGCCTTCCATGTCAAAATTACAGGGATCTTATTCTTTTTTATTTCCTCAATTTAATTCCTAATACTAAAAGATTTCAATTTTACATGCATTCTAATTGGATTGGGTTCTTTAACATATAGTAATAGTTTTGCTTTTTCTTTTTTGCTGGCAAAATTTGCTCTCTTCTGCAACTGTACAGAGATAGAGAAAGAAATTAATCTACAGATATGTAAGACAAAAAAGGCATTCAATGACAAGATAATATATATGTATATATATAGACATGCATGATGATTGATGACAAAGTACTACTGTATTCTAAAGCAATTTACTGAAAATGGAAAAACAAAGAAGTCACATTTGATTTACAGTGGTTTGGCCAAATAGAAACAACAGAGAGAGAATTTTGGGCATCAAATTGATTGAGAAAAGTAGGGAAAAGCTTTAGTATCATCTATTTAGATACATGTAGTTGAATATTTAGGAACACAATGCAAATTACCATACATAACAATATTGCGTTTCTATATATTTAGGAAACAGAAACACATTTCCTAAAGGGCTTCGCTTCAATTTTATCCTTTCCTAAATTTGTTATTCTAGGGTGTGATCAGATAGCCATTGATTTAACATTACAAGGAAAACAATTCAGTGCAGGGAAATCTTTTTTTTAAAAAAAAAAATTAAGGGCAAGAAAATCAATTTTAGCATTAAATTTGTGGTTTTTTCATTCCTAAAAACCCTAATAACTTGAATAATGACTTATTTAGCAAAAGATGGAGAAAGAAAGAGCAAACTGCAGAGATTAAAATGATACACAAATATATTTTATTTAGTGGATTATATATCCTTTAGAATTCTGGGTATAATCTATAAAATGGAAATACTTATCAAAATTAAAAAAAAAAACATATTATATAATCCCAAAACCTTAACTACTCTTATCATGAGCCTAAAACACTGCTCGTGGATCACCAACAATATTGGTATTGTACTAATTTGAGACATCATCACAAAGTGTAATTTTAAGTAACATATTCAATTTTTGTTGTCTTATAACCTACAAATTTTAATATTTCATCATCCAATAAGTTTTTAAAAACTTTTGACAAAAACAAATATCAGTTATGCACTTGAAACTGTCACTTTTCCCTGACGTTCTATATGTATTATTCGGAGGTTTGAAAATTGACGAGAAAATTTCAGGACTAGTAGTATATCATCTTTTAACATGTATAGATACATGTAGATATACACATATATAATATTAGAATAGCTAAAATTGTTAAGACAAATTAGATTTCGACAAATATATTCAAACTTGTAAAATAATTTTAATATCACTAATTTTAAAAAAGATTATATGGAAAATAAAAATGAGAAAGATGGGAAGCATGCGGTGGGATAAAGGTAAGCACTTTTGGAGCAACTTGATGACAACCCTAAAACTTTGAAAACTGAAGAAACATATATACTTTAGCTACCATATACATAGGTTTCATTTTTTTTTTTTTTTTTAAAAAAAAAGACCATATACATAGGTTTTTTTTTTTTTTTTTTTTTTTTTTTTTAAAAAAAAAGAAGAAGGATATAATTATTTAGTTAATTAGCTGGACCCATTAATTACATCAACTAATTGACAGATAAATTTCATATTTCTTCAATCCATACTAAGGGTTTTGTTTAACAAGAATTAACTATATATCACCCATTGAATATATATGTAACCTTCATTAAATCTTGATATGTGTATTTATATACATGTACAGCTGAACAGTACTTAAGCAGAGACCAATCAATTCGTAAATTCTTCACATAAATGCAAGAAGCTAAGCTAGGCAAAGCTAGCAGAGAGGAAAAGAAGAGCAAAGGATATATAAATAAATAGCAAAAGAAAAAAAAAAGATGATAAAATAAAATAAGTAAAAATAAAATAAAACAAAATCATAATAACACGCCTGTTATATATTCGAAACTCCACAAGCAAATAAACATTAACCTCATATGTTTCAATTACATTTTCATCATAAACACATATATTACATATGCTTTTCACATAAAAGAACTCATCAATTTCTCTTTTTAACCCGTACTTCACCATATTTTTGGTCTTTTCTTTTATCATTTCTATTCTTCTTTATACTTACATATAGAATAGATATATAGAGAGCGAGACATATAATAACTCAAGAAACCGTAGTAGAACAGATATCAGCAATACTTCTCATCACCTGTACTTGTGTTTTAAGGCACTTTACATAATGTGCAGCCTCTTCCAACAATTTGCTTAACTCCATAGCTTCACCGCCGGGCACCAGCTTTCTTAGCTTCCTTACTAGATCAAACCCTGCATCATTCACATCACTGCTTAAACAACTCTTATCTTTTCTTTCTTTTATTCTTCTCAGTAAGTTAGTACGGTGTCGCCACTGCCTCCGTCGGTTTCGAATCTTGAAAAGTAATGCCCTACTCCATGCTTTTCTTGACCCAACAGCAAAGGCTAGGGATTTATCAGCAGCAATTTTAACCCTATTACTTCTTTGATATATTTCTTTAGGACAATAAGGAACGAAAGATCTTTGCTTGTTAATTTTGCATAAAGATTTGAGAAAAACTCTAGTAAACCTAGACTTTATTGAATTAGGGTTTAAAGATAATTGTTGGCGAGGATTCATGGAACCAAATATGAAAATCACTAAAACAAAATTTGAAATTAGGGTTTTGAGTAGTTGGGAATTTGATAATGATGATGCAGATGGATCTATCTATCTATATATAATATATAAAAATACAATAATTCCTAACTATGGACTTAAATTTTTTCTTTTTTAAAGGATCTGATCATCAAGAGACAAACAAGAAGAAGAATTGAAATAAGAGATTTTGTTTCTGACAGAAAGGGGCCTCTTGCTCAGAAAAATTTAGTTATGTACTCTGTCTGACACATAGTATCTATAGAGAAAGAGAGATGTGGTTACGGAAAATTGCAGGAGGAAAAATTTAACATGTGAAGAGAATTATAGAGAGAGAGAGAGAGGGATTGAAAATGGGAGGTGTAAAGAAGAAGGAGAAGGGTGTTATTTTTATTATTAGAATAAGATTAATTGAATAGAATTATACGTTTCTTCTTTCATTTTCAGTTTTGGGATTTTGGGGATGGAAAGTGAGTTTTGTGGGCCAGAAAAAGGCTAACCACCATATGCTCGCACATGGTTCCATTTTCCCACTTGGACTCTGTGGGACCTCTTTCTTATATTTCTCATTTCTTTCGTTTTGCTCTTTCTAATTCCAAATTATTCCCTCTTGTCAAATATTAAGCTTTTAATTTTAATATATTATCTTTAATCAAATCGAAAAACATCAATTTAAACTAGTTTTTAATATTAATATACAGCTGCATATTATACCATTAATTTATAATCTGCCAACAATAAATTTAAATTTAAATTCCCTTCTCAATGCTAAAAATATATATATATATATTATATGAGATTGGAATTCATATGAGATCCTACTGTTTCTGTTTTCAGAAAAAAAAAAAAAACTCATAAAATAACTTTAAAATAATTTATATAAGTATACAATTTAGATACTCAAATTTATTGGAAGAGAAACTTAATCCCCGATTAAATTTATTTCCAAGTTCAAAAATATAATAGTATTAGATTAGGCGTGAGAGCTCAATTTCATGGAATCTAAATTTACGCAAATTGATAAAAAAAATAATAAAACAGCAACATTTTTTATTAAAAAAAAATCATTATTTTAGGCAAGTCTAATTCTTAATTTACAATTTAAATAAAAATTTTAATTAGTTTTAAATTTTCTTATCTTCTCCTATTAGTCAAGAACGGGTCTCATTCGTCAACTCTGGAAATTATTTCTCATCTATTATGAATTAAAAATTAATGTGGTTCTACTGAGTTAAAATTTACCTTTTTAGTGATAATTAAATTAAGTCAATTGAAATAATTTAAACTTATAGGTTATCATATTAAACCAAATCCATCAGTGTCAAAATAAGTTATCCATATTTCAATTTAAAAAATTTTTTAATAAGTTAAATTGAAATATTTAATTCGGTTATGTACATGATACCATTAGAACTTTCTTAAATTTTTTTAACTATAATTTAATTATATTTGTTATGAAATCGTATACATCACGGCATACAAATATATTTCCTTAATGACAACTGTTACTTTTCCATGGACCACAGTCGAGCGGCATGTATCGCAGGCAAAGTCACAATTTTTGTACACAAATTTAATTTTTTAGTTAATGACTTATTAAAGTGATAATGACTAATAAATTATTCAATTAGAAACTGTTGATTTGATTAGCAAATGCCTGCAACCTTGGTAATGATTCGATATTTGGAAAATACACTTATTAGGAAAATTAAAAATATTTACATTTCATTTATATTTATATTTTATTTTATTTTTAGCATTGAAGAAATAATAATTAAAACTAGTTGCAAATGGTTAGTATTTGGTTTGCCAAATTATGACATTAGGGTTAGGTAAGAATCAGGTAATCCAATGGGCCAAAAGGGGAAAAGATAAAAGAAAGATTAACAAATTAATCGGTAATTAACTACGATGCTTTACATAACCAATCTGATTAACCGGCTTAATTTGATTTTTAAAATAAATAAATAAAAACAAAAAATATATTCACAAATGAATTATAGTACGTAAAATTATTTTAAGAATATTAGGTTTGAGTCTCTTCTACATAAGCCTATAGTTAGCAACAAAAATGAATTTAACATGACTACTAAGCTAACAAATTTGAAATGCCATACAAATAATTAGACAACCTATAGAATTATTTAATAAAAAATGGGAAAATGTTATATTTTTACATTTTGACTTTTTTTTTTTTTTTTTTTTTTTTTTTTTTTTTTTTTTTATAAAGAAACAGGTGAAAAGAAACAAAGTGACAGACATGCAAAATCGAAACAGAGAGAGTTTTGTTGGAGAAGTAGCCCTTTAAATTCAACATGTAGCTAAAGAAGAACATGGTGGACCCAATTTTGCCTAATGTTTGAGACACATGAAAATGAAAGCCTTTTAGAATTAGACTCTCTAACCACCTCATAATTATGCTTAGTGTTTAGGTAAGCAGAATCCACATGCATGTTTTGTTATTATGATTAGTTAATTAATTAATTCCTATGACTCAGAGACAGGTTGTAATGCAAATCAAGACCAATTTAGCTGCATATAGTTAGACTGAAACTATAAAATGCTTAGGATTAGCTTAATTACTAGCTAGCTAGCGACTTGTTCCAGTGAAAAAATTAAACCCTCAGCGTGAAGAAGTAAGAAAAATACCCAACTCCTTACATTGTTTAGATGATTTTCAGTAACCATTGCAGAAAATTTATAATGCAGGAAAGCCCAATAAAAGGAACGAACCAAAGAAAATTCTGCAACAACCCTGAAAATCATACTCAATTTAAAATATTCATGCATGTATATCAACTTAAAATCGATACCATTTATCAATAGCAATAACCCCAAATTAAAATTTGGGTTAAACCACTAATCGGAAAAAAGAGATTTGATAAAAAAAATTACACTTATGCCCTATTTTTTATTTTCAATTACAAAACGTGTTTTTAATATGTCTACAAAATGTATAAAAAAAATACATGTAAACATAAAATAAAACTTGAATAGATGTATAATGGAGCTCGTGCTAGTTCTGTTACAAAAAAATGCATCATCACATCAATAAATTCAGGTTAAAAATGGAAATTTGAAAGAGAAAGAAACATGAACTTATTCTAGCATGGCACAAGTCTCAGGCAATCTATATATATATATATATATATATATATATGCCTACTTTTTGTTTACATTTTTTTCATTCATGATGGATTTTTGTTTGATTTTTCATGTTTTAGTGTTAATAGATCAAGATTGCAAGAGTTTGGTTGAAAAATTAGAGTTTACTAGTTTTGGGATGCATCCAGGCGCAGATACAAATGCAGGGAAGACCACTTGTCGGTGAGTATATTTAGCACCAAACAGGCGAAACTTGGAAATTTTGGGGTGAAAAATATAATTTTATATATTTTTAAAGATCAAAATATAATTTTTTTTATAAGAAAAATTATTTTTAAATGTTTTTTAGGAGTGCGGTGGCCTCCCCCGCCCTCTGCCTAGTTTCCCCCCGGCACCAAAAGAAGGTAGAAACGGTTGTGGGCAGGTCAGGTCATAGGTCCCTCCACACTCCACACTCCAATTCTTAAATCCTCTTTACCAAAAAAAAAAAAAAAAAAAAAAAAAAAAAAAAAAAAAAAACCTCTAAGTGATATAATATTAAGGAAAATAGTGATAAATATCAAATAATAATATAATAATAATATAATAACTATTTTAATAAGAAAGGCAGTTCCTTAATATTAAGAAAGTTAGATGTCAGGGCATAGATCTCGGCGCAAACACTGCGCCCGGTGCGGCGCCCAAGAGCCCTCCTCGCATAGCTTTCAGAGGCAAGCCTCGCCAATAGAGTACACACTGGTTTTTCGCCCTGCCATGGGCTCATCAGGAGAGCGGCCCAGTTCGGACAGTTTGTGCCGAGCAGCCACTACACTGCCTGCATGCAAGACTTAGAATCAAGAGAGATATAGAAGATAACAAACTGGGGAGAACAACGCCTAATCCGCTAAGCCGCCCCAACCCACGCAGGTTGAAACGCAGCTAGGTACGCTCTTCAATGCTGGCCTTGCACGGTTACGGAATTTGTCCATAACATCCTCCCCCACTCAAAACCAGGCACGTCCTCGTGCCGAGGGAAGTCGACTTGCCCTTGGACCGTCCTTGCTTTACGCCCCACTTCGACCCACTCCTCTAGCTTTATGTAGCCATGCCTGCCCCCGAAACACATGCTCCGAAATACGCGCTCGGTGCCTGAGGTCTGCGCCATTGGTTTGACACCGGATAGAGGTGCGATGCCTAGCCGCCATCTGCATCGCCCGAAGATGTGTGATGCCTAGGACTCTGCCATTGCTCGGACATCACGCGGAGCTGTGGTGCCTAGGACTCCGCCATTGCTTCGACACCACGAGGAGACAAGCCCTGGAGTTGTGCATCATCAATTGGGTATTGTACGTGAAGCAAGTCCTGCTCTGATACCACTCTGTCACGGGCATAGAGTCTCGCGCAGCACTGCGCCCGTGCGGCGCCCCGGGAGCCCTCCCGCATACTCCCGCATAGCTCCGAGGCAAGGCTCGCCATACCGTACCACACTGGTTTTCGCCCTGCTATGGGCTCAATCAGGAGAGCGGCCCACGCTCTTGACCAGTTGTGCCCGAGCAGCACACTATTGACCACTGCCTGCATCAAACTTTGCATAGGGTAATGGTACAACTGGGGCAGAACGGCCTAATCCGCTAAGTAATCCGCTAAGCCGCCTCAACCCACGCAGGTTGAAACGCAGCTAGGTACGCATCTTTGATGTTGGCCTACACGGTTACGGAATTTGTCCGTAACATAGATCTCGTATGGTTAAGGAAGTTAGCTTTTTTAACTCTTGGAAATTTCTCAATTATAGGCAACGGAACCAGCTGCCAGTTATGATTTCTCAGGAACTTCAAATTTATTATCTTACCCCTCATACAAATGAGTTTTTGGTATAGGATAGAAGAAGGATTTAACCGTAATTAATATATAGACCCACTTATATATCAAATTAATTAAAAACAGTTTTTTTTTTTATTAAAATAAGAGTATTTCTTTCTTGTTATTTGCTAATAACAAGAGAAAAAATTTTCCTTACTAAATTAAGTATCCAAAGCAACTTGGTGTGGTGGCTTGGCGTACTAGACCTAATGTTAACATCATAGAGAGCGAGCTATTTTATAAGGTTTTCTGAATGACGGATCTTGTTTATACTGAAACTTGATTTCTATAAAGAATTGCATTTTTATTTATTTAACAGATTGGTTAAAGATCTGAAATTTCTGTTACCTAACGTATCAGATCCCAATAAGGGCAAAATTTGGAAAATAAAATAAAATTTTGGAAACTTTATATCTTAACTATTTCTATTAATTTCATTTTCTCCCCTTTAAACTTTGCTAGGAAAGCTGGTAATTTGATTCACTAATTTCTGATTTTGAGTGATGACAGAAACATTAAAAAAAAAAAAAAAGGAAAAAGAAAAAAAAGAAAAGAAAAGACAGTAGTTAGTAATGGAAAAAGGAAAACTACTCACATATGCATTTACTTAGCAAAATTTGCTTTGAAAACACTCCATTTCCCTATAATTCATTACAGACATCTCTCCAATCAAGCTTAACAAAAAAAAAAAAAAAAAAAAAATCAAGCTTAACAAAAAAAAAAAAAAAAAAAAGAAAAGGCAGAAAGATTCAGAATAAATATATGAACTTTTATGGTTTGTTCACAGGAATTTCCCGCTGTCTTCTAAAGAGACTCAGAGGCAGAATCCATTAACAAAAAAAAAAAAAAAAAAAAAAAGAAAAGGCAGAAAAATTCAGAATAAATATATGAACTTTTATGGTTTGTTCACGGATTTCCGCTGTCTTCTAAAGATGACTCAGAGGCAGAATCATCTACCGTTGAATTTGAGATTGTCTCACTATCTGATGTTCCTGATGGTTTCTCTTCAACAGGTTGTTTCAAGAACCAATACATAACGCTTGCAGTCAACGTAAGGATCATCTTTTGATTCACCTGAACAAGAAAAATATTAGTACCATATCTAAGTTATGTTTCATTTCAGAAACAAACAAGAATAAAAAAAATGAAGCACTGCCAATCAGGTGTGTGGTCTGGTTGGCCTCGTAAAGAATACAGGGATTGAGAAGTCTCGAGTTTAAATCCTCTCCACAGTAAATGTTATCATGCTGCATGTAATTTTGCTACGTTGGCCAGCAAAGCTGTGGATGGATATTATAACAAATTGAACGAAAATGTTAATGATGAAAAGTACCTCTGTTATGTCTTCAGGAAGCAAGAATATCGAACATCCTAGCTTCCTTGCAATACTTATGATGTAAGTGGCATTCATCTTTTTCTCTTCATCTGCATTGGTCCCAAGTTTTGTGGAAAAAAATAGTTTGGATATAAGAAAACTATTTTAAATTGTGATTTTAGTGACTTTAAGCAATAAGAAAAACATAATAGCAGTCAGGATCAGATGGAATCAGATATAAAAAGAAAATATACCAGTTATTCCTTTTGTAACAAGACTCCAATTTACTGCTCTGGGCTGAACAGCACTGAGAAGTTCAAGGAAAAAAATGCCATCTGATAAACTTTTATCCTGCAATATCAAGATAGTTAAAGTTGAAACTTGATGTTATATTATTATATCCAAGCTATAATATTAATTTTCCATGAAATGAAGTCAGGAATAATATAATACCTTAAAACTATCCATGCGACTCTGACTTCCTGCATTGCGCACTTTGGTGTTGGCCCACTGTAGAATGTCAGCATCAGTGATTTCCTTTCCATGAGAGTGGAATCTCAAGTTCTTTAAAAGTTGGAGGATGTTGTATCTCATCAACTGCCACAGATAAGCTAAAGAGAATTGCAAACATTAGTTTAAAAAATGTGAGCAGAAAACCAGTTTTGACTTTGCTAAGATTCTCATCATAAATATACTATTTCGGTAAAGAACGTACCCAATATTAATTTTTTATTTCCTTGTACGATATCATTTCCAGCGACGTTAACCAGGGAAAATTTTAACTGTTTTCCTATTTTTACAACTTGATTACAATTTTCTACTTTTCTGAATGGCAACTTGATTGGAGGCTTATTTGCTATTTTCCAATTAACAATCCCTGGTGAAACCTTGTCAAGTGTCTCTAAAAGCAACCACCTGTAAATCAACAGGAAATTTACTTCAGCGTCATTGATAATCAAAGAAATAGTTTTTAGCTGTTACAACGCAATTGGAACTCTTCCAATTCTGTTTAGGTAATTTTGATGCGCAAAATCGTAGGTGTTCTAAGACACAAGTTAATTATGATTGGAAAAATTATATTAAGCTGATACTGACCCATTCCTTAGATCTTCAAAAACGTTGTCAATATAGGTTGAATTCCCAAAACTATTCAGCCAGAATCGAAATGCTTTTTCCTCTCTAGAGACTTGTGTGTCGTCAGGCAGCATCTCAAGAAAAGATATCTGTTTAGTTTGGGTTGACAGCCCATTTCTGCAAGCAAAAAATGGCAGTTAGTTTGAATTCTCTAGACTGATAAGTACGAGGTAATTTTCAATCCATCAACGTGTGAAAAGAACTTTAGCCGTTTTACATGAAATACATTGCTTGACGAAGGGTCTAAAATTTCTGATCTATCCAAGACGGGTATACTCTCACCTATGCTGGAAAATGTGTGCAACAAATGCAAGGTTGAGATTTGGGGAACCTTCAACAATGTCCTTTGCTGTCAAATATCTCTTGCAACCCATTCTATCAGCATGTGCAAGAACCAACTTTGCTCTTTCTAGGTGACCTTTCACGGTCAATGTAGATGGATTAGTATACTCAGGTGCAAGAACATTTAAAAGGTAAGCATAAGCCTCGGCATCCTGCATGTAGCAGATCATATAGTCAAACGCCAACATAATCCTAAGAAGAGATATCAAAAGGAAAATAATTATAATCATTATGACATGTCATTTACGGGTTTATTTATGATTGACACATCAAATGGAGACGAAAAGTTACTCATGTTTCTATATTTATAACATTTCTTTTTTATTATGATGTTTCTTTATAATCAAACATAATATTGTTGAACTTTCATGTAAACTATCTTGAATCTGAAGATAAATGTAATTGCTAAATGAGATTAATCATTCAACAGCTGGCGTGTATACCAAGTCAACATTTATAAAGTAACTAAAAGAAGTGATAGATGTCGAGTATGTCGGACTTTCCTTAAGAGGTTTTTCTGAAAGAAGATTGATGTGAAAATGAGGCTTCTTAACCAAGATACCGAAATTATTACTCCCGTGTGGAACTAAAATCTAGATTGATATGCACTGACACCATCGGTTAAATCAATTGTCCATTATAAAAGATATGCTCTGGCAGTATGATTGAAGATACCTAAATCTTGTCTATAATTTGCTGATAGGCTAACTCTCTAAATTAAATGCAGCACACAGGAAACCTTTTAGTCAATTTTGTAGAAAATTTTTTTTAGTATTAAGTACGACTGTTGAAAGTTTTAAGAATCAGGACTTAAACAATAAGGATTACCACTTTCTCAGGTTTCTGGACGTACAAATTGAAAAATTATTCATCCACAATCCAATGAAACTGAAAGGCAAGCTCTAGTAAGACCATGCTCGTGCTCAGAGCATATTGTGAGCATTAAGTGACAATGACTTAGACCAATATACTTGCCATTCATACCTTTGGGGGACCATCCTTTCTTTTTAAGTTACCCATTCGAAATGCAATGCATTAAAGACAAGTTTAGGCAGATCAAAATAAAATAAAGTGGTCAAAGGAATAGGTAACTTGTCAAGTACTCATGATAAAAGCTTAGCTCTATTCTACCTTCACATCGGAAGAGAAGTTTGTGACTATTTTCTTGTATCCAGCTTTTTTCAACTGGAAATTCATCCACCTTAATAAGATCTTCTCTGGTGGTAGACTCATCAACTCTTCCACCTCCTGTTTGCATTAGGCACCATAAAAAGGTAAGTCTTTAAAAACAAATGGTTAAAGAGAATGTGAAGTACTACAGAACACTATGTACCTTACTGTCATCAACTAACTCCACCAACTGTGGTGTCTTATTGAGATTGAGGTCTGCCAAGAGTTGTATCTAAAACAGCAGGACCACAGAATGTTAAGCAGAGCCTAATACATTTGTATAAACACTTTAAAAGCCTCACAATTCGTTGTCATTATCAGCTACTTATGATCAGACAATTTCAACCTCTAATAGACTAGTATCATGAATTCATAAATAAATTTAAATTAAGGGCAAAATTATCTAGATTTACCTTAATGATTTGGGAGATCAATCCAAGCACAAGATGGCGCTGAAATTGAAATGAAACAGGACACTATAATCAGTTATTACAGTTAAGTGAAAATAATATCTACAAATCATACCAATTGAACCCAACATAACCCAAGAGAGGAATAAATATATTAAAGCACAGAATGGCTTCTCTACATACCCTTCCTTCAATGAAGTCTTGGGTTCCAATATTAACTACAGTACATCCGATAGCCTTAGCAGAGTTAAGACATAGTGTGTGGTTTTCGTTTCTTTCCCATGGATTGAGTACTCGTTTGGTATTGATAGCCCTTTCATCAATTGTACCAGGAACTGCTACATTGATAAGCTTGCTGCACCCAAAAAAAATTCTCAAATTCTTACTCACCACTACAAAATTCAATTTAAACAAAAAAAAATAACAATAACCGAACAACAACACTGCAAGTGTGAGATTAAAGCATAATTACCAAAGAAGCACACCATCTTTTGCAATCTCAAAGAGATCATTAGTTGAAGGATCAATAGGAAGGTATTTCTTCAAGAAGTCATCTTTTGCTAAATAGTTATTGATATGAGCAACATAAGATGCTTTTTCGGGTTCACTGATTGTGTGAAGCAATGTGGTGGTGGCAGCTTTAAGAAATGCTGATGAGTTTTTTGCTACACTTCCTGTTCTTGCACTAGCATGTGCATGAAGTTTCAAATATACCTGCAGTGATTACAATTTCCACTTTTCTTTAACCTCCAACTAGAAAGTAATCTTTATCTAGAAAGACTAAACAAAGCAAGATATCCTAGTTGACCCCACTAATTTCACCGGCAATGTTTCCAATCCAAACACATCATTGAAGACATCACCCAGAAAAAGAAAGAAAAATCCAAACACAATTACTTTCTTAGATTGTAAGCCTAAATTGATTGAGCAAATATTAATTGATTGAAGATTTAAATATTTCCACAAATCAATTGTTTCACTTTAGTTTGTCACCGGTGGACAGAAAAATCAAATCAAGAACTATACAAAACAAAAATCAAAAGAAATTATAAATTCAAGATCCCTTTGGTTCATATATCAAACTACCTTTTTCAAAAAATCAGAGCTCTATCTCTTCTACACAAAAACAAATCTTAAAAAGCGAAACAGAGCAAATTGATTGAATAAGAGCAAGTGAAAGTTGATTACCTTCAAAAAGAACTCAAAATCAACCTCATCGTCTAGATTTTGATACAAATCTTGAATAAAAGAAGCTCTCTCTTCCTCTGTCAGATTCTCTCCAACTACTTTCAATCTGGACATCCTCGAAGCCAAGTCTTTCAGCGTCAGCTTCCCGCTCTCTCTTCTCATGCTCATAAACTTCATAATATTTTTCCACATTTAGAATCAAAAGCAACAGAATAAAAAATACAACAGATCAAAAACAAAAAACAAAAAACAAAAAACAGAACAGATTTAAAGTTTCATTTCTGTAGCTTACCTGAGACTTTAAGCTACGAAGCTCAACTTGAGTAAACTGATTTTGGAGCCATGGATCTGATACAAGAATTCCAACATAACCAGACATTTTCTTTTTCAAATTTAAACAAATCTCTCTTTCTCTGCTGTTTTTGAAAAAGCAAAACTAATAAGAAAGAGAGGAAGACAGGTTTCCTCTTCCTCTCTTTCTTGAATCTTGGTGTATTAGGCACACTTGTCTATCTTCACCAGATTTTCTTCTTTCTCTCTTCTCTCTCTAGAGCACTGTATTTTGCGTTTGGTGTTTCTTTAAGCTTATGTGAGAGTTCGTTTAGGGGGGACGGAGTTGGAGCTGTCAGAGTTTCAAAGAATTCAAATAATGACCAATTTGTCCCGATTCTTTATCGTGTGTATCTGATATAGTGAATTTGATATTCCCTCCCTAAGCAGAAAGTGGGGTACGGCAATTGGAGATGGGACAGTGTGTCGTTTCTAAATTCAAATTATGACTAATTTATCCCTAACTGCTACTTTTTCAAATCTTGTGCCATTATAATTCAAACTAACTTTGGTTAATCCACGCCCATGTTACGCTTATTATAATTTCCACACCTGCACGAGCCTCGATAAAAAGGATTAAGTACCCGTTTATATTTTTTAGATGAGCTTGTGAATTTAAGCATAAGTAAAAATATTGTTTTTGGTAGAATAAGGAGCTTCGTGAAGCTAATCTCTTCTGGTCTCTAAAACATACAGGTTTGTAATAATAAAAAGCTTTACATAACTAAATAAAATAATTCAATATAATTGAAAATAATAAATATTTAATGAGTAACATTCTAAAAAATATAAGGAAACCTAGGACAAAACTATGACACAGAATATTATTATTTTGGTACCAATTAGCCATTAGATTTTAATATTTAAAAATTGGCCATTACATTAAATAATAAATAACAATTAGTTGCTGATTTTATAAATAAATAATTCCATCTAATTTGTAAAAAAAAAAATCAAATATTTCTTTTATTTTTATTTTGACAAAAATTATTTCTTTTGTCAAAAGTAAAAAATTTAACTTTTTATAAATACAATGCAATTATAAGTCTAATAAAAAAATATCAGTCTAAAAAATTCTTTTATATGTATAACTTTAGTAAATTAATTAAAAAAAACTTGTTTTATTGTAAGCCAAACTATATTGCATATTAGATTAGCAAAGTAATTAAATGATTTTAAAAATAATAAATTAATTAATTTGCAGTTATAAGATAAAAATATAAAAAGCAATGTGAGTAAAAAAAAAAAAAGTGCTCTATGTTATGTGTATAGGTAATGCAACCTACTATATCAGGTAAATTGCCATGTGTAAGTTAGTGAACAATTATATATTCATATAGAATTTTTTCACTTTCTTTATACTAGTCAAAGCCATGTTTTTATGTATTACTATTTATTTTTTTAATTCATACTTTCTCTCTTCTATCTCAAATGTAGTTTAAGATAATTACACAGTGACAAAGAAGTTATTAAATAATTTTAATTTAAAAAAAGAAATAGTTGAATTGATTAAAATTTGGCTCATTTATAATTATCAAGTCATGATCGAGTTTTGTTACTTTCTAAACAAGTCGAGTTTGAGTATATTCTTATCAAGCTGAGTTTAAGTCTTCTCGAGCTCAGGTCAGCTCAGCACATTTAATAACCCTATAGGCAAGTTTCTAAGGGTAATAGCGTCATTTTGGAGGAAGAGGATGACTTGGCTAGTTTCAAAATTGAGATTGCCCCACACGAGAAAGCTTACTTGCCTTTTAAAAAGTTGAATTGATAACAGAACAACGGTAGTCTTTAACATTTCCTAATAACTTGGATGAACCATGCATTTGATTTTACCTTATAATTTTTAATTTATTGTTATAAATATTACAAGTAATATTATTTTATCATTTTAATTTAAAAGTAATTTGCTAACAGATTATAGAAATAGTAAAAAAAAATTATTTATTTTCAGATATTAAAATTTTAAAAGTTTAATTAACGAAGTAAAACACAAAACTCAATTTATCAATCCAGTCAAAATTATATTTTTGACTACTAATTAAGACTATCACTCGAAGCTGGTAAGCCATCCATTCATCTTTCCATGATAAATCTTTTCTATTGCCCAATAGGAAATAGCTAACTAACGCTTACTAATAATTCCCATAAAAAGAAGAAAAACATCCAACTATGCGTTGGATCTCTTAATAAGATTAGCAAATATATTAATTTTCACTCGTGCATTATTTGTGTATTTAATTACCTTAAACTAATAGTAATAATTTAAAGGTTTCTCTAAAAAAAATTAAACATGGTGTATTTTGTAAAGATACTAAAACTCATTTTTGGAATTTTAGGGTGTCGTCACGGTTTGTAGAAAATGTGAGAGTGAGAGGTCTCGAGTTCGAGTTTTCTCCACCATAAAAAGTTATTATCAATTTGGTGAATACTGTTCAAAAGGGAGGGTTACCCTTCAGCCTCCTATGTATAAATAAAAATTATTATTATTATTATTTTGGGTTTCTTTTTAACTTCATTTTGTTCGACCTAAACTAGGTAAGGTTTATCTTGCAAAAGAAATAGCCATGTGATGGAGGGACCAGAGAGAGACATGAGACCTAAAAGGGTATGATATGCTTGTGATAAAGATACAAGAGGTGCCCTTTATAACGACCTTTGTGACATTCATTTGTCTTTGTCATTCTTGCTCACCCAATATTTACTGTTCTATCTCTTTTCTAAATTTGAATTGGCTTTATTTTTATGCATACATGGATTATAAATTATTAAATGTTTAAGAGTTTCCAAAATTATTCTGTTTTTTTGCATATATATATATATATACACAATTATTATTCAGCGTATTTGGAATGTCAAATGTTTTTTTTTTTTCTTTTACTTTTTTTAAACTAAAGAGAGGGGAAAAATTGAAAAGAGTGTTCCAAATTAGCTGGACCAACTGTCCAAAATTATTGAATGGAATTAAATTTCAGAATTTCTCAATTGAATTATTGATAATTAGTTAAAACTAACTTTGACCCGAAAAAAAGATTATTCTTTATTCTATTATTCATACGCGTTGAATCTCCTGACACTTAAAAAAATGTTTGAAAAGGTAAAAAAATTGAATCATTAGATTAGGTGTCCTACTATAAGATGTATATAATGTCAAATATATATATATATATTTTTTTTTTGGTTCTTCCCTTACCTTAAACTAAAAAGATGTATTCCAATTTAGCTGGACCAACTGTCCAAAATTATTGAATAGAATTAAATTTCAGGGTTTCTCAAATGAATTATTTGATAATGAGTTAAAACTAATTTTGACTGGAAAAAAATTTATTTTTTATTCTCTATTATTTAAACTCTTGAATTTCCTAACTCTGGAAAAAAAATGTTTGAATCATTAGATTACTTGTCCAACTATAGAATTTATATTGAAGTTTAGAAATTGAATTGGTGGCATATCCTTTCAAAAAATTTGGAGCCAAAGGAAAACCCAGATGGCTATTTGAAATTAAAACAAAATGTCAACTTGAAAAGAACAAAGGATACACAAATTCGTTTCATCTAAAAACCTAAAAGTAGGAATAAGCTGTGTTCGTTATCTCAACGTGGACCAACAAGAAGATATGTTGCGTGCAATGGAACAAACGCATGGGATCCAAATATATAAGCAATTTTGAATAGAAAGATCATCTTCACTTTACAGATGTAGCTATTAACAAAATATAACATAACAAGAATCCATTCAAATGGTGGCTTGATTTTTCAACTAACAGATGGTTTAACTTAATCAGTAGAAAAAAAAAATGCATTTTTAAATAAAATTTACTTTTAAAGTTAGGGTTCAAAATATGAATCGTCCACCCGAAAAAAGGATTTTATTTGAATATTATCTTTAACTCGAGCATAAAAACATTTTATCTGAGTACTATCTCTAACATGAACATAAAAACATTTTGTCTAAGTACTGTCTCTATCTCGAGCATAAAAACACGTGTACAAACAAAAAAAAAAAAAAGCAAAACTATTGCGAATACTTTATTTTATTAATTTAATTGTATTACATTAAATTTTCAATCGTTTATTTTCTGTTCTCAATGTGAGTTACTTGATTATTACATAATCACGTCAATCAAAGATTAGTCTAATTTAGTAATTCATTCTTGAATATTTGCCTTGTAATATTTAAAACTCCTCGCTGTACACTCTTTTACATTTTGATCTTACCGTTAGGCAAGGGATAGAAATTTGAAAAGACGGCTCACGTGGCTAATTTATGAAAGATAATGGAGAACACCAAGGAGGGTAGAGAGGAGAAGAAGAAAAATCGGAAGACAGCATTTCTGTAGGGCAAAGAGTGGGCCAAGCAAAAGAGACATTAGTGGTACAGGTACATAAACATTCGAAAATGTGGTGCCAAATAGAAATAGGTAAGGGAGTCTTGTAGATGTACAAATTTTACTTTACTAAAAAGGCAATGAGGCAATGAGAGGAGTTTGTGGGGAAAAGCTGAGAAAATAATTGGGGAATATGTAGCAATCCTTGCTGTGTTTGCTTCTACTCCTCACAACATCCAAATCATTACCAAGGTCTACACTTATCCCATGTATCAAGCAGGGTCCATTCCCCCACATGCTATTCCACTCTTGTTAACTGGAATATCAATCTTCATCATTGTTAGCTGATTTTGTATGCAATCAAAAGTATGATTTCAGCTACATATAGGCTTGATATATTTATCATTGAAGATCTCATTAACAAGTATACTAATTGATTATAGTGTACTTAATTAAGGAAATCAATTCCCTAGGCAAAGCAAATGTGAATAACTCATAGATATAAGAGTTTGTTTGTTCTTTACTTTGCAGTAAATCTATGATCTTGTTACTGATGCTGCTTTCTTTTCTGCTATCCTTTTGAGACCATCTAATTTGTCGTCTCCGCATTGCAAAAGAAGTCTCCCATTTCCACCAGAAACTTTTCTCGACATGAGTGGCTATCAAGTTTCTTCGTCAATTCTGGCTGCAGCGCTTGATTCCTTTGTGAAACAGTGTTACTGGATTTTCGTTTCTATCAGAGTATATAAATCAAGCAATTACTAGCTTCTTCATGATTCGTAACCTTCTTCTACGACCATATTATTGGCAAATTGGTTTTGTATTGTGCAGTGCAATGAGGCATCTGTTACTTCCATAAGACTAAAATGCTATTTCCTGAAGAACTTGAAGTGTCTTCTGATGAACCTGATTAAAGGGCACACAACGAAACCGGGTGAGTCATTGCCAAGATTTTAGTAGGAGACAATCTCAACGAGGATATGTGTACAACATGTGTGATGTGAACAAACAAAACTCTGTGTCCAGGGAAAGTTGAAGCAGTGGCAACAGTAAGATAGGTTTTGAAGCTCAGTAAACTAATGCAAGTCATTGAAAGAACCAACGTTGTAGTTTTTGATATTTTAGTAATCACCACAGAAGTCTCTTTGGCATTTTAGCATGAATACTAGAAAGCAAATTATAACAAGAGATGAATAGTGGCTACTAGTGCAAACAGAAATAGAGAAAGCTTTATTAGGTGCAGGAGAATTTACCCATTCTAGATGTTGTGCTGTAATGCCAGAGACATTTCCAGAGTATATACCACCCAACACCTATAAAGTCAAAGGACAACTGATCAGTTATTATTTGAGAATAACCTTGCTTACATTCATTACACAATGACTGACAACCAGATGGAATGAAGCACTTATAAGTAGAGCACATGAAAACTGTCATCACTTTTCACACTAGCTGCATAAACTTTTGTTCTGCAATTTAGTCGAATCTGAGTAATCCCCTTCTTACAAGGTCCTCTGTAGTCCACCATTATCACAAATTTTGAAGCAACACATTGTGTGCATTGCGTAAGAACAAACAACATAAGAATGGATACCTTGGTGACAGTCTCAAGAAACATGCCAGGACGAACGGGAAGTGGTCTTCGTCCTGTTACACTTGGCTGCAAACCATGAGAAGCAAATTAACTTGATTCTTGTTATAGAATAAAGGAAAGGAAAAAAGAAGCAAAGTGTTCATGCCAGTAATTTTTTTTGTCATGTGAATGCATATCTGTATTTGCATGCACAGATTCAATGAGATGAAACGCACCCTTCCTGCAATTCCACTTGAAGTACTTCCACTGCTAGTGTCTTTCTCCTCATTAGCAGTGTTATCGGCACCTTCATCTTTCCCTAGCATTACGTTTTTTATCATTTCCTCGACAGTCTTCCCTGGTTTCAGAGCAACTAGTTTGGTTAAGAAGTTCACCTGCACTAACAAGGTGCATAATCATGCCATCAACGACAATATGAGTAAACAACTTTTGGCATCAAATGCTGAAATGCAGGAGGTTACAAATTGCATACTTAAGTTTAAAGTTAAAACAAAAGACAAGACTAAGAATCAACCAGGTGGCTATCATTTGATGTGACATATCATGAATTAAGAATCAAGACCTCAGATTCAGGAAGTGTACTTAAACCACGGTCATTTCTTTCATCAAGTATTCCACCCCCCATCATATTCCTCGCTTCCTCTCTGATTAAAACAAGCCTTGCAAGTAGCTTTCGATCGGGAATGACTGGTCGAGTTTCCATTGTCTGTAGTATTATTATTAATAATAATTATGATATGCCAGAAAAACATAAATGTTAATAACCATAAAGACCAATTCGCACCAACCAATTGAAGCAATATTTGATTGCAAATTGCAGCAAAAGTGATTTACATTATGCATTAGATACTTTAAATAACCAAAGTGTAAAGAATATTGTAAGCAAAATTTAATGGTATGTAAAAGACAGATGGAAAGACTTCTGGACAAAGTAGCAATGAGTTTAAAGTTACCGCTGACCCAAATATTTGATAAAATGTTGAACCTACAAAGGAATGAAAGAGGAACAAATTGAAGACTTCATATGGTCCTTATGATTGAAAAACCAAGCATAGTTATTAAAGGAACGAGGCACAAAGGGGATCTGTAGGCACAAGACGCAGGGTGATGGTACACACACGAGTGAGTCAATGCACACAGGAAACAAAATAATACAAACAATCCTATATACGACAAGTATTTATAATAAATCAATAAAACGTTTAAAATAAAGTCTCAATCTAAAACTAAAGAAGTTAAAAAGTCTGAAAAGCCTCAGGTGCACGCCTTTGATAACTATGAATCAATCTGAATTATTTAATACCCTTTGATGGTTCACAGAACACAGTATCTGCACATTACCTCCAATATATCATCTGCCTGGTTTGCTATATCATTTAGATTTGCCCCTGGAATATGAACTTTGGTTCCATTCTTACTCTCAAAGGCACCACCACCAGCCGCCACTCTACGCAGTAATTCATGCCGGCTTTCTTTCTGGGGAGTTCTGCATAGCAAGCCAATCACTTGAACCTGGAAATAGAAAGGTTATTGCAATCCATAAAACGAAATGACTAACTTTTAACTAGAACAAGAATCAAATAGGTATTAAGGGACATCCTTACTTGTGGCGGGCACTTTCTTGTAAGATGGGACAATACAGTTTCCTTGATAACTTCCAACAGTGATTTACGCTGAAGAGAAACCATATACAAATGACAAACAATAAATTTTTTCATTGGAAATAAGTAAAAATAAACTAAGAACAGATAAAAAAAACCCAAATGTGATCTAGGAAAAGATGATCTGATCATAGGTTTTGCCAATGAAACAAAGCCACAAAATGCAGAAAGCAACCACTTGGAACCTCACCAACTATCGCCAAATGCAAATGCATAGGTTGTATATCCAAATGTATATGGTCCAACTTCCATCAGTTAAGAAACTAGTGTTAAGTTGTACTTCCAACTGCCTGGTGCAATCCTAGTAAAATACCATAAAAGTCGATGGAACAATCGGCCAGTAACCAAAAGCGGATTTAAGGGACAAAGCAGGGTTGAATCAAGAATTGATTGACCTTGAGAACTAACAAGGTCTTTAAATCTACAAAAAGAAAAAGAAAGCAACTTTCAAACTTTAAATGCTACTCTCACATGTCAAGTTGTTTAAGACATCTAGGAAAGAACCAAATTACTAATTAGCATACATCCAGACCACACAAAATTTCAATAATCAGAAGTTCAGAACTACATGATAGTGCAGGACAACAACAATCCTACCTGTGTTTAACTTTTCATGCTGCAGATAAAAAATGAAATGCAAAGGCAGCTTCAAAGCATAATAATTGCAGTAGGTTCAAAAGCCCTAATATTCATTTTGAAGCTCTTCTTCTACTTGAATGATTCAGGCAAATTTTATCAAAAAATACAGGCAATCCAAGCGTAAAATTTAACCAAGATTTTACCTCACAAAGCAACTGCAGATTGAGAAAGAACATTCCAGAAAAAGGCAGGCAATTCAAGTGTGATATGATATCATAATGTTACCTTGTCATCTTGATCCTTTTCAGCAATTTGAATCATGTAATCAAGGGCCATCATAAAACTTGATTCCATCTCATCAACTCTTTTCCCAATGACACCTTGTGCAGCTAATTCAACTGCCACTTTCTCTGATGCTTCATCCATGTCCATGTCCTCCAACTACACCATCATATATGCATTTGACAAACAGCATAAAGAACTATTAGTGGACTCTGAATTTCCATAACAAGCTTGCTAAGAGCACCAAGAGAAAACGTTTAGACATTTTGAAACCCAAAAGGAGATTGAGGATTTTCATTTATGGAAACTAGCAACGTTGAACATATCAAATGAAAACATTACTATTATTTTGGCATAATGTGCCTTGTGGTGTGTTCATGAACACTTAGTAGTTAGAACTAGAACTAAACTAAATTTTGAGGCCGCCAAAGTTTAGAAGGGTTCTTTAACTGCTAGAGCCTTGTTCAGTCTGCAGAATTGAATAAATAAAATAGTTATCCCATGGAAAATTTTTAAAATTTGTGTTTTAGCTAATACTTCACTCTTTAGAAAATTTATGTTTCACAAATTTGAAAATTATTCATATAACAAATTATTACATGCTTAAAACGTCAACCAAAACTTAAATTTTATAAATTTGTCATCCATATTTAAATTTGAACCAAAGCTAGCAATAGCTATTCGTATTGAATAATTATTTTATTCCCTCCTTATTTCATGCCATATAATGAACCAAACAGGATAATAGACACGATTTTTTCACAGGATTCACACAGAAATCTTCGCATCTGAGTCACATCTTGTTGTGATTTAACTTAACAAAGACTCAAGGACTTTAGTGTCAGATACAAAATCACCCATTATATGTTCATATCCAAGTGGAATCTGCAGAAAAACAGATTTTTCAACATAACCCTTTTTTTTTTTTTTTTTTTTTTTCCAAGTGTGATCTGCAGAAAAACAGATTTTTTTCAAGCCCATAAACCCTTTTTTTTTTTTTTTTTTGCATACAAAAGCATTATGACATAATCATATGGAAATTGAAAAATCATTAGCTGCACCAGCAATAAAATTAACAATTTAACATTATATTTAGACTATTATATCAAAAAAAGAAGATGCACAATATCAAGCATAATCTATAACATGTGACTAATTAAATAGGTAAAAAAAAAAAAAAAAAACTCATGAAAAAAAGAATATCCTAACTCCTAACTCCTAAGCACCAGCAAAATCAATGTCAAAGATCCATAAATATTTAAAAGTGCTTATAAATTAAGGAAATAGAATCTCCCATTAGAATCAACTACAGGTTTCTGAGTAATAATGATCATATTCATTCAGTTTAAGTGAAATTGGACAATTCTTACTGTAATTGAAAACCAATGAATTACTGAAAAACAGAGAAATTTGAAAACCAAAATTCATGAACAGAAATGCTAAAAGCACAAGAAAGCACACAAAAATTTTAAAATAAACAAAATTCCTTTCATAAACAACTAAAAACAGAGTAATAAAGGGAAAGAGACGTACAAGGGCGATCATTTCTTGGAGGACAGAAGTGACCTGTTCTCCACCTTTAAGTAAAGCTTCATATTGGGAAGAATCCATTTTCTCGTTCCATTCTTCTTCTGTTCTTCCTCTTGTGTCTTGTGCACCCAATTCCTCATCCAAGTAACCACCACCCACCTCATAACTGGCGCAACAAACCACAAATTGCTTATCTTTTCTGGGTTGTTGTAGTTGCCACTGCGAATGGTGAAAGGACGACGGTGATTTGAAGAAAAGTGAAGAGTTAGGGAGTGAGAGTGTAATATTAGGAGCAAGAGCAGTTTTATGTAACAGAGAAGAAGGGTAAAAGTTGAAGGTGCTCTGCAACATCTTCCGACAGTTTGCGGTCGCGTTGGGGTTTTGGGTTTAGCCGTTTCGCCTCTTGAAGAGAGAGGGAAGGATTGAGAATTGAGGATACTTCAGATACTGTACGCTAATGGGCACTAACATCACTTGCCAGTATTATGAAATAAAATCTCAACGTTCTTTTCATAATATAACTAATTAGGTCATTTTAATTTGAGGTCGTTACTTGCTGCCGTTATCAACATTAGTCTTGCCTTTCACTTCTTAACTCTTTTCTTTATATTTAAAATATATTTTTAATAAATTCAAATATATTTTCCTCACTCTTCGACTCCTTTTTTTCACTTCCAATACTTTTTTTTGCTTTTAATAATTTTATATTTGTTTTTTTTATATATTTTATTATTGTTTTGTTCCGTATTTAGAATTTTTTTTTCTCTTCTTTGATAAAGGTTTGGTTTTTTTAAAAATTATTAATAAATAAAAATATAATATTTAATTTTATTTAATTAGAAGATTCAGATTTTAGTTCATTAATATTATTGATGCATAGTATTGAGAATTCATTTATATATATCTTTTAGCATAGACATAGAAGATTCAGAGAAGGACCAATTATTTCTATAAAAATTCATATTTTTTATCAATATCATTGTCAAATAAAAGTATCTAATATTTTCTTTTTTAATTTTAATTTTATTCCTTAAAAAATATAGACAAATCTATTTAATTTGTTAAAAGATAGTAAATTCCGTATATGTTCTGTATGAGCTTTTATAATACTTATTATTATTATTATTGGATAATTATATTTCTTTTTTAAGATAATATTAGGATTTCATTAAAAAATTTCAAATCAATATAAATATTATAAGGAGGACATGACTCATCTCCTAAAGATCAAATATAAAACAAAAACTATAAAATAATTATAAATAATTATTATTCGTTGATCTAATAAGAAATTCTAATAAAAAATAGAATGTGAACTTCAAGAAAATGGATATATATTTAAAAGTAGTTAATTAGATGAACTCCCTAAATATTCTGTATATAGCGTAATTATCTATGAATTGTTTATGAATGAACACAGAGAATGTAAACCACTAAAGCCAATGGAGGAGCATATCACACTACCAGGCTCTAAAAGACGAAAATCATCGTTTAGTTGAAAAATTCTCCACAAGTTGCAACTTATCCAGATAAACCAAACAAATACAAACAACAAAACAAAACTCCACACAAAATGGAGAGATCGTAAACTCCACACAAGACGAAAATGAAACATAAACAGTAGTAAAAACATAAATAACAAAAATCTATATCAAAATAGACATAAATCTATAATTTATTTAATAAAAAACATAAAAATTTGCAATAAAACAAAAAAACGAGGAGAAACTGTCATAAAAGACAAAAATCAGCGTCTTCCATGTCTACATGCTTAATTTTGTGATGAGAGAGAGAGAGAGAGAGAGAGAGAGAGAGAGAGAGAGAGAGAGAGAGAGGGAGAAGAGAGAGAAGAGAGAAGAGAGAGAGAGAGAGAGAGAGAGAGAGAAGGGGCGGCAGTTTAGATAATTATATTTCTCCAAAATTAAAGAAAAATCAACAATAAATTCCTCTTTTGAGAAAAGACAAATATATTTAAAGTATTGTTAAATTTATTACAACAAAATAAATGGTTTATAAATATATATTTATTAATTAATCAATTAGTCACATTTGCCAACTACTGTGATCATCCAGCCTCCATCGTCGCAATTGGTCTAACAGCTACCATAATATATTTTTTTAATAAAATTTGTAACTAACTTTCAATATTTTGCATTAATAAAATCTGTTCTAAAAATAATTATATCCCTACTGACACATGCTTGCGTTGCGCACAATATTTATAAATATTGATTTTTAATATTAAATTCGATTTTTAACGTTTCATTCGCGTTTTATTAAAATTATTTTCTACTATTTATACAATATATTTATAAATAATTTTTAAAATATTCAAATTTTTAATTTAATAAATATAATTAAATATTTTATAAATTTTAATTATGATATCAAATCATTTTTCATTTTAAATAATAATAATAACAATTACAATAATTAATGACAATTAATTGAAAATAATACTCCTTTAATTATTTAGGAGAAATTAATAGTTTTTGTTTTAATAGTCTTTTAATTATGGATACAAATTATTACTTGTATTTATGAAATAAATTGGCATGACATATTTGATTTTCAAAACAAACATTCGATTAATATAATATTGAAGAAAAAAATAGAAAATATTTAGCTAAAAACTATGAAATAAATCTGTGTAAAGTTCTTAATCCTTGTATAAAATTAATTGTGTTTATATAAATAGACCATCGAGAGTAATTACATGATAATAAATAAATAAAAATGTCAAGTGGGTTAGAGTGCCAAGTGGAGGCTCATAAAAAGAATGCATCACATGTCATTTCTTAAAAATGTATGCGTGATTTGTAAATGTCGAGTTTTTAAGGTTAAAATATTTTATTTTGAATGAAAAAATCAATATATTATTAAATTTATAAATTAAAAATGTCCCAGTTAGTTTTTTAAAATAAAAGTTTTTATATGTTAATTTGACTATGATTAAGATACCAATTTATTTTTTCATTTAATAAAAAATAAAAAATAAAACAATACACGGAGAAATTCGAGTTTGTAAATTATAGTGAATTCAATATATGTTCCTTCTACTTTCAAGAATAACTGTAAGGTCACTTTTAGTTAATCTTTTCACTTATGTGAGATGTGAGAGGTCTTGAGTTTGAGTCATTTTCGTAACATTTCGATTGAGCAAAGCAATCATAAGAAGGCGAATAGAGTAGAGCTCCTGGCTAGCTTCTAAGATAGCAGGCTAGCTATGAATAGTAAAATGCGGGACACAGAAATGAATCAAATCAGATATCGAAAATAGGGAACAAATTATCAGAGGCTTCTTTTGCTGAAATGGTCTCGAGAGTTTGAAGAACTTCGAGATTAAGCGTGCTTGTTTAAAGGTTAGGAAAACTGTGTGTATTGCCAATCTAGTATGAGATAGAATTGACTTAATCTAAAGCGGACAATTCCTCAAGTGGTTGAAGTCGAGCGTGACAAATGGTATCAAAGCCAGACCCCCTCTGATAGATGTTTGGTTCGAGGACGAACCACGCGGAAGCTGTGGGTTTATGACATCTCCACCCGGCAAAGTGATCTTAAAAGGACGGGTAGAGCAAAGCTTTTAGTTAGCTTATAGGATGTCAAGCTAGTTATGATTGGTGGAATGCGAGAAACGATTCTAAAATAGTGGGTAGAGTAAAGCTCTTGACTAGTTTCTAGGATGACAGGTTAGTTATGAGTAGTGGAATGCGGTATACAAGAATGAATCAGATCATATATCGAAAAAGAAAAAATTAATCATCAAAGGCTTTTTTGGTAGAATGACCTGAAAAAGTTGAAAAAACCCTGAGGTTAAGCATGCAATCTTAACATGGATGCCCTCTTAGAATTCACCTGCAGGACAAAACCATGCAGATTTCTGTGAATTCAGTATGGAATAGAATTAGTTTGATCCAAAACGTGACACTTTCGACTATAAGTACTTTTATCAATCTGGTGAGTCGAGAGTCCCAACCAATAAAAAAAATATTGTGAGGTGACTAAGTTACAATGAAGCTGAGGCATAAGTCCATATTGTCTAAAAAAAGTTATTTTTCTCTGCTAATTCTTATAAATGCCAAAATTACTAATACCTAAGACTCTAATCAATACTTCTATTCTATCCCAAATTAAAAATTCCAATTCTGTGAAAAGAGAGATTTACATATTAATTTTTCTATAATTTAGAGAGGCTACAGTTATTTTCGAAAAAGTAAAAGTAAAAGTATTTATCTGCTATAATTTAGGATCTGAAAATTTTTTTTTCCGCAAATTAAAAGAAAACCATAAATGATGAAAAAAAGGTTATGGGCTTGACATCTGTACTTATGGGTGAAGTAATAAATAAGTTAAAAAAAAAAAAAAAAAAAAAAAAAAAAAAAAAAAAAAAAAGTAAGAAAGAGAACCTACTATAAATTATAGTTGAACAACCCTATCCCAGAAAAATTGAAAAGGATTAAAAGCACAAAACGACGATATAAGACCTCAGTCACATAATGCCAATGAACTTTGAAATCCTACCCAAAAGCCTGATCTGACCATTTGTACCATGTGTCAGACGGTTGCTCCCTTCCAAAATTACCCTTATTACATAAAAAATTTCCTTCCATACTTTCCTATCTCCAAACATTATTAAAAATAATGTATTTTAAGGTAAAACTATATGCCTCTATTGCATAGTTTGACTGTATTATTGATCAAAGTAACTTAACTTTGAAAACAGTTAACCAACTGACATAATTTTAAAACTAATTAGTACAAAAGTATGTGAAGGCTCTATATATGATTTCTTTATGCTCGAAACTAACAGACCACTTAGATTTTATTTCCTCAAACATGTCTTTTAGATTTTTTATGTTTGGGAATCTGTAGAATAATTAACCGATAAAAAATATTTTCTTGGTAAAATAGAAGATTAAATCATTTAAAAGAAATGACTTTCTCTTTACTAGAGATAAAAATGTCTTTAGATGTGGACAAATTAATTATAATTTATAATTTTATAATTACATGTTTATTAATTCATTAATCACCGGTAGTTATTATTATTGATCATTGTTAATAACCATTAATTATTATTGACCACTATTGGTTATTGGTGATCACTATAATTTATTATTTTTATACATTTTTTTTTCATATTTATTTAATATAATAAATTTATAATCTGAAATTTCTATAATTTATTCGGCAATAGCGTTTATAGTACTGTTTAGTGTTTTAATTGTGTTAAAACACTATTTTAATTATCGTGTTTGGTAATGTCACATTTATTTTAACGTTTAAAATTTGAATAGTGTTTTATGAAACGTTATCTTCGTTAATATTTAGCGTTTTATAAATTTTTTATGGCTCATATACCCATCATTTGTTTTTGCTTTGTTCTTTATGTTTTTACCTTTTTTTGTTATTTTATATAAACAACTAATCAAATATTTATTCCTACTGAACATTCTTATTTTAAACAGTTATATAAATAATTAATTACTAGCATCTAATATCTAACTGCTAATGCTAATAAAACAGTTGGTGGCCATTACAATAGGTAGCAGCTACTAGAACGGCTAAAATTATATAATTGATCCTAAATATTTTTACATTTAATAATTAAAATTTTAATATTTTAAACTAATTTTCAATATCACAACCAAATAATCAAATTAGTTTTTTTTTTTTTTTGAGATTTCTTGAAAAATATATGTTTTAAAAAGTTATTTTCTACAAACAAATCTAACTTTAATATATAATTTTTAAATAAATTGGGAAAATAACCTATGGATTAGTTGAAGAAATAAGAGTGCAAGCAAAACAAATAAAACTTAAACGTAAAATTTAAGTTTAAAAGTGGATTTTCTATTTACAGTCAGCTCAACGTGAGCTGTTCGTTTGTAATTAGAGGCGGAGGCACGTATAGTTGTGCGGCCTCTGATTTGAAAATTTTTTCTAAGTAACTATTAATATATGTATAAAGTAAATTTCTTAAATTGTTATATTTACAATTTGTGAATCCTAAATTAGTTTGAACGTCTTCTTAAATATATAAAAAATTGAGTTGATATTTTCAAGAAACATGAGTTAGTTGAAATTAAGAAATATATTATTTATCTATTAGTGTATTCACTTATTGAAACTGAGAGATATATTATTTATCTATTAGTGTATTCATTTATTAAGTTAGCATTAGTTTTATTTGTTGCCGCAACAACTGTAGATAAAACATTTTCTACAATGAAAATTGTCATGAATCAATTGTCTAATTGAACGGGAGATATTTAGATGAATGATTGTTTAGTTATTTGTATAGAAAAAAAAAAAAAAAGTATTTAATAGCATTAACAATAAACTAAACATTAAGTGGTTTCAAAATATGAAATCAATGAGAGGCCTATTGTGATTTTTTTTTTTAATTAATATAATTGTCTTTTTTTATTATGACTGAAAGTTGTAGATTTTATTAATTTAATTTATTTTAAATTTCTTATATTACAAAAAATATATCTTATTGACTCTGCCGCTATTTATAATCTCACCGTCGTTCTGAAAAAAGTTTGTGTAGATTATATTTAACACAGTATTTATAAAATTATCATAATTTTGTGAAGAGATTAATGTATCAGATTTTTAATTCGTGTATGTATATTATATATTTCTTATTCAACCAATAAAAAAACAGTTTAAGAAATGTATTTCAATGTTTGTTAGATTTCACTTGCATCCACGGATAAAATTTTATTCGGCAAAAAAGCTGTTGATTTCACTTTGCTCCTTATTATGTGTTGTTAATATCTTCCTACAATATTACACATATTCAAGAGTGTAAAATCACCTACAGGGCGTGTAAAAGGATCTACTAAATCTCGAACATTGAACCTATTTATTTTGATTCATTCAGCTTGTTCAAGAGAAATTTTATTTTTCATTGGATTAATCCATTTGAATCAAAATTATTATTGGTTCAAATTAGTTTTACAAAAATTAATCGATAAGGCATAAAACCGAATTGATAAATACAAATCAAACTGATTAGTTTAGTTAGAGTCTATTCATTCAAATATCAATTTTGATTCGCTTCAATTATAGACTTGAAAAATTCGATTCATATTTTTTCAGCTTAATCCAGTTTAATTTGAATGGAACTCACGATTTGATTTGCTCACCCCTACGGCCCTGCGGATGAAACCCACGAGTTGCTCACCTCTCTACGTATGTAATATTATATCTATTTGGCACGAGAATGCCAGATGTGCTTTTATCCAGTTTCAAATGTACGGACGGGAGATATTGAACTAAATTCTTTGAAAGTTTTGTCATTATATTTCAAGTCTTGCTAAATAAATAATTTGTTTCTAACATTGCTTTTGTATTACTTTCCTATATAAGCTAAAATTAATAGCCAATTAAATGCAATTGCATTCATCTTTTACTTTCTATAAAAGAATAAAAATTTAAAATAACTTAGTCTTATAATTGAAACGAACTAAAACTCATTATGGTAATTAGAAAACCCAATCGTAGAGTCTATATTTAATAAAGGTTACAACATAATCACCCTTTTAGTCCGAAAAAAATTAGTCTTTTTAACCATTAAACAAGAAGAGAAGACGTTCTTTAAAGTAAAATAAAAAGGGAAAAATATACTTAATTTCTAATTTTTATTCTAATTAACACTTTCATCATTTTTATTTTTAAAAAATTACTATAAAGTTTTTAAACTTACTATCGGATACTTTCAGCTAAAAAATTAATATTTTCCTTTTAGCTAAAACCATTAATTTTGAACCGAATATACTCGCTTTTTGGATGATAACAACGACAGTGGATTTAAGTAAAAAACGGCATAGATAAAAATGTTGGATTAAAATATAAGTTGAGGATCAAATTATATATATATTTTTTTAAATAAAAAGTTTCGGTTCAGAATGCTGCACGTCATAAAAATAAAACTGTATAATCAATTGCCCTCTTATGGATAAAGCAACAAATATTACTTTGACTTTGAGTAGGAGACAAGCCAAGGGGCATTTTCGTCATCGGAGGAACAAAATGCTGAGGGCATTATTTGTAAATTAAGCAAAATGCCAGTGGTAATTCCACACCAACGGTTTTCTCCTCACAAGAAACCAACGTTTCCGCTTTTCCGCTTCTATAAGAACCCATATTCGCACCCCACACCAACCTCATTTATCTACTTCTCTGATATTTTTCTCTTTCTTAGGGTTTGGCTTTTCTTTCACTAAACCTTTTGCTTTTTCTCTCCAAAAGCTCTCTCAAAAGGCATAAATGGCAAACCAGGAGATTCAAAACGGTGGCTCCGAGAAGGCTTCCGAAGTAACTTTCTCAGTCGTGAAGCCTCAGCTGTTGGTGGAGGCACCCAAGGCAAATGAGGCCGTTCAGTTCTACAAGGCCGCCTTTGGTGCCGTGGAGACTGCCCGTATCACCCAGCCTAAGCGTAAAGCAGAGCAGGAGATCCCGCATATAATCTCAGCTGAGCTCCAGCTTGCTGGTTCCAACATTGTTGTCTCTGACCTCGCAGATGACTCCGCACCGTACGGTTTCTTCTCTGTTTCGCTCGTGTTCTCTCTCACACTTGCACTATTGTTGTTAAGCATGCTTCTGACTTATGTTTTCTTCAGATCTTGACATTTTTGTGGTGGAATCTTTCTTTTGATGTTTATTTATGTCTTGCACTCCATTTCTGGATCTTTGATCTGCTTATTCACGTACCCCACGACTTTATTTCTATGTCTTAAATGCGCGTCTCTTCATGGTGAATGTTTCGGTTCTTTGTTGGGACTTTTTTTTTTGTTGAACTTTTTTCTTTCTTTTTTTTTTTTTTATATCTGCTTAACTCGTTAAAACTTAAAAGGCTCTTTATCTTGCTTATACTCTGCTTCCTTGATTGCTCTTGATCTTGATGTATCACGTCAAGTATTTCTCTCTCTTGCTGTTCTTGCTTATGGTTTAGTCGTTCTGGTGTGTTTTGGTCGAATTTGTTTTTTAACTGTTTGATAGTCTGTGTACAGTATATTTTCCTTTCCCGTTGCCATATTTTAGTATTTATTTTGGTGTTGAATCTCTTCGTATCTCTACGTTTTTTCCCTTTTTTTTTCTGTTCACTTTTTCTCCGTGTAGACCTTACCTTTTATCTATTACTTGCTGACACCTAATATGATTTTCTAGATTGCTTGTAGTATTTTTTTGGGATATTTTGCGTCTATTTATTGTTGTAAAGATGTATTTAGAGAGGTGGTGATGCCTTACTGGTTCAACAGGGTAAATACTGTGGGAACCAGAATCACTTTCAGCCTGGAGACCGAGGACGTTGAATCTGCTATATCCAAGGCTGTGGCCGCTGGAGCTGTTGCTGAGGGAGAGATCGTGGAAGAAGGCGCGTGTTTTGGTGGGCGCGTGGGCAAGGTCAAGGATCCCTACGGTTTCGTGTGGCTAATTTCATCCCCCGCCAAGAAGCCTGTTGCTGACGTGGAAGCTTAGACGCCGCTCGATATGATCTCGATCCTGACTCTCTAATTAGTTCTGCTTCTAGATTGTTGTTTTTGTTTTTTGGCTTTTCTGTTAAATGTAGGAGTGGGACCTTGGTATCAGAAAAAAGGTGTACTATCTGTTAGGATTAGGTGATCAAGATCAATAGGGTGGTGAAGCGATGGGGTTCTTGCTATTTGAATATTTGACACGCTTGACTATGGATATTTTGGTAATTTAAGAAAATGACTCGGGGGACATTTTTTTTTTTTAACTGATAGTGGTAGCTGGTGTTATTATCTCCTGGTTACATTGTCGATTTTTATTTTATGTTTAGTCTTCAATTTGATTTAATTGCATGTGTTTGTGTATATGTCACGTTTAATACTTTAATCGCGTTAAACAATTAATCAATGAAAATCATATGGAATGCTGGTGGTTTGTGATTGGAAGTTTGATTTACTTTTTCAATGACTGGAAATAGTATAAGATGTATCGATCTGCAGTGTTGTCTGTTTCTGGTTGTTCCTCGTTTTACTACATTATCTTGCTTTTCTAATTGTTTATTATTATTCATTAACATTTTGGAATAAAAATAATTATATATTCTTACTACTTACTAGACTCGTCCATCGCATGGGTTAGATCTTGGGCAGTGTTATTTTAATATGAATTAATAAATAAAAAACTGTAAAGAAGCAAGTGGTATATGTACACGCATGCATTCTAAAAGATGTTTGGATATTTGTGAGGATACTAGAGAGCAAAATAAGGTAGAAAAATACATTTATAAATAGTAAAATTATTTCCGACAATTATTGTTAGGAATTACAATTAATTTTAATTTTATAATTTTAATCTAATTAGGAATTGCAATTAATTTATAATTGGAAAGTTAAATTGCGTACTGTATACTATAGATTGTGTAGTTATGAAGTATAATCAGAGCATGGATATCATGACAATGCACGCATTATTCAATGCACAAAATCGAATTTTTAAAGTTGATTTGGACTATCTAAGAGCTAACTCGCATAATAATGCTAACAAACTTTGAAATCCATTCCAAAATCCTGATGGACCATTTGTACCACGTGTCTAATGGATTCTTCCTTACCAAATTTACACTCGTGACTTTGAAAAAAAAAAAAAATTTGCCTTCATGCCCTCCTATCTCGGTTTATTAATTAATAACGTAGCAAATTTTACTATTTATTGTAATTACACCCTTAATTCGACCTTTTTAACACGTATACCTAAATTGCAATTTTAAATTAATTGTACTCCAGATCCAAATCTATGTTTAGGGTTTAGAATAAAGAATTATAAATGGCAGATACACAATTGAGCTTGAATTAATTTTATCCAAGCTCAATTGAGAGCAAAACGACACTGTATTATAAGGCCATCTCTAAAATTTTCTACATCTATTTCAATATTTAAATCATAAATAAAAGACCGATGTCTTGAATTGGAATCTCAATTTCAAGTCTCTGAAGTACATACTTAATTGCAGGGACTTGCTGTCATTGATTAATGAGATTGCAAGACAAAGATGCTTCACTTACCACTTCAACAAAAGTCAGACCTTATCGCAAACTAACTATTTTTGACAGCAAATTAAGTATATCTTACCAACTCCCTCTTGCAATAATCCCACATTCCATACTTTACAATACTATAATTAATGGATACACCTTAATTAATTCTTTTATTGGTTATTGCCAAAGCCACTAATACCATAATAATTAATGTTTGATTTGATTTGATTTGATTTTGCTAGTTTTGAGTTTGAATCTGTAAATCGAACCATTGACTTAATTTTCAAATTTGTATAAACCAAATCAAACTGTCAATTATGAGAACTAGTTAAAAGGCTCTTGAATCTTGCCTATGCATGCACTCCCTTTTGTTGGACTTTGCCTTTGCAAGTTTGATGTCATGTCAAGCATTTCTTTTTCTTTCTCATCTCTTTGTTCTTACTGATCATAATTTAAAACTTGGAAAGACGTATCTGGAGGTGTGTTTATCCTGTACTGGTTGAGCAGGGTAAAGACCACGAACCAGAATCACTTTATGCTCGGAGACCGACGACGTTGAAGCTCCTAATGTGTAAAGTTAGAAACTTTATTTTCTAAGTTTTATTGGATTGACGATGGCAAATGGGAATTATCAAACTAATTAATAATAACCAAAAAATAAAGATTCTAACTTTACATAAAATAAAGAAACAACACAGTCCAGTTGCAGGGTAGAACTGAGTGAACTCGACCTGGTGAGATCCAACAAAGCGAGCATGTTGAATATAGATGATGAATCTAGTTCATTTTTCCATTTTTAATATTTCCTCAAGTATTAGACTTTTGAGAGAGGACATATATATGTATTGTAGTTTCTTGATCTATTTGCTTAGTTGATTGTGATCTTTAGAAGAAAGTTTTAATGATGAGAATTCCTTTCAATTGGGTTCTATTTTCTACAGCTAAGGATAAAATTTTAAAGAAATAAGAGATTAAAATTGTCAATCTTGCATATGTTAAATTCTTAATTGGCAACATTATATTAAAAATTTAAGGATAAATTGCCTCATTGATGATGGTAGGACTTAATTGAACAATCTGTTTCATTTCAAACTCGAGATAAATTTGATTGCACAAAATTATAATACAAAACCAGTTCCTAATGCACTATAACATCAATCCTTTCATATTAAAATTGCTGCACAAAGCAGAACAACTAATTAAGACCAAACACAGAGCATATTGAATATATTCAACTCTTAAAACACAATAAATCCATTTCTTGAAGCCCTTTCATTGCAAACCTGTAGAAAAACATATAGGCTATTAATTCTTATTAGAATAAAATACCTAACCAATCTAATTAACCAAAGTTTAGGCTTTTTTTACCCCATTGAATGTTACTATTACTCCTAAGTTACTCCATAGTTAGTTTGATTTACACTACAATTGATTAGCTTGATTGAATTAGAATAAATTGTAACGTTTAATGATAAAGAACTTAAAATAATTCTTTTTCTTTTCTTTTTTTGTCCTACTGTTTCACTAATATTATGTATTATTTTATTAATTAGATTTGTGTAGACCAGGTCTATAATTCCAATAGAAGAAAGAACTTAAAAATTGGAGACTCCTCTGATACCCCTTTGGATAAGAAAGAAAATATGGTAAATGGGCTCTGTTAAAATTATATTGGGCTTTCTCCATTCTAAGGCCTAATGTAGTGATCCAATAGAAGTTACTTAATAGTATAGGTGTGGGCACTCAAAAGACCAAATTGTGTGTACTGAGAGTGAGAGACGGAGAAACATACCTTAAGCATTAGCAATCGGCAGGAGTGGTGAGATTGCATTTGGCAGGCAAAGCCAAAGCAAGATCAGGATCAATACCAAGAGAAGGCAACATTAAAGAGTTCCTATAAGAACACAGACATGTCAAATTAGCCCCTGAGAGTGCCTTGCAACATTTTGGTGATGGTGGAACCACTGGATTAGGTTTTGTAACTGATGGTTTGCAAGCTAAAAGCCCATCGTCATCCATGTCACACAAGTTCAGTGACCTTGTTCCTTCAAACATGGCTGCCACCACCACCGCCACCACCACCACCGTCGCCATTATTGTCTTTGCCATTCTTGTGCTTACTTATTAGTGCATGTGCACTTGTTACCAAATGTTTCTTGTTTATATAGAGAGAAGGGTTAACGTAAGAACCACAAGTTAAAAACCCGTGAACAAGAATTGGCAGCATTCAAGATCACGAGATCTAAATTGGCAGGTCATCCCCTCTGTAAATTATAAGCTATAATCAATTAAATTTTATGATTTCAAGTGGATCCCACATAATTTTGATTGTAGGCAGTGATCTATGCAAGATTTAGACCAGTTTTAATATTAGATTTTGAGTGGATGAACTTTACTTGTAAAGATGTTTAAAATCTCAAGTCATCGTGTATTGTATCAGAATACCATTCACGGCTCGAGCATATCCCATGTATAGAGAGGAAAAGCATGCATATCAACATTCTTAGTTATTAATTAATTTTTCTGAATTATTTTAATTTAATTATGGTCAAAAAAAGAGGGAAAATGCTCATATTCAAAAATGTCTTTATGCTCTAAAAAAAGTGTATGAACGATGAAAAAAATCAAATGCTTTTAGGTCTAAAATGAAAGTATTTATGGATAAGGTAAGAAATATATACACAATCAAAGATTATAAAATGATTTGGCGTATTAAAATAAAAAATATTATAACTGAAGTAAAAATACAGGCAGTATAAAATAATTCTAAAAGCTTAATTATAAAAAAATTCATTAACTTAAATCATTTTAATAGTTATATTTTTGAATTTAAACTTGACAATTTCCATGGATAATTATCAATTTATTGCCATGTAATCATTGGCAAATGTCAAATAAAAAAAAATCAGATTTCGCTGACATGTACATCAAACGTATTAAAAATAAATAAATAACTGCATTGAAAGAAATATAATTAAACTAATACAATGTTAGATATAAATAAATTTTACTTGTAAGATTAAGGAATTTAAAATCTAAAAATATCGTCCTTAAGATATTTTACTCGAAACTGAAAATGAAAATAATTATGGAAAGAAAAAGAAAAAGTAATTTCTACATAATCCCTATTTTGATAAAAAATTCTGAAATTTTAAATTTGAATATAAAATTAGAAAAATAGCTAAAAAATTTATCATTTTTTGAATTAAGTAAATTTTCAAAATGTTTGAGAGAATAATGGCCACTGTCACCTCTAAGCGTGTCAATAATTGTAGGACATATTATTTTCACACGTATTGGACATAGGAAAAATTATTCTTTTTGTCCTGTAAGAAAGTTAAATATTTAAGCAATTTTCTGATTTGGACGGTTGTTTTGTTTCCTTGTAGACGTTACGATTTGTCTTGTAATATTTTGGTGTTAGTGCCCTATCCTATTATTTTTTGGACAACTTTCCCATCCATGTACCAAACTAGTTGGACTTGGACGTAGGCTCATATGTCTGTTTCATTTTCATAAGGTGACATGAAACGTATCGGGATAAAAAAAAACTTCCTCTATCAAGAATATCTTTCCACTCCAGTTTAACAGTTAGCTTTAAATCGATGAGTATTTATGTTGGAAGTTCTCTCTAAAATACCGATGCCACGATTTGACCTTTCAATAAAATTTAATGCGCTTCAATCAATAGATCAACCTATTTTAAGTATAATTGGCTAATGTTTTTATGTACGTTCGAAGTCCATATAGTTACGTGCTAAAATATAGGGTGCATTGTGTATAAGTTTAACAGCCAAGTCATCCTCGTTTTGATGATATATGGATGAAAAATCATATAATTATTATTAAAAAATTATTTTAAGATATTAATTTCTAAAATTAAAAGAACCAATGATAATTATAAAAATGATTGAAATTCAGTTTTTGTCTTTGAGAAAAAAGTCATGATATACTAAAAATAAATTAAGTGAAAGAAAACAAATAAAATAAGGGTTAAAACTGAATTCTAACGTCTAACTTTATTTACTTTGATTAAATTATGTGAAATTTTTTTCTAAAAATAAATTATTAAAATTTGATAAATGTTACTAAGTTTAAAAATTTTCTGAAAATATCCTTTCATTTATATTTTTATGAACTTCTATTCTCCTCCTTTTCAATCAAACCATTATAGAGAGATTCTCTATTGTAGAATCTTCAAATTGAATTATTTTAACAGCCAGCCACAGATTCTTTAATACACTTCTAAATTCTAACCTCTTTTTTTAGTACAATGGAATAAAGCCTCCAATTTCCATACTATAATCTTAAGTTCTTAAGTACAACTGTAATAATTAAATTTTGATTAAAAGTATTTCCATCTCTTAATTTTATACTTTTAAAAATTTTAATATTAACTTAAGATATATATAATCACTAGTATGCGAAAGTTCATTGAACTTCGATCGCATCCGATTCGGACACTGTAGGACCATATATATAAGAAGAGACTCAAAATCCATTATTAATTAATTAATAATTTTATTATTTACCCTTTATGCAATCTTATATATAATAATTAGGGTGCACAAATACAAATTGAAATATTTAAACATATCAAACTCTGTTGTGATGATAATGTGAAAAAGAAATTCTTGGCGTTACTTTTCCAGAACATGGTGTACCCCATAGACCTTATTCTATGAAAGCAACAAGAAATTCCATAGTGGAAATGACATCTTCTTAATATGAAATTAATCAAGAAATCACCTCTCCTTCAATTAAAGCACACCACCACCACCTCTCCTTTGCATATTTTTTCCAACTAATCTGGACCCACACAAATTAGTTCCTCTACCTTTGCAAGTTGATCACATCTACCCATTTGATGAATGACACGTGGATAGAATTTGTTCTACAAGTGATAAAATATGCTCAATAATGAAGGATTTATTATTTGCTTTCTCTCTCTCTCTTTATTCCTTTGTTTGTGATCTTTCTTCTGATTTTCTTGCAAGTTTTCAATAAAGATTTCAGATCTCTAGTGAAATTCATAGTATACTTTTTTTTTTTTTTTTCTAATTCATAGTATACTTTTTTTTTTTTTTTTTTCGCAATTATATTGGCTATAAAGTATTACAATACTTATATATTTAGTTAATTTAGTATCAGCATCAAACTTAATTACTTTTTGTTTTTTTTTTGGCATTACATAGTAATTTCAAACTTCCAACAGAGCTAAGATTTTTTTTTTTTTTTTTTCCAATTATATTGGCTATAAGTATTACAATACTTATATATTTAGTAATTTAGTATCAGCATCAAAATAATTACTTTTTGTTTTTTTTTTGCATTACTAGTAATTTCAAACTTCCAACAGAGCTAAAGAAAATGTTTGAAGAAAATTTGAAATATATTTTTGCTAATTAGTATACCAATTATTTTTAAAAGGCCTTGAGTTTGAATTTGTTTGCTTCGTGTAATAATTAGGGTTTTATTTTTGAGTAAAATTCAAAATATATGTATAACGGTAATTGAAAATATCTCATTCTCTGACACTTTTGTGAGGAGCAAGTTTTGTGTACGCATGCAGGAAACATTTGTATAAATAGGCCTTAAGTTAAGAGCCTTTCAAATTATCCTGACTTGACTTAGGTTGCTTTTGCTCACCCTTCATTTTCAATTTCTTTCCCCTATTTCTCTTTTTGTTCAATACTCTCTCCATGGCTTCTATTCAGGTTGTGTTTCCGAGGTTTTTCTTTTTGCTTTTTATTTATATATATATTGAAATTTGATATTTCAAATATGCAATTAAGCTAATAAATAATTCATGATTAGTCTACGATAAGACATAAATTAACGCTAAGTATATATACAACTTGATAATAGATTTAGGTTCTAATTTCATATTTCAATATTCAAAAAAAATAATAATAAAATTCATGGGTCTTCTAGTCTCTCCTAAGCAATTTTTTCTTCTTAAACTAATTTCCCTGAATTAAAAAAATGAATATACATCTGGTTTGAAATAATTTTTATAAGAATTCTATTTAATTCTGTTTGTTTTTAAGTGACAAGATGATCTCATGTGACAACTTTTGCACATCATATTACGTTTATATCTCCAAGAACAATTAAAAATAGATCATATAGGCTTATGAATTTTTGATATGTATCTAAAAAGATATACTTAAATGTTAATTATAACTTGGTATGATGATATTTTCAGGAAGATGCACCGATCAAAGAGGTAGCCGATGACCAAGTTGAAAAATCACAGCAAGAAATTCATGTTAATGAGGAAAAGCCATGCGAAGAACCGGAAATAGTAGTTCATGAAGGGGACGCAGAGGAAGAAGAGGAGGGAGAAGATGAGAAAGAAGACGAAGAAACAGCAAATAAAGAAAATAGAGAGGAAAAATTTGCAGGTTCACCAATTCTTGGCGATGATGAACCAACTGCTTCTTTTGATGTAGAAAGAGAAGCTGAAGCTGATGATGAAGAAGGTGACCTCGTTTAAAAAGACATATATATAATTTTACATATCCATGCAGTCAAATTAAACATCTTGTTTTAACTTTTAGTTTGCACGTTTTGGCTTTGGAAAATAACATGAACTGAACTATTTGACGAATTAATTAATCACGTTGGCTTTATGCCTTTTGTTAATTAATTTGTTTAGGGAGTGTTTTTATTTGTAATGTTGCTGGTGCTTATATGGAAAATCGAAAGGAGGTGCCTTTGTTAGCAAATGATTATGCACTTCAATAATTCTTTTTTTTTATTATTATTTTTTTTATTTCCTTGTTTGTTTGGTTGTTAATGGATTTTTTAGTTATATGCGGGTTTATTTATACTTTCAATTTCAACAATAATTATATGAACACAATCAGTATTAAAATTAAAATTCAATGTCATGGCTAAAATAAAACTTTTTTAAATATTAAGGTACCAAATAAAAAATTGTGAACTTAAAACGACAAAGCGAAGAGAAGTGGTATTTTGATCTCTTGTTCGGCAGTTCGTCACTCTACATAAAACGACAAAGCGATAGAGCCTCTGAAATAAATGGGCTGAGAGTCATCAATAGGGGGGTTTAAAAGGCCTTGTAGAAGGTCAATTTGAGAGGTGGACCACATTGTACTAGAGGTAGGCCCATGTAATACATAGCAACTAGACCCATCAACCTTACGTAAATGGGCTCATTTATCGAAAAAAAAAAAAAAAGAAAATTCAAAGCGCAGAGTGGGAGCGGGACCTACTTTCTATCATTTGTTTTTGAAAAATAGAAGCTAAGCAGCAGAAGTAAACAGTATTGAAAAGGACAAAAATTGAAGAATAAAGAGAAGCCCACGTTCATAAGAGAAGATGGGAGAGATCATCGATCAGAGGCAGGGCGTAGAGAGAGGGCCCTTCCCTTCCCTTCCCTTCTTTTATTATCTTCCTTTTCTTTTCTTTTTCTTTCTTCTTTTTTGTCATTTTTTTGGGCTCTGGTTTTGAGGCTGTAACAGAATGGTTGGAATCTCCATAAACAGAGACTGAAATCCCTGAACTCGTGCCCCTCCTCCACATGCACATCTCTCGTATTTAAACAAACAAAAGGGCAATTAACATTTTATATACTACTTGCTCTTTTTTTTTTGACAAAATTACTTGGCCATTTTATTTTATTAAAAAAGTATTTCTTTCTTGCAAGTATTTTTATAATATTTGGTTAATTGATTTTTTATTATATGTAATATAATATTACTATTTAATTTCTCATATTTATCATTAATTAATATTCGATCTCGTGCTTAAAAGACAAAAATGACACTTTTTTAAGTATTAATAAATGAAGTAGTTTAATGAGACTAAACTACATTACTTCATGGATAAAATAGTGATTTTACCAAACAATATGAATGTAATGGTAATATTATAATTACTAAGGCAGTTTGGTTCAACGGCTCATACTAGACAAGTTGGTTGGAATTACTGGTGTCTGATAGCTGATCATTATTGGTATTTGATAAAATTTTTGTAATAGTTTCTGTTAAAATATAAAATGATCATTAATGATGTAATTGTTTTTATATATTATGACGTATAATTTATATGTGTATATATATTTTTTTAGTTTAAAGTGAATATTATTTTTATTTTAATATATTATATAAATAAAATATTGATTTTTTAATATTTTAATTTATAAAAATTTGTTTTTAAATAATTATAAATAAATAAATCATAAAAATATTAATTTGGAAAAATAACAATCATTTTTATAAATTTAATAAAATTTAAATATAAAATAAATACAAATAAACTACCGGTTAATATGAAAATATATTTTTACACTGAACTTTTTTTATATTATTATCAAATTGTTAATTTGAAAGTATAAGTAGTTTTGTGTTATAAGTTAATTATGGTATACTTAACTAGTCTATAAAAACTTGTGTTCTCACACTTATAATGGTTAAGGGCGAATCAACACTTTATTGATTACTTCATCTATCCCAAAATATAAGTCGTTTAAGATTTTTATACAGTGATTAAGGAAACAATTAATTCTCTTAGATTATAACAAAATTAAAGGTAATTTAACCGTATCATCTTTTAGCTCAATAGTTACTTGTGAAAGTATTTATTATATCTAATGTAAATAACGGTAACATTGGAAAAACATAATTTCTTAATGCTTAAAATATGCAAAATAACTTATATTTTATACAAAATAATTATCAAACGATCTATATTTTAAGATAAAAAGAGTATTAAATATAATTTTTGTTACAAATAAATCCGATGTCACGTGTCAACTTTTTCCAAACTAGAATAAATTTATTTCTTTTGTTCAATTTAGAACACGCAATCTATATTAAAACTGAAATTTCCATTTATTAAAAAAAAAAATCATTATCATCTTATTTCAAAAAATCAAATCATTCTAGAGGATCACTTTTTTTTTTCAGATACAATATATTACAATTTCATTAAAAAATTTCAAATCAATATAAATAATACAAAAATGATATTATCATTCCATGCTAAAATCAGACATAGAATAAAAATATTATAACTAAAATAATTATTAACTGTTATAATTAAAATAATTATTGTTTACTGATCTAATAAGAAATTCTAATAAAAATTGGAAGGTGAACTTGAAAAAATTAATAAATCTTCGAAGTGGTGGCTAGACAAACTCTTTGAATCTTCTTTGCATAGTCTAATATCCATGAACTAGTTACTTATAAATAATATAGAAGATTTGAACCACTAAATCTAAAGGAACATGCCGCACTATAGGCTCTAAAAGATAAAGATCATCGAGAATTTAAAAAATTCACCACAAATTATACACATGTCTAAACAAAACAAAATAAATGCAAGAAAATAAAATAAATATTTCACATGAATAGGAGATATCACAAACTCCACATAAGATTAAGATAAATAATAAAAAAAAACATAAATTTATATCAAATATATATAGATATGTAACTTATTTAAAAAAAAAATTTAAAATTTTGCAAGAAAATAAAAATAATAGAGAGGGGTGTCACAAAAAACAAAAATTAGCCTCTCGAGTTATCTACATGTTTAGTTTTTATAACGGAGAGAGGGAAAGAAAATTTTAATGAAGAAGTTCCAGAGAATCACTTAAATAAAACATATGTTCATTATATGATACGATTTCATAATTAAAATTTTTAATTAATAATATGAAAAAGAATCCTTAATTAAAATTTAAAACCAATAATTATCCATTGCAGATAATTTAAGAAAATAACTCTGACAGATAAAAACATTTATTTACTTTGAGTGAAGAGAATGACCATCACCCCCGTAATCATTCAAGGCCCAAGAATTATAGTACTATATTACACATTAAATAATATATATATAATATATGTGAGTTGCAGAGACCAAAGGCCATGCTTTCTCTGATGCACACCTCCTCCTCCTCCTCCTCCTCCTATTCCCCTTTACACTGTGAACCAGTAAACCAAAACAAATGATAATATTATTAAATTTAAGCAATTTTGTTTCCCACCCTGCACTGCCTGCCTGCCTAGCTGTCCTATTGCAAGCAAGTCTTGAGATTGAACTTTAATATAGTAATATTATAATATATTATACATACAGTCTGTACAGTAAGCTCTTCTTTCTTGAACTTGATGCTTCATTGCTTCTGGCCTTCTGTTGGGCGTTGACCCTTCTTCTGTGGCTCTCTCACTGATTTGTACAGTTAGTCATTAGGCAATTAATTTAGTTTTACTTTTAGAGAACCTATGGCCTTATCTCTATTGTCTTTAGCTATTTCCATGCCCCTCTTTACCTACGCGTGTGGGCTTTAAAAAGTGCTAAACACCACGCAGAAAAGCTATAGCTCTCTATAGCTCATGGGTTTTTAAAATTTTTTTATGTATATGAACAGTGACTGAAGAATTTCTTTTTATCAATTTAACTTTTATCAGTAATATTTGGAATCGGTGAGAGAGAACTGTATTGTCAAATAAATTTTAACTGTAAAATCAAAGATTTTAAGCTTAGAGTTATCACTGTTTGAAAAAATTTATATTTTTGTTTGGTTTAAAGAGATGAGAAGGCAACTCAGGAATCAAGAAAGAAAGAAATGAGAGAAACCAACGACCCTTTATTATGCATTGGAATATACATCCGATCAGCGACAAACCAGGTAAAGCAAAGCAAAAACCCTGATACAAGTAATTTATTGTAATAAAGAATAAAGATAGAATATTAAAAGAAGACCCAAAAAAAGAAAAAGAAAAGAAAAGAAAAGAAAAGTGACCTACCCTTGTTACTCAATTCCCTTCTCTCTCTCTTTGCCTTACCTCTTTGTCTCTCTGTCTGCTACTGTGAAACTTCGTTATCTGAGTTAATTTCCTTTTACCCTTAAAAGAATTTTTAATTGCTTTGGATCCACACTCCCTTAGTCATTACTTTTTCCCATTTTCTCTCTCTTTCCCTTCCCACCCTTTTAAATCTTGGTGCTGCGCCCACGCTTATCAGCTCAGGTAGTACTTAAGAGAGAAAGAATCAGAGAAAGAAAGACTGCATTTTTTTGAAAACCCTTTCAAGAATCAAGTTTCAAGATTCTAATATACCATGGAAGTGAGTCTCTATTTCTTTCTTCCTCCTCCTCCTCCTTCTCCTCCTCCTCCTCCTCCTCCTCCTCCTTCTTTATAATATATTTCTTGATTTCTTGATTTCTTGATTTATAGCACATTTTTATTTAGCTTGTTGATTTGTGGTTTTACTTGCATGTACATATGCAGGACTACTATTATTCAAGAAACCATGTTCCGGCTTTTGGAAGCTGGGATTGGAACAATGATTTACCTTTTACTCAATGCTTTGAATCAGCTAGACAAGCTGGGCTGCTTCGTTACAGTTTCTCTGAAGATCGTGATTTATATGTTGCTGGTGATTTGTATGAGAATGATGTGGTTACACCTGCTATGATTGTTGTTCCTCGTCGCAGGGTATTATTCTCTTCTCAATTTACTTTTCGTTTAGTTTGGTACAGCATAATTATAAGCTTAATGAAATGTAATAATACATTTATAATTATATTACTAACTGCATTTCATTACTTTATGTTAAAATTTATTTTTTGTAAATCAACTAATTCTCATTCAACTTGGTACGAGTAACGAAATATAAGAATATATTTTAAATTAATTTAATTAAATTACACGATGCCGCATGCACATGATTCATAAAAAGTATTAAACAGCGTAAAACACAAAGAAAAGAAGGAGAAAAGATTCATTAAAAGAAGTTCACAAGAATTAAAAGAAAAGTGAAATTGAAAATGAAGTTTGTGTATATAATTTTGATATTTGCAGGGAAAAGTACGTCAGTCTCGTGAAAAAGAGGAGAAAAGGCAGGAAAATTGGGCTGTTGGTGACGTGAAAGAAGCACCCAGTCCTAATAATAATTTTATGGCTATGAGCAGGCCAACACCTAAGCCTGTTGATGAGGACTTGTACAAAATCCCACCAGAGCTTCTTTATCAAAAACCCAAAAAGGTAGGCCTTAACTTAGCTTTAGCTTAAAGCTTTAACCTTTAATCACTAAATTATAATCAATTATCATCCATAATTAAAGTTGTTCTAAGTAATAATCTTTTTTGCTTCTTTTAATATCTTTCACGCTCAATCTTTAATTTTAGGCTAACATTTTTGACTTTCTACTAAAGTTTCTTCTTCTTTTATTTATTTTTTGTGCAGAAAAGAGGATTGTGCTTCTTTTCAAGCTGCTTGCTTCCTACTTGTGTATTGTGAAGCTTGTTGGATTATGGGTACATATATATATATATATGGAGAGATATGAGAAGAATATATATATGTAATTATACCTTCTTCTTTTTTGGGTACTTAATATTAGGATATTCTCGGATCAGTTTACACGAATCATCCGATTGGATTCCAATGGAATGTGGAGAATATTGTTGAATATTATTACTATTAGTTTCTAATTACTGAAGGGTTTATTTTTATTTTCTTGAATTTGCTTCTCTATTTTGGCATTGGAGAAAATGGAAATTATATATATTTATATATTGATATGGAGCTGTGAATATTCTTCCCCTTTCTATGAGAAAAGAAAAGGCAAAAGAAAAAGAAAAAGAAAAAGAGTATTTTCTATGAATTTGCATTGCATCATCTTCTCTTCTCTCTTTTGTTTTTTTTTTTGTCAAAGTCATGATATCGTTTCATAAAACTAACCTTTCAAGCTCCATATTAGACCACTCTACTTGTTTTTGAAGGTACATAATACATTAATGAACTGACTGATTGAGACGTGTTTAACTGTGTAATGTTTAGATCACGTGAATCTCTTTATTGTAAGAAACTTTGTTTGGTCTTATTTCATGTTTTAGAGTTTGACAAGTTTGAAATACTTACCAATATTATTGGAAAAAGTTTAAAATGGAAAGAAAGAAAAGATTTGTATAAAGCAAAATCTAATTGACTTATTTATATCTTTTTTTTTTCTTTTTATGCATTGAGAATTGCCAAAGATGAAATAAAATAAGATGTCAAAGTTTAAACGTTTGGGTTGATAGATGTTAGGTAAGTGACAATTTGTGAATATTTTTCAATTTTATTATTTGACGGATGAAAATTTAATATATTGCATGAATTTTAAATACTATATCATTTTAACAAATAAAAAATCTTATTTTTTTTATTTCAAATTCATAAGTTTAAACATTAAAAATATGGTAAAAGTCCATAAATTTTAACAAATTGCATAAAAATCTCATCTAAATGTTAGATAATTTGTTTTTGTAAAATAAGTTACCATTGATTTTTTTTTTTTTTTGAGTATACCATTGAAAATATTTTTAAATAATTCTGTTTTTCTCTTATTCAATTACAATATAAAAAATAGTTTTCAGTAGTTAATTTTTTAAGTGTTCAAATTTAAAAAAAAAAATTAGGAAATATTTTTCAAATAAATTATTTTTTAAAAAATAAATGGAGACTTGACCGTGTGTTGGATGGTGGTATTGCCAAACTTTTGTGATATATATTCAACTACTAAACTACCAACATTAACACTCACTTTACCTCATCACATGCTTGTGAGTCATTGGGACTCCTTTTAATAGAAATCTTTTCTTTTTCTTACGTTTTATTACATATTATTTATATTTCTTTCTTGAGAAAATCTCCTTTTCGAAAATAAAGCACGAGAGAGTACTTTGTAGAGAGAAAGAGAGGTGTGCTAAAGGGAGAAGTTAGTCTAAAGTCCAAGCTTAAAAAAAAATTAAAAGAAAAAAGAAATAAAAAGTTCTAATGTAAGATAAATGAAGCTAAGCTTCATTCCAAATGTTGCTTAGTACATGTGTATGTGTTACATATACATCAATGCATGTGCATGCATCTTCCTTTTATTATTGGCTGATGGAAGATTCGTTTTATACAGAAATTGGTATCAAAATTCTGAATTGCATGTGTTAATTATGCACTTACATAACAAGTTAGAGATCATGCAAATTTCATCCCACTCGTTTTGTAAATATATTGAGACATCATATATTTTTACTATTACTGTCAATATTGAATCCATGTAAATAGAAAAATCTATGAATTCAAAAGTAAATGGAATTACCAAGAAGAATGTGACTGAAAGCAAACCAAAAGTAGGGGGTCTAAAACTAAAAAAGATCAACAAGTCACACTGCGTCATTTTAGTTGTCATCTCCATCATGCTTAGTATTGGTTTTCAGCGTTGTAAATCTGATAGGATTCCAACAGATTTGTATAAGATGGGCAAGCCAATAGTCAACCGCAAACTACTCTCTTCCACAGCCTTTCAAAGAACCTACTCATTATAGTAAAACTATTCAAACCTTTAACCCTATCAGAATTACTATGCACCCGCAGTTTCTCTGGTCCCAAACCTCACTTGTCTTTCTCTAGGTTTGGTAGGGCTACTCTTTCTAACAGTGATAAGAAATACCCATATCTTTATATACATATATACTGTAAATATCAAATAATTAGGGCTAATTAGTGCATTTTTTTTCTCTCTCTTTGAACTGGTTGATTAGTACTTAGTAGTGGCTTTTTCGGGTATTCATATATTTAGATTAATCTACAGGAATTTGTGATGGTGACACAGCTATGGTGGGAAGTGCTGAAACGTCATTTTTTCACTCATCTTTGTTGGTTTGCGGGTTATTTTTCAGTGGGAATTTATAGAATGAGAGTGGGGATCTTTTAACTGTAATGTGAGTCCAAAAGCTACTATACATTTTTTTTATGTCTTTTTGACCATAGCGGAAGATAGATAGAACCCACTGCTAGACCAATGTGCTTTTCTGTACTGTGAAGTGTACATACGATAAGAGGGGTTTTGATGAATCTTAAATTTCTTGTCTACAACATTGTAATAAAAATGTACCCGAAGCTTTTAATATTGTAAGCTTGTAGAGTAATGATGATCTGTTCATCATGCCTAATTAATGGTAAGAAAATGATCTAGATGGAGCTCATGCAATTCGAACAGACGAAACTAGTTAAGGATAGAGATTACAAGTTTAATGAAAATTAAACGAAAAGGAGATAAACCTATAAACCTAGAATCAAAAGAAACAATTCAGTTTTTCTAAGAAAATTACTAAAACTAGAAACCAGAATATTGAAAACGTTTTACATTATTTGAATCTCTGTTAAATTTTAGAAAAATTGGAAAATTAGTTTCCAATTCTACAGATGGAAAATAATAAAAAACTGTTATCCAGTTTCTTAAAATTTTTTCTAAAAAAGTATTTTTCGATTTTCTATAAATAAACAGCCCCTAATAGTCTTAAGGAATCATGTTATCGCGAATCGAAGCATCATTTGCAGCCAGCTTAACAAGGGTTTGTACAGATGATAATATTGTAACAAATTTCTAGAATGTTCCTTCTCTAATAAAAAGCTTTTGGCATTTGTAAAGAACAGAAGCTAATAATGTGGAATCATGATACCCTTTCTAGCAGCAGCTTTCACCAGATGGACAAAATATACATACATGCGGTGATTCAGTAGTCTCTTTCACCATTCTCACCGTTTTTGGTTGGCGGGAGAAGAAGAGAAGAAAAAGAATGATTTAAGATACATACAGGAATCATCAAATGAATGAATGGATTAAGAAACTTGCAAGGCTCTAACTCGTGCAGTCAATTCTCTGACTTGGCTCCTCAACCGTTCAGGATTGCAGAAGAAGTCGACAAATACACGCCGTTGAAGTCCAACCTCTTGCGAATGGTGTTTTACAATCTACACAAGCATAAAGAATAAGGATAAGGATTTCAGTTTATAATTCAGTAACTAGTAACAATGAGAACTTATCAGAATTACTGTATCCAATATTCTTTGTGTCATTATAGTATTAAAAAGTTTTTCAAAAAACAGATTTAGATGCATAGCAGCAGTTGTGGTAAAAGCACCAAATTACTGCAGAATTGGGAAATTTCACTGCACAGATTTCTTTCAAAACAGTAAGAGTAAGAGGTGAATTGGTTCCACATGTTATACATAGTATGCTACTATGTTCGCCTAAGAACCGACATCATGATCTCTGTTCTGGTTTCTTTTTTCTTTTCTTTTTTTTTGTGTCAGCTTTTATTAATGTGAGATGTTACTGTTACATTAACCTTTTGCTATCTCCTTCAGTCGTTGTACCCAAATGCGCTTTTGCAGTCTTGCATATTAATTGCATACACCAACAAAACTTGGCAACTTAATTTAATTTAGACCAGCATAATAAGGAGATGCATCAATTACAAATATTGAGGTGGAGTATAAGGGACTGCACAGTTGCTCTTGCATCGCAACATATTGCATTTAAATAAGTACTAATTCAATAACTAGAAGAAATCAAACAATAAGATAATAGTGATAATCAAATTATGATTACCTCATTCTTTTTATTGTGTTCAAGCGTCACCTCTTCAACTGCAACAGAGAGTTTTGCATTTATCTTTTCCATTTCATCGAGTTCCTTCATCAATAGCTAAAAGAGCAGCAAATATTATAGACCAAATGAATCAGATTAGAATACAAAAGAAATTCCAAAAAGTAAGATGAATACGTAAATGCTTTTGTGACACTGACTAAGATGAAAATGCAGGACGAAAAAAAAAATCTATCGTTGCTGTTATGGAAATGCTAAAATAGATGGGCAGAAAAATAAGGATAGTTTGGATAGATACTAATGCCTCAGTAGGATGGAAGTAGAACCCGTTGAGGAAGGAGAATAGAAAGTTGAGATGGTTTAGATCATATACCAAAAAGTGCAACATGTGAAAATTTGAACATATTAAAGTTGCAGGTGAAAGGAAAGTGAGAGGCCAACCTAAGCAGGTCTATAGGTAGAAGAAAAGGATTAAATGATCTAGATGTTTCTGACCCTAGACTATACAGAAGGTTCAAGAAAAGGATCAACATGGACCATCTCGCTTAAATTGAGATTGAGAATTTGCAATCTCAAGAGAAAAAAAAATTAAATAAATAAATAAATAAACTGATTATGCAAGCTTGATATTCTAAATTCACTATCAAATCATAAGTACTCTTAAATAGTAATAAGAGCAAAAACTAACAAAAGCATGCAGAAAATGAATATAATACAAGCATAGAATAACTGAAGCAACAGCAAATTATAGGATTAATTAGCATGATTAGGAAGATATACCCGGGGTGTCAATATTGGTTGTGCAGTAGTTGATGATGCAAACAGTAGTTGCTGTAAACTCTGAATAAATGTGCACCTAAAACGCATAAAATACAACTGAAAAAAATGAGAATCTTGTTTTTTTTTTCCTAGCATCACTTGTTATATTCATGATTTTAGAAGAATGATATCGCAATCACTCAGCTACCAAGCCAAAAAAGCTTCCAATATCAAGTAAAAAGAATCCATGATTTCACACAATATTAAACTATCTCCATATCCATAGAAAATCAAATGATTTACACATTCCTTAGCACCTTAATATCAGAATCCATAATGCCATAGAACATCAAATGATTTAAACACTCCTCAACATCTCAATATTCACCTCTCCTTCTGAACTAAAACAGGCTCCAATATGTTTTTTTTCCCAGTATAACAGCCACAACATTCAAGATGAGCAACAAAATTTAGCTCAGGGAGTGCTCAATGGACAGTCTCTGCTACCTATTTTTCCTCTTAGATAAACTAATCTTCATACAAAATATATCTACATAAGTACACACATATTATCATTCTCGAACAGTAACCTTTGTTGGAGTATTAGATACAAACTTTGACATGCATTTAAACAAGAATTTCATCAAGAATAAACAAGTTGAGGACTATATGCAGAAGAAAAAACTCAGCAGTGTATTTTTCCCTCAAATTCATTGTCAATACAAAGTATTCTATCAAGTAATATTAGATTCTTCCATATCAAATGTGATTGAGCATGAAGACATGGTAGTAGTAGTAGAACATTTAAACCCTTCTATATATGTAGCTTCCTGGATTGAGGCATAACTATTCTCGTTGCATGTTCTAGAACTGAATCCTGATGTTAATATTAGATCCTAGAATCAAATTGTGTAAACAGGTGCACCATGTCATAGAGCCATGGAAATTCATCGTGTACTTGCTTATGTTGCAACACCCAATGATAATGACACCACAAAGGAACAAATCTAGGTTTATCAAATTAAAGCAGGAAAAGAAATACACAAATACATAACAAAATAATGTGAAAAAGAGAGATTAAACTACAAATTTTATAAGTATGAAGTGAAATTTGTACTTTCATAAGTACTATTTGGATGCTCTACTCAAAATAGGATTACTCACAGTTCATCAATGCATCTATTCCTGTCCTCTGGAAGAGAATTTTCAAGATCAGACTGCAGGGTCATCAAGTCTGAATGAAGAGCAGAAATCTGCTGTATAATGCCCGGGGCTGATACATATGTTGATAATCCAGCTTGAGAATCTAAGAAAATAAAGTAACAAGTTGAAGCTCATAATTGTTAATTTTATGAATAATATGATCAAGTAAAAAAGATAAAAAGGTTATATATGGGGATTACTTGAGTAAATGCTTAAGAGGTCTCTAACACCATGCAGAAGAGTATCCCGATCATCCACCGCTCCTTGTTCTTGTATATCAGATGCAGCTTGAGTCAGTGCTAGGCAACGACCCTGAGATGATGATAGAAAGTAAAGAAAAAAGAGTGAAGTCCAATAAAGATAAAGGACCAAAAGAGAAAATTCAACTTTATTTTATTCATCACAGTCACAAACGTCAACTAAAAAATATTCAAATACACAAACATGCATGTGGCTGTAATACTTAAAATAAAAAGAAAAACATGATTCAGAAGTGTATAATACCACTCTTCCTTTAGTTGCTGACAGGTACCCCTGAAGCTCTGACTCAATGACTTTAAGTAATGAATATGCTCCAAGCATGTTCTTTTTTTCCAACTGACAAGCCATTTTTAGGAACTGGTGTCTGGCAAGCTGATTGATTAGATGATTTATATACTGCAAGAAGAAATTGAGACTGTGAACGCCCTGGTATCAATGCATCCACATCCATTTTGAGCATAGAATTTGTTAACAGCATTATAACAATACAGCAGAAGAAGTCTGCAGTTTTACATGATATACTAATATTCACAAAATAACCCAGCCTTGTGAAGTTAAATCTCTCTAAGTTCTAGTAAAACCCAAGTAAAAGTATAATTATAACATTAATATTAAAAACAATTAATTCTGAGAAACAGATATTACTAAAGTTATCTTCAAACCCGTACAGTCAATTGCCAGAAAGAAATGAAAAAACAGCAAAAGAATCAGAGTAAGAGGTTGAATTAGGAGTCTGATAGAGCTAATTGATTTAAAAATTCATATTGCAGGATGATCTTATTTCACAGAAGAAAGGAATCCAAGGATATAAAAAGTTGACAACAATACCGCTTTCTGTCGGTTAATGTAATATTCTTGGCGCATGACCTTTAGATCATAATCACCTACAAGTGCATAAATTTACACTATTAACTATATAAAACACTACCAGAACCAAGAAAAAGAAAAAAAACAAAAAAAAATGTTAGTCTTCAACAGTTGTAAAACCTGAAAATTACCACCCAATACCTTGCAAAATGTATGTGTCTTGGAGTTGAGCCAGCTCCCAACAAAGATCTGGAATGGTCTGCAAGTTTGAGGTTGAATCATTAGAGAACAAATATAAATGTACTACCCTAAGAATGATCAGGGAAGTTCATAATATATAGATGACATGGTCAGTGTAAAATTGAGTGAAATGGACAAGGAATAGACATATGTAAGAATTAAACTGGAATCCTTCTAGTGAACATCTTTTTTGCTTCCTTTCTTTTCTCCTCCAGCTGTTGCTTCTCCTTCTTCTCTCTCCCTTACCCTCTCCCTTTCTGCTGACCACCATTTAGCACATATCTTCAAACACCAACCTGGTTTCTGCTCATCCACAATGTCTCACTAATTGGTAATTTTAAAATCAAAAGCTGTTAGTGCCACCAGCAAACAATCATTTTTTGATTGATCGGTAGTAGCTCCAGCAGATCCATCACTGCAGCAGAAACATGGCCACTCCAACTGCAATAAATAAACCTTAAGGTTATTGTCCCTATCACCAAATGTCCACTTGTCAGCTCATTACAACCTAATCTTCAAAATCATCAATGCAGAACCACTTCCACATCCATCATTGTTGTTTCTGCATGCTTTTTGATCCCCACAATGACCAACCACAGTAACCACACTCTCCCCTCCTCGCGGTGCTCATACACATGCCTCAAATTTAACTAAATCTGTCTATGCAGACATTTGTCGTAATTTTTTCAGTCACTCCCATTTGGGTTCTTCAAGGCCTCAGTTATGTTGTATCTGGGTATCCTGCTTACCCTTCATAGTTCAATAAATAGCAAGTAGTCATTTAAGTACAGCGACAATAACGAGTTTCAACCCCATTTGTATTTTTGTAGGCTCAAAAAAATAAAAAACTGGTCTTTTCTATTAATAACAAAGATAAACCAAAAGGCGGGAGTTTTGGAGTTTTAGGTAATACGTTAAACTAATATCAACCAATCAATCTTTATGTGATCCTGGAAGAGTTGGCCATAATGGTGTCAACCTTACATATGCATTACATGAACAACCAAAATCATGAAAGAGATACATCTAAGTGGAAACAAAATGCCTTTAATTATGTCGGTTAAATCCCTAATTGTTACTGAGCAAATATAGAATGACAGTTAGGGACAAATAACAGGAGAAAAGACTTATCATACAAACCTCGGATAATAACTTCTCTTCTTTGTGATGAAGATTTGAAAGTTCTCCCATCAATTCAGAATGCTTTCTCCTGCTCATTTATAATATACAAAAACAAATATGTAACAATCAAAATGGATATCATACTAAAGTTCTTTTTCTTCAAAACAGGAAAAAGATGCAACCAGAAATTTGAATAATTGAACCTAAAGATGTAACTAGCTCATACAGAGTTGCAAACTTGTGCTTGTGAGCAGAGAAACTAGAATATCCAGCTTAACAGGAACATAACTAAATCATGGTAAATTTTTTTCAAGAGTGCTAAGGATATAACCATTACCCTTTGCTACACTTAATCTAATAGCACCATTCAAATTAGAATTAGGGGATTCAGCATGGATGCTTTTGTTTCTCACTTGTTCAATTGTTACTTGGGAAAATTATAATCTTGTCCTTGTATTTTGCTAAAAGGTAATACTTTATTCATTTGTCTTGAAAACTAGACTACTTTGTCCCCATATTTTTTACCAATATACACAATTGTCTCTCTGTCAAAAAAACTCAACTTTTGCCGTTAAGTACCTTATACCAAGACAGAGATTCCTCAAATCCCACTCACACTCAAATTTCTATCATCTTCATCGCCAAAGCCGACCATTGCTACTCAACCCTCTTCATCTCCATCAATGGCAGCTACAGCTTTCATGGAAAATTGTTTTGAGGGAAGAGAGGGATTGGGTATTTCTACCTTGTTATAAAACACTTAACAGCAAATTGTGGATTTTTTTTCACATAAGGACAATAGTATATAACAGGAGAAAAATATGGAGATAAAGTAGTCTATTTTTCAAAACACAGGGACAAAGTAGTAACTTTTGGCAAACTACAAGGACAAGATAATTTCAAACCTAACCAATGCTATTTCTGGTCAGTTTAGTTTGATTTCCCCAGCTAAATTGGTTAGAAAGGTAAAAGTTGTAATTTCAGTTACTTGGTTTGGTTCATTTTTCTATCAATAACACCGAAATATTTGGGTTCGATTTTTGCTTCTTTGAAGTTTCATAAATGCTGAAACTTGATCCCTACAATGGAACTCATATCTTAGTTTATTGAAAAAGTCCAAATAATAAGGATTTTATTTTTCAAAGATTCCCTTGTGAAGTCATTTGTCTTTCATATATCATGGATGCACTTGAGCCATTAACATGACAGAGTAGCAAAGATTCTACATTACATTTATCAAAGCAATTGTTAACACTTCACTCTGTGGTTTGATAACTTGTTTTTCCCCTATTATGGCACACTTTGAGGAGATCCAGGTTCCAAGAGTGTAAAGCCAGGTTTAATAATTTTCACTTATTTGGAACAAAAGAACCTATATGGAACAAATTAAGATGTGATTTAAATAATTCAGGATAACATGCTTAAGTTCCATGTTTTCTTTCATGTGACAAGAGCTACAGCTAACCTTATTCCCAGTGCACTAGAAGTACAAAATGGATTTAATGTTGGGAGAGACTCTCAATATTTATATGCAAATCAACAAACCTAAAGATAAAAATTTTCCGCTGACTTTCAAACAGGAGGCTTAAAAATTATAAGAAGTTCTCAGCTAAAGGAGAAAAGAGAGAATGCAAAACATGAAGCTTTTACCTAAGAGTGTGAAGATCAAGATGAATATGAGCTTCATCTGAAGTTATTTGAGATTTAAGTGTCACAAGAATAGCTTGCTGCTTAGCATTCTCAACCTGGGCTTCAACCCATTGTCTTTCACTTGTTCCAAATCTGTTAATTCAGTGAATAGCTTATAAATGATTTGAATTAAATAAAGCAGCATCATTATCACCATTGAAGCAGCATCATTATCACCATTGTGCACTAAGAAGAACTTAAAAGAGGCCCCAAATTCATTCACACAAAACCAAGAAACATAATTAACAAACTGACATAGAAAGATCAAATAATCAAAAATTAGGTTGCCCAAAGATCATAGGCTCATGAGTGCTCCTGCATGCACTTGCCTTTGTGTGCAAGTCTTATGCACATGTGTGCGTGGTCGAAAGAGAAAGAGAGAGTGAATTAGAATAAATTGGCAAATGAAAATTCTAAACCATTTTCCAATCCGTAGGCTTACTGTAGAAGAAGCTTTTTGATGAAAATCGAGTTAGAGGAAGCATAAGAATGACCACTCAAGTTTAAGTCATGAATTTTCAACTAAAATTGAAAATCTGTCCTACATGACACTTAAGCCTGTACCACTCCTATCAACCAATTAATTGGCAATTTAGTTGCTACCATCAAGATGTCGCAAAGCATAGAGCTAAAAATTGTCTATTAGGCCCAAGAAAAACAACATAATTTCAGGTAATGAGAAGGCAAAAAAAAATGGAAGGGGAAAAATAATTTTCAAAAATTATGGTAAAGAAAAAAACTTACATGGATCGAAGCCGTTGTAACTCAGATACACGTTGGTGATGAGATTTCTCCAAATCTGCCGCAAAAAAAAAAAAATGTATAATTAGATTGATATATGAGATATAAATACTTGACATATCTGACACTCATGCATATCTAAATCAAGATGTTTAATTGCAAATGACTATCAACATAATGCATCAATGCAATTGGACGTTGGTGGCAGGATTTCACAAGGTTTCAAGTGTCACCTGTTTTTCTAGGCCAAATTAGCTACAGAATCAAATTTTAACACATGCATATTGGGAGGTTAACACACAGCAATTACAAGAAGAAGCAGAAGAAACAACTTGGAACTTAAGATGTAGAAGCGAAAGGGAAGAATACCTCTTACTAAAAGATTTGAGATGTCATCAAGACTCACCCATGAACATTTTGATTTTCCCTCCTCAGCGACCAGTCGAAAAGGACCCTGATTATAGTAACATGGTTAGGCCGTTTTTGCATGAATATCCAAAATATATTTTCCATCTTAATTAACAATTTATAATTTTCAGTCAAAATTATCAGAGTATGGAACATGTTGTCTAATGATGAAAAACAGCATAAAGCCAATCCACATTGAGCTAACAACAAAAGAACTCCACCGATTAAAGATTGTATCCCAAATTAAATCAAGCATGGCAAGTCTCAAACCTAAACAGAAAGGAGAGTTTTAATAATCAGTATAAAATTCTGTTAAATCTTTATACTTGGTCTTTTGCAGTCACCAAGGATGTTTGAGATGGTTTGGTTATGTCCAAGTGTAGAAAGATGAGAATTCACCATTCTGAAGAATGAGCACTTTCCAATTATTGAATGAAGACGATGAGAGACAAAGCAAGAATGATATGGACTAATATAAAATATTCTACCTTATACCTAGAGCCCTAAAGTTGATCATGGCAACATAAAGGTAGCATTGATAATGATAATGTACAACATAATTTAGACAAATACTAAAGGAAAGAACTACCAAGTGAAAAGCATATCTGCATTAGACACTAGTGGAAAGATGAAAGCATGGTTGAAATAATGATTACATTAGAAAATCATTTGAAAGAAACAACAAGGGACACAGTATCAACAACATTCTCTAGTTTAGGGATATCTTTCCCATCCAAATTTCTGCATCTTTAGTTCCCTGCCAGAATCAATATGGAGATATAGTGGCTTCAAAGATATTAGAAAATAATATTTCTGTGTCTACATACCGTGTCCAGTTGCTTAGAAAACCACTGATTTAATTCTTTTATACAAGATGAATCCCCAAGCAAGTATGGATGAAAATCTGAGTAAGCTAAGTAGATACCATCCTCTGCACAAAATATAATGATGTAGTCAGCAAAAGGAAAAATTCAAAGTAATTTTTTTTTCTTGTGCGCATGTATGTGGAATCCCACATTTATGACAGTTTGGAGTTGGAGCTGATCAGGCTTGACCTGACAAATAGTTGCCAAAACTCTGCCTAACAATAGTGCCTCAGCTATTTCATTTGATCTTACATTTTTATGTACTCCTCTTCTTTTGGCCATTTCCACCCCACACCTCTTGTATACGTGGCTAAAACTTAGGTTTTGTCTAACACTTAGCTATTGGTTAGAGAGACACAAACACATGCAAACATGCGTGAGAAACACACAGAGAGACAGAATTAAGCCTGAACCATATCCCAACATGACTTATAGGTTACCGACCGACCATCTACATGGTCAATCAAATGGAAGAGAACTAAACATCAATGCTCATATCAGACCAAAAAGTCTCCAAGTTAGCCATGTTTATCCTATTTACAGACAGGAATCATACTACCATAACGGAAAACTTTTCGACTTCTAGGTTTGCATCTCTCGTGTAAAATATTAGGAACAGAAGACAAAAAAGCAATAATGCAGATTCCAGAATGTCAAGTGGTGAAGACAAGAAGTATAAACATGAAAAGGAAAACACTACCATCCCCAGAATGATAATGAGCCAACTCTTGCGCTGTAGATGCAATTCTTCCAAGCACTTCATTCATCTATATAAGAATGAAATAAAAACTATTTTATATAAGCAAGCAAGAAATACAGAAACAGCCCACTCAAAGAGAGAGTATTCTAACTATAGAACAGCTGATGGACAAACAAGCAAATTTTTTTTTACTTCCATACTCGTAAATTTCGTGCTGAAAGACTATCATCTATTGATGTGAGGTGTCCATTGACAGTAGATGTCGCAGCAACTCGAGCCCGTCTCCCTTGTATCAATGCAGAAGCCTGGCCAGTGAGCATATCAAATTGAGACTGCAGATGCATAAGCTGTCTCTGCAACTCTAAAGCTTCAGCTCTATATGCCAGAGTTGCATCCCTAAAGATGAAAAGAAATATATCAGCAACGGAAGACACCACCACAATGCTTGATCAAATCTGAATGTTAAAATTACTTATTCACAGACTAACTAAGAACCTTAATTACATGTAAAAGCCACAACTGGGCAATGGCCTCAAATCTCAAATTTTGAAAATCTTCCTCCATATTAAGTGTAAACACAACGAATACCATTGGACATAAACCATGAGTATAACATACATGGGAAAACATTACCTTATATCTTTTAAACCTTCTTCAGCTCCAAAAACTGCTTCCTGATTGTCTCTTCCAGAAGAAAATACTGAAATGCTATCATAGGCAAAGTCCAAATCTTCCCCCTGTTCAGTCATGATATTCACTTTATTTAAATAATGTATTCACTCTATCCATCAAAGTCAAATCTCACGATAAATAACAGGACAGGGTACATAATGTGATCAAAATTGTTCCTTATGCAACACCTTAGCCAGAGCTATTACGGTAAAGGGTATTCAATTATAAAGTTGCATTTGGACAGAAAAGGGATTTGAAATAAAGGAGAAGTTATACTTGATACCATATTGTTGTTATCACCTTTCAGTTGAAAAATAAATCCCAACCAACTTCATTTCAAACGCAAACCTATCCAAATGAACCTTATACTGACCTACCATCTTTTCTCTCTATGCCATAGCAAAAATTAAGGAAATTAACATAATGGCCACTTTCCCAATAAAAAGTAAGGCAAGAAAAGATATGCAAAGAGTATAATAAAGAAGATTTATGAGCATTTCACCTCCAATAGCTTCCCTTCTTGCAGAAACTGCTCATACCTGGACAACACAAGCTATAGAATTACTTGACACACTTAATATAGCAAATTGAAGGGAAAATACACTTAATTATTCCTCTGAGCAGATCTCAGTAAAAATTAGATAAAATAATTTTTTAAAAAATAAAGGAGGGAAGGAAAAAGTAACTGAGAAAGGTCGGAGACAGATAGCACGTTGGAGGTCCGGAGGCTGGAGCAGATCCAGTCTAGTATAGGGCGTGCGTCGTCGTATTGGAAGGGCCATTCAAAGCTGTCAGGGTCCAACGTCTCTGCGCCTTGGTATCCCAATTCACTGAGCAGAGCGCACAATCGAGCTCCGCTCATTTCGAATTTTTCCCCTTTTTAGGCTTTAGCGACCAATCAGGTGTGCTCTAAAGAGTTATGGATCTTCGGTGCTTCATTTTCATCATCTCATTTTCACTTACAAAATTCTAGAAGATTGGTTTGTACGCGTTGAAGCGAAATGGCTTTTGGCGCCGGCCTGATTGAAACGACAATGGCTTTTGAAGGTGGGTGAATGGATGGCGCAATCTGTAATCAGCTATGCATTCATTTGTTTTTACAGTTTTACTTTTGTGCTTTGGCTGCTTGTACCCAGTTGACAAATCCTATTCATTTCAAATTGTTTATTTAATTATTAATAATTACAATTGTAGTTAAATTGACTCGTGAAGTTAGACCTTAGTATACTTTATTTCAAATATGCATTATTATTTTCACACCATCTAAAGTAAAATGACTTGAGTTTTTGACTTCAATCGGTGGAAAAAAAAATTAAGTTCACTTCTTAATTTCTTCACTTTTTGAAAATTAAGTTCGCTCCTTGAAAATTTAAGTCGACTCTTATTTAGATATCTACACCAGAACAGATTTAAGATTTATTGAAACTAATGTCTGAATTGTTGCCTGGTTATCAATTGATACAAAATTGTTTGTCAGGCTAAATGGACTTATCAAATATAACTCAAATCTAAAATAAAGGAAAATCACACCTAAACTCGAGTCTCATGACCTTAGCTTCAACATAATGGCCGTTGACATCTACTAGCGGACGCAAGTTCTAGAAATGTAGAATCATTGGTTTCCACTCAAGTGCATCCATTAATACATCTGAGAAATGGAATTGAGCCCTTGGTAAATCATTGAAGCTCAACTAATTTTCTTCCACTATGTAACAAACGAAGGCAACAACTACTTGTCCGAGGAAAAGATTCAATAACCAACATTTTCTACAAAGAGATTTTATAGTCACTTGATGCTTATTGTACACTGTGGGTAGTACCTAGCAAGTTAAAAAGGGAAATCATGCTTTGCAGAATGACATGAACTTAACCTGATAACAAAATTATGTATACTAACTTAATCTTACAAATGTTTTTAAGTACCAAGGAACTAAAATATCTTACAAGCATTTTCATTTTGGATGAAGGATGCTGTAAGCCAAAAAATGACTAGAACTAGATTAGAGAAAGGAACCATAATCTTCACATTATCAGAGACCATTTTGCTTCCTGTTTAGTCGGGCAATGATCAATCAGTGAATATCCATAACAGATATTATCTGTATCACTCCTCCAGCAGACCTCTCCCAAGGTTTTAGGAACTTTGCCATTAAAGTTCAAGAGCAACAACTCTTCGTTTTCAGTCACTTTCATCAGTGAAATATCTTCGGGCATCAAATGGCTGGTTCCTGGAATTTGGGTCAGGTAGTTCCAAAGGCGATCCTCTATTCATTGGTGCAAATGCTGCAATTAGAAAAACAAAGTACATGAGAACTGCATTCATACAAGATTTAAATGAAATCATATCATAGACAGTCAGGTAGACCTAGCCAATTAAGTTGTTTTCATAAACAACCAACAGTTTAGAAAACTATATAACCAAGGTGCTGAAGGAAAAAAATAAGCTTTTGGTATGGCTGAATAGGGATAACTCCCCACCCAGCTCAGTGCTACAAGATTGCAGTCTTCTTTTTATTACTTTTGTACTTGACATAATAAATGTCATGCCACCTGTCCTCTCAGCTTGATTAAAGAATCTGGCTCCTATGAACCAGGTAGTAGTATCAAGGGTTTTCTGTCAAGTTGGATTTTTCTTTACCCCTAAATAAATAAACTATTATGCGTTCAAGATCAACATGGCTTTTATGAGAATTGACAAATAAAATTGTGAAGCCTATAGTATAAAAACAAACCATTCAGCATATTAATCGGTACCAAACAAATGTGTAAGTGTTGAAGTGATAGTACAACGTATGATGAACAGAGAAAAAACTAATATACAATGAAATGCAAAAGTGAAATTGTACTTCACATGGAAAATTTCCATCTTTATAAATTAGAAGCAGGAGTTGCATATTTCACAATCTTCAGAAACATAAAATGACTCTAAAAAGAATTGATTCAGGTGAATTAGAAACACACAGCACATAAGTGTGCACAAACTAGACTCTAATAATTTTGACGAGTAAGCTGATAGATGCAATCTTGGACTCCCTCACTGACAAACAAATTCGTTAAGATATTAGTTTCAAATTGCTATGATTGTTTAGTCCTCTACATAACCTTATAAGCATCAAATGAATAACTAAGCAATTTAGTTGAAGGAATCCGAGTTAGTAGAACATAGAAGCAGCATCAGCAGTTGTAGTAATAAACTATGCATATTGACCTACATTTTTCCCTCATCCTTTTCTCTCTATCATATTCAAATTTGTCCCGAATTTGGCTGAGCTTTTCCCTTGTTTCATTCTGCCTATTTCTCCCAAAACCTTGATCCTGCATCCAGAAATCCAATCAGCAAATAAAGTACCAAACACATCTATGACGCAAATAAACATATATGTTCTCCAGCATTGTACACCATTTCAGCATTTACACACAAATCCATTCATAAGAGTGTTTCCCATTATTCCAACAATAGTGACAAACTTCAAGAAATCTCCAAAATATAACATTGGATTGATTCAACACAAAGGCTGAACAAATGAACTAAAACATACAGTCATATATGCCTCGAATTAATTGCTTTTTTTTTTTTTTTTCAAGTCCAGCAGGTAGAAAAAATAAAATAGTTCACCCCAGTCCAATCTAACTGGGGTTCAGTTATATCTGATGGAACAAAATTTAACTATAGAATGTATTGACATCATTTCGATCAATACCAATTGAAATGACAAGATCTATGATTTGAATTCATACCTTCACCTGCTCCGCTTGCCTGCTCCTGCAATATAAGCAAAACATTAAAGGGGTACACATATCTAGTCAAAACAAGTGATGGAAATATTATTAGATTTTAAGAATAGATATAGATTGGTGATGAAAAATATATCAAATTAAAAGAAATCTAACATACGTTGATATATTCTTAGAATTTTAATATGACCAACAACTCCAAACCAAAGACCGTCAAAAACACAGATTCAATAGATAAAAGCACTAGGCTAAGCAGCAACAGAGCTTTTCAAGAGCATGATGAACCCCCACCCCAAAAGAATAAATAAGTATACACAAACATGCGGTAGTTAAAAGTCTTCTAAATCTAGAAGGCAAAACTTGTCACGTACAATTATCATCATCCAAAGGGAATAAAAAGGAGTCATGCTTTTGTTTTTATAATTCAAAAGGAATGAGGTCTCTTGGTTTACTCTTCATCTGCTTGAAATAGTAAATATATCCATTTTTCTATTTGTATATATTAACTGACTTTGATTGTTTAATTGTTTGATTAATGAAAAGAATTGCAGCATCAGTGATTAAACCAAGCAGGTATGCCTGCCTTAAGAATCCCTTCCTGCCTTAGAGCCTCGGCGGTCTCTTCCTTGGTTACAATTTGTTTGAATACCGGGTTTAATTACTGTCTAATATATTTGAGGTAACAGCTATGGTAACTATTGAATGTATATTCAAAACAAGATAGGAGAGGAGTAATATGTGTACTTTAAAATCCAAAACTATTGCTTTTTGAGGCAGCTAGTGGAATGTTTCTAGATTGTAAATACTGAGGCTTACTGTTGTTTCTTGTTGTTGTATCTTTACAACAATCCCTAATATATAATGTCTCACACATATCATTCTAGTTCCCCATCCCTTGCCCAGCAAAAGAGAATGAATGATAATATATGTAGCCAAAATAAGCCTTTCGATTGGCATTATCGTTTCCAAGAAAAATAATCATTATATGTATAACCAAATACTAGAGCCAGAAAAAGAAGTACATATATTTGCAAATCAGGAAAACTGTTCCAAGACTGAAATAATGCCAGAAGAATTTGCATGAACGAACCTGTATGGGTTAAAGTCTTGATCATCATCCTCAGCAGACTCATAGTTTGCATGATCTTGGGCAATTTTTTTAGAGTAGCCCTCATCCCAGTATAACCTTTCCCAATTCTCTCTGAGTTCCTGGTATAGTTCCATATATCTTTTGCACCAGGGCTCATGCTCCTTCAAATAAATAAATACAGTCAGACGCAAACCCAGTTAAAAATCTCATACTCTGAAAGCAAATACACGCCCATTCCCACATACATACTTAGGTCAGTGTTCTTGGTAGAATAAGAATAGCTATCTTCACTCCCATTTATAAAGAAATGAACAGAGGGAACAAAATACTCAAATCATCAACAGTATTTCGACTTATTCTTGGCCATACTAAAATACAATAAGGACCCCGGCCAAGACTTATCCACTTTTGCATCTCTCAAAATGCATCAATTGGTGGTCCTCGTATGCTACATGTACTTCCATACAAGTTCCGGTTTCAGATAAATTTCAATTTTCTAGCACATTTCTTGCTTTCACTTTAACATTTTCCACTAGCAAAAATCAAGCTTCCTTTGTTTTCAGTTAGATCCAACAAAGTCTTACACTACTAATCTGATAGTTCTTCGCATATAATATTTATCAAAATCGTTATGGCATCAGAAAGGTACGCTATTTTTGTATAATTTGTAAAAAAAAAATGACGCTAAATTGAAGCTATTAACCAAAGCCGTCGAAAGGAGAACAAATTGTAAACTAAAAATATATTTGCAATTACTAAAAATATATTTGCAATTATATAACTCGTAATAAAATAAACAAAAAGAAAATCCCCATTTCAAAAGCTAAAAAAACTCACCGATTCCTTGAGAACGAGGCGAGTACGGCGCATGAACTGCTCTCTGAGATGCTTCCGGCGCTTGTTGGGGATATTGTCTCTGGGAATAACAAAGCGCTCACGTGGAGGTACGTGATCTCCGATCTCGTGCATCTCGCCGTCGACTATCCACCACTCCGATTTCTCGTCGGTCTTTTTCACTGGAAAAGGCGGCGACTTCGACCGCCGCCTGTTTGCACCATGCTCAGTTCTGATGAACCGAAACTGATTGGCGGCGGGATGAAGGCGGGGGCTTAAGCTCTGGAGTAGTCTTAAACGGAAAAACATAGGAGGTGTGAAGAGATTTTGCAGAGTTGGCGCTATCGAGGAGGTGTGAAGAGATTTTGCAGAGTTGGCGCTATCGAGTAATGGAGTTTGGCACTAAAGAAGTACTGTTGTTGCGATTCTCTTTTAATGTATCAACAACAACATGGTGTCTTTTTACAAACGTTGATTATACCACGGCTCTGCTATAAAACTTCCCAATTTTAACTATTTTAGGCTCCGTTTGCTTATGTAAAAATATTGAAAAATATTTTTTAAATAATTTATTATTTACTATTTAGCTTTTTTCTATATATGGAATGTTTAATGTACCGGAATAGCAGAATGGTCGTATAATAAGAAGTCGTTCTCTCCTTTAAATAATATTCATCAAATAGGTGATAATTTTGTGGTGAAGAGAACTCGAACTCGAAACCTCTAACTCTCAATATTTTTTCTACTATTTACTTAATATTGAAAATTAATTAAAAAATATTTAATATTTTAATTCATAAGACTATAAGATATATTTATAATACAAAAATTTTATATTTCAAAATTTTTATTGTTAAATATGAAAAAATATAAAAGAAATGTTAAATTATGAATATCGTCAGTGGCTAGTACCGATAGCGAACGACTACTATTAGTAGTGGCGATTGCTAGTGTTAGTCGCTACTAAGGATTAATAAATAAATAAATATATATATATAAAGTTATAATAAATTTATTAATGTTCGATAAATGTTTACGCTCTTAAAAATAAAAAGTGAACTTTATTTAAAAATGATTTAATTTTTTTATTGAAAAAATATTTCTTATTGACTTATTTTATTGAATACCCCAAACAATGAAAAATTATATAAAATATTTCCTTACCGCCCAAATAAATGGAGTCTTAACTTCTTTTATTTTCAAAAATAATTTCAATTTTTTTTTAAGACTACAAAACATATTTTTATAAAAAATATTTTAAAATGACTCATTTTCCCTTATTTAATTTCAATAATAAAAATTAATTTAAAAATTAAAATTTTTAACTTATAAGGTCATGGAAATATTTATAGCTAATCGGTGCCCGCACTTTACGTGCGGCTAATTTACATATACATGAAAAAGTAATTGTATTAAAATTATGTATATTTTATTTTTATAAAGAATTGTAAAAACTAATTTAATTTTGAATAAAAGCCAATTTAACATGTGAATTTATTTAGCGGATAAAAATTTTAGCTTTAACCTTTTGGGCCAATTTAACTTTTAAGCTTGTTTAAAACAATTAAAAGTATTATATTTCATATTTTGGGTTAATTTAACATTAAACTTATTTAAAATGATTGAAAAATATCCTATCTGTCATTTTGAGTCGATTTAATATATAATTATTCAATGTACTTAAAATGTGATAATCGTTGTATAGGCATTTAATAAAAATTATTGTTGGAATCAGGCCTACTAATTTTACTAAAAAAATTAATTAAATATATTACATAGAAAAATGATATACGAAAAAGTATAATACATCTCTTTATCTTGATTTGTGTTTTGAGTTTAGAAATATGTGTTAATTTAAATATTTTAAAATTAACCTTTATTACTGGGTTATTACATATAAAATTTATGTATCTTTCGCATTGAATACATATTTATAAATTTATTGATTTGTCTGTCAAAATTAGCTGTTTTAATAAGTTATAGTAGTTTTTAGCTATCAACTATTTGATTAACTCTTCATAAGACACAAAAAAACTAAAAGGCTACAGTAGTTAACTTTTATAAAACGTTATCTTAACATATCGAACACTAATGATAGACACTTGCTTGACTGAGATCTTCAGATTCCATGAATTGTGAATAATATAAATATAATGTGAACTTGATTTTAGAAGATAATGCCGGATATCACTCTCCAATTATTTGGGTAACCAACTTGACACAAATAACTTGTACATAATGATATCTATAAAAAGGTTAATGAATCCAAAATATGGAATATAAGCAAAATATTACTACCTTCTTGAGATCATCACGTTTTTTAGTTATAAAAATAACGTTTAATGTTTTGATCAATATCTACTTAAAAAGCTATTACCAATCTATAAATATAGAAAAAGTTTAATTCAAGTGTTTTTAAGGTTTATTCACAAAATTAATTATTTTATTATCAACCGTTTAAATAGCGTTTAATTGTTAATTATTTAAGCAACATTTTCATAAGATGCTAAAATATAAATAATACATGTTTAACGTTTTTATAAAAGGATATGTTAACTTTATTTTTAAAGGTTAATCAAACCCTACACTATCCAATATGGCAATAATAAAGTTTAACATTTTTTACTATTAAAAATTATTTGAAAAGTTAATGCGAAATATAGACCGGCGACCGGCAGACGTGCTCCAATACGACATGGGTCACGTGGGAACTTGGGAAGCCGAGGCGGAAAATTACAATCTTGGACTATATGTCTCAAATACCGCGGTTTTCGAGTGGTTTTGTACAACACTCGCCACCGCAACACAATACTAAAAAATACGAATATATATGTCCCGCACTTTCTTCCCGCCTTCATTCAGTTGATTAAGGAAAAGAGAGGGAAGTGAGAATCGATTGGCGGTCACCGAAAAGGCATGTGTGGTAGAGCGCGTTGTACTCTCAGGGCCGATGACATCTCCAGAGCCTGTCACTGCAACGGCGCTCCAGTCCGTTCGGTCAACATGGACCGGTACTTACCATATCGCCGGGTCATTTGACTTATTGTCTTAATCGATGGTTGATCTTTTAGCTATTTCTACTTCTGGTTTTAATTTTTTAGATACCGGCCATATTACAATGTCTCTCCGGGATCGAACTTGCCGGTTGTTTATAGAGGCGATGTGTCCGGTGGCGAGGGTTATTCTCTTCACTGTATGACTTGGGGATTAGTTCCTAGTTTCACTAAGAAAACTGAGAAACCTGATTTCTACAGGATGGTAAATTCCTTTTCTAATTTCATTTATAGAAAATGAATGGATATTTGATTTGACATCTTGTTTGTTTCTCATTTTTTTAATGTTTTTTTTTCCTGGTGGACTACAAATTCTACTTCCATTTTCACATGTAAACATATGGTGAATTTGCCCGTTCCTATTTTTATTGCAGTGAGTAGTTATTCCTTTTAGCTCTCCTTATTTTTAGTAACAACGATATATTCATATAATTTGTGCATAGGCAAATGCAGGATGTTGTTTATGTACAGTAGGATCATTCTTATGAATAGACTTTTAAGAGTTACATAGGATTAATCACTTGTTTACTGAAGTTCAACTTAGGGTTTTGTCGAGTTTGTTGAGTTGTCTCTGCTGATTTTAGTCGTATTACCTCCCCTTTACATTAGGATACCTTCATTTTACATAGAAGTCGGTAGGCTACAACTTATACGTCTAGAGCTATGCTATTAACTATTAAGTGCCAAATCAACATTTTACTCAGAATCCAGGACATTTGCTTGGTCTAAATCTGGATAGGTGGTCATCTTTTTCTGCTTTTGTTTTATCGTTATTTTAAACATAATAGACGTTGTAATAACAGATGTTGGGCCAGCAGATTGTTATATACGAAAATTTCTGCAGGTATTGCCCAAAGATAGGGCTTTAGTTTGTAAAAATTAGGTGTGCTTGCTTGAGGGTTGTGAAGGGCTTTCTGATCTCATATGATAAAAGCAATAAATGGACGTTGTTAATTAGGAAGTTCCTTGTATTTATTTTACAACAAGCTACATGCAATGTGTTACAGGCTGCAAATGTGTAGAGGCCAAATCATTTTCTTCATTGATTGAACAAGGGATGCCTTACCTGTTAACTTGGAATCTCTACTTAACACTTTGTCATTGAGTGGATGCTCTAAAATGTCTTTGTTGCTACTTCATGTTTTGATTTTAATTTTATTTTTCTTTTTCATGTTGTTGTACTTCAATCAGTGTATTTTAGAATAGAAACTACCCATTGATTTGCTTGCACATCCTCGTCAGTGAAATTCATGCTATACAAACTTGAAAAGAGAGAGCATGTGGTTCAGCAATGTGGCTACGTCTATCTTCTGCGTTTTTTCACTTTCAAGTTGAGAATTGCAATTTTCCTACCAAGTCTAGGGTTTCATAAGTATGGAAGAAAGGAAGAAAAATAAAAAATTACAGAAGAAGAAAAAATACCACAGTTAGAATGTCCTAGTCTTAAAAAAATTATATTGTACATCCATGCAAAACCCTCCTTTATTTGGTTTTAAGTGTAAAATATCCTCTTTGAACAAGAATCATTTAGGCGGATAACTGAAAATATCCTCTTTGAACAAGAATCATTTAGGCGGATAACTGAACACATATTATTCTATTCACATGTGATTTGGCTTCCACAATCCAATTGAACATTAACTCATCACTTGCTTCCTTGCCCGATTGTCCCTTTTTTTACCTCTTAACATTATATTTGGGAGGGGAATTAAAGTTTCATTAAATTTCTGCGACTCCTGCTTTGAAGGAACTGAGGAAAAGTTAAAGTTACCTTCCCTTGGTTTACTCGGTATATGGCTTTGGTGTTAAAGAGATACAACTTACTATTCCTTAATCTTCACTTCTAATACTATCCCCTCTCCCATATCCCAAGGATAACCTCACCTGTTTATCATTCTTTTCCATCCCTCACCCTCTCTAAAATATAACCTTAGCAATCGGTTAAAAATTTTAAAGCCAGTATGGATCAACTAATCATTTCTTGATGTTCTCATAATATTCTCATCATTGACCTTTCCCAGTCAGTTTGATGCTATAACATTTTGTATTATTCAGTTCAATGCGATTGACACAGCTTCAATGGGATCAATCTGTTGTGTAAGCAGTTAACTATTTATCAGTACTGAGTCACATAACTATATGTCTTTATTCTTTAAAAGCTTTGTTTTGGACTTACATGTTTACCACAAAGCTTATTCTGTAGACAGAGTAATCATCGACTCTGGCTGATATGAGCAGTTTGAACAATTATTCCAGTGATTTCTGCTTGAAGCATGTGCTTTGCCATCACCTTAATGCTAGCTTACAGCTTGGAAATTATACTCTGATTTCCTTATCTTGTTTTCTATTCTGGTTACGTGTTAATCTTTTGGGTGTATTTTTTTAGCAGTAGGCTGAAAAATAAAAATCAAGATTGACTTTGTAAAGGGGCTAATTAAACTTTGTTGTTAATTTATAAACTTAGCTGGACAAGGACAGTTTATTATCCTAATAGTTTCTTATTAACATGGATAATATGTTTCAATATAATTGTTAGTAGATTTTCCTTGACAGTCATATAACTGTGTCTGCACAACATATTTGTGTTGGGAGAATTCCATTAATATCATCTTGCAAATGCAGTTCAATGCTCGATCTGAATCAGTACGTGAAAAGGCCTCTTTTCGTAGACTACTTCCTAAAAATCGTTGTCTTGTAGCAGTAGAAGGGTATGTCTGATACCATGGTTTGTTTGTTTGTTTGTTACCCATTCTTTGCTACTGATGCTGACACTTAATTTTCAACCAATCTACATTATATTTTTGTTCTGACAATATTTAAAATGATCGTTTAAATACGGTAACCATTTGCAATAAGATTTTGAAACTTCCTATTCTTGATGTTTGCCATAGATTTATAAATAGGATGGCAGGATTTTTTGAATTCTGCTGGGAATAACCCATGGTTCATTCACAATTTATTTTTACTCTAAACCTCTGGTCAGTCTGGTTAAAAGCAAAACTTTTACAAGTTAGATGATATGAGCCTGCCTGGTGCTGATATTTCTTAAGAATACTTTGGCACAAACTGAATAGTAAAACTATATTTTTGTTTATCCTTGCATCTTTACATAATTTAAGCTCAGTTTCATGCCATGACTCCAAATTATCCTTCAGGTTTTATGAGTGGAAAAAAGATGGGTCTAAAAAGCAGCCTTACTACATTCATTTCAAGGATGATAGGCCTCTCGTATTTGCTGCTCTTTATGATTCGTGGCAGAATTCTGAAGGTGAATGGTTTTTTCTTTCATTTTTTTGGGTTCTTCTTGGATATGCATTGTATTATTGTAAGGCCTGTTAGTAATTCTCATTTCTTGTACATTTGTACCTTATCCTGCATATATTTCACCTTACCTAGGTGTTCTTTTTGTACCTTAAAAAAATTAGTTTGAAGCAGAGTCTGCTATTATATGCAGTTAGTTTGCTGGAATTATCTTTTACTAAAGTTGATTTTCAGTGGAATATCTGTTCTAAAGGATGATTTGCTTTCGGCAATAAGTTTTCTATTTTTTGGTATACTTGCTCTGGACAATGATTTAAGTGCATGCCATGTTGCAGGTGAGATACTTGATACCTTCACTATACTTACAACGTCCTCTTCTTCAGCCTTACAGTGGTTGCATGGTGAGTGATGTTTGTTTCTGTGGATTCCTGCTGTTTCAGTTTTAGATATTGTGAACCACTTATTAATCGGAAGTGAATTTGTACCATCTTGACCTCTTTGTCTGAGCTCAAGTTCCAGGCTATACTTTCTCAAGGAATCAGAAGTTCTACATCTTCGACAGCATTTTTTATCATTCTCTAGTACGGTAGTTGCATCCAATATGATTAATTGATTATTCAAGTAAAAAGAAGATGAAAAGATTGAACAACAAATTTAGTATCAATATTTCACAACAAAGGTGTACTAAGTGAGAATGAAAAAAATCCTCAATTATTTCTAATATCTTGAGAAAGAGAAGGAAACATATTCATTGTAGATCTTGCTTTTGGATTATATTATTCCCTCTGGATTTTCAGCAGCGCATGAGAAGCTATTAGGGTGTATATGTGGACAATTGATCAAAGTGTTTCAACTTAAGAGTACTGAAATTTAAATTTCCATACAATGCGATATTTTAGGCGTTTCAGCTTGATAAATAGCAACTGAATACTGATACTTTAATCACGCATATGCTAATGCAGACAGGATGCCTGTCATTCTGGGAGACAAGGGTGCAATTGACACATGGCTTAATGGATCTTCCTCTTCAAAGTTTGATATCATGCTGAAACCTTATGAAAATCCAGACTTGGTAAGAGCCTTTCGGACAAAGAGTTGTCCATTTTATTATTATTATTATTATTATTATTTTCTATCTAGGGTACCAGAAAGAATATATGTAAGAGTTGAGAGATGCACCTTCCATTTCTATTTAAGTATTAAAATATATTTTCACTATTGTTTTATTTTTAAGGTATGGTACCCAGTGACACCTGCAATGGGCAAGATATCTTTTGATGGCCCAGAGTGCATTAAAGAGGTGCGGTTGGTTAATTCTTTTCTTTTATGCAACCTTAATCTTATGTTTACAATTTTGCTACACAAAGTAAAATTCCTAGCAAAGCTGCATTTTGCACCCAGGATTTATCTTTCACGAATGTGCATAAATTTTTTTTTGTCCTGTGAGATGAGAGTATTATTTGCATAGTAAAATATTGGGCAGATTCATTTGAAGACCGAGGACAAAGGCACTATCTCTAAGTTTTTTTCAAGGAAGGAAATTAAAAGTGAACAAGAATCAAACCTACAGGGAAGTACATGTGAGAAATCTGCTGATGTAAATACTCCGAAACGTGTAAAAGAGGAAGATGTAATTGCAGACAAGTTGGATATTCCATCATTGGTCAACAATGATTCGAGATCCAGTGTTTGTACAATTACTAAGGAGGACGGAACAAAGTACAAAACAAAGCGGGACTATGAGGAGACTCTAAATGATTCAAAGCTGGGCTTGGATAAAGATGAGAAACCGCCGCAGAGTCCCGCAAGGAAAAAGGTTAACCTTAAGATTGATGGTGATAAACAGCCAACTCTCTTTTCATACTTCAGCAAAAAGTAGTTTCATCTTCATGAGCACCTGTCTTGTACGTGATATAAGAACATCCTGGTAACCTAACATCTGTTTTGTTTTAAGGCATGCACTTTGACCATTTTTGTTTGTGCTAGTGTGATTATGTTTATACACAAGTAGGGAAGCACTTAGAACTTGTAATTTTGTAGTGCAAATGCCATAATGTGTTTGTAGTTGATGATTTCCTCGTGCTGCAGTATAAAGTACAGTCTAACATTTATATGGCAGGGTATGCATTTGAATGAAATTGGTGACAGCAATTTGGCTCATTCTGTATATGCAGCCAAAACTAGATAGCTAACGCTGCATAATTGCTTAGAGCATTTATTTTTATACAAGATAATATGAGCATTTATTTTTATACAAGATAATATGAATGCTATAAGAACAACAATGAAAATGGTTGGGCAGACTTTTAACTTACCATGTCTACCAAAGCTGAGATATGAGCCTAGGCCTGCATTAAAGTCTCATCAGTGAACTGCTACTAGGATGTGGATCTAGGAACATTTAGGAAGAAAAATTTCCATGGAACATGGTCAGTACTTCCAACTCACTTTCTAGAACTATTCTTCTTGTATAAGACGCATCATAACATCTATATTACCATCAAAATTTGGTTCACAAGAGGCTTGCCTCATGGTTAAGTTCAGCCTTAAAAAGACAAGCCTCTAAATGGATAGGATATACCTTTGACAAGCATCCAACTTAAAATGGGCAGGAGAAAGCAAATAAAGCATATGCAGCAATCCACTTATAAAATCATTATAGAGTATTCTTTAACAAATAAACTTTCCAAAATTTATATATCTGAACCAAACTGATCAGTTTCAGTATTACAAATACTAAAACCACTAAACCCCCAATTCCAAAAGAAGACTAACATGAATATGAACTTCAAAATTATTACTTAATAAAAATGCCCTCGTATCATCCATCACTGCTCTTCAATACACTCCGCCACTGCTATGGAGAATGGACCCGAGCGTACCCAAAACCGCAAAAGCAAGAAGCGGACTCACATCAAGAGTATCAAAAATAGGAGGAATTATATTCCTAAATAAGTTCAAGTATGGATCGCAAAGGTCTCTGATAGCCGATAATGGCTGGCGATCCCAAGGAATGTTAGGAAACCAACTAAGCAAAACCCTAACCATCAAAACCCCACTGTATATATCAAGCCATTTAGCCAAACCGGCTGCCACCACCGTCAGAGGCGTATTCAAGTACCCGCTTGGACGGTCCTTGAGGGAAGCGAAGAAAAGCGGACCAACTGAGTTAACCAGGTCGCCTTGTAGACCTCGTATAGTCGCCAATCCATTGAGATTAGGAAAAAATGAAGCGCCGGCAACTGATACAGCGAATTTCTGAATGGAAGTTAGGAATACTCGAGAGAGAGAGAAAGCGAGGGTTAAGATAGTTGTGATAGTCCGTGTTGAACCAGTGAGTAAGGGTTGTGACTCGGTGGAAGGAGATAGAGTGGTGATTTGTGAAGATTGTGAGGATAGCGAGGCCAAAACCCTAAGCCTAGAATGTTGTTTGGTGTAGAAACAGAGAGGCTTCTTGGGATTGTCAAAGGGAATAGAGAAAGATTTTAGAGGTTCTTGAACTGGAAAAAAGAGAGTGACGGCGGGTTGGATAGGACGGCGGCTAGACAAGGGAACCGGTGGACGGAGAACTCCGTTCTGGGAAGAAAGGGCGAGTGCCATTTTTTGCTTCAGATTATGTTTTTTTTTTTTTTTTTTTTAAGTGGACGCGCGGTCTGATAGGACGGCGGTAACAACCTGGAACCGGTGGACGCGAGAACTCCGTTCTGGAAAGAAGGCGAGTTGCCATTTTTTGCTTCAAGATTATGTTTTTTTTTTTTTTTTTTTTAGGAAGATCAAGATTGTTCGCAGAAGGGTATCGAGTCTAAGACGGGCGTTTTAAAACCCGTTTTGCCCCTTTCTGAAAATTTGAAATAAGAAATTAAAAATTAAACTTAAATTAAAAATAGTTTATATATTTTTTTACTACATCAGAAAAAAAAACATTAATGATAAAAATGATTTTTTCAGTTTAGGCTAACATTCGTTTTATTTTTGGTAGAATTTTTTTTTTAATTTTTGACTAAGTAAAAAAAAAAATTCTTTTTTTTTTTTTTGAGAAGCTGAATTGTTAGAATTTAAATCTGTAATCACCTCTAAATGAAAAATGTATTAATTAAAATGTCTTGCATTTGTGTTTTGCAATCAAATATCATTTTAAAAAATTTGATTAGTCTTATATTAAAGATTATTTTTATAATTTACGGTCATTTTAAATCTATATCTAAAATTTAAAAAATAAAAATAAAACCTTTGGGGATGGTATTTTGTCTTTCTGAAAAGTTATTATTAGCACATTAATAATATTCAATTAAACTGATGTTTTTTTAACTTACATCGACCATATTTGATAAAAAATTAGTTCACAAAATTTAAAATAAAAAATAAAAATTTCCATATAAGCAATTAAATAGAAATATAAACAAACCTAAAATATTTTTTTTTAAACAATCTGTCGAATTGGATCGCAGTTATTAATTCATGATCTGACACGTACAGAATAAACACTTCATTTTTCAATTTCTACAGAATTTTTATGCATTCTTAAGTTCTAAATTGTGATTAAACCTGGCTTAAGATTTTAGAAAATTTTAGAGAAAAAAAAAAAAAAAAAAAAGGAATTTCAAACAAAAACAATCCTAGCCAAACAACCACAGCCAAATGTTTGCTAGTTAACTGACATTGGCATGTCCATTGATTGACTGGGCCAAAGAGCTGGTCAAGACTGCGGCTGGAAAAGTTTGACTTTGAGAAGTTCGCGTTTGGATCCGAAAGTAACAGCCTTTTTGAGGCCCCCATCTATATTAGGCCTGATTAAGCCCGACTTAGTTGAATTGAGGATCCCTCTCTTGTTGTTTTTTAAACTTTTTATACTATTTATGATGAATTTTGCCCTGCGAACAAACATTATTGCAGCTCTTTCCAAAATATTCGTAGTTAATTTACGCGTACAGTACAAGTTTTGCCTGTGACGATTGATAGACTTTGTGCCCTATATTTAACAATTAAAGGCAAAAAAAGAAAAAGAAAAGGAAGGAAGAAAGAAAGAACATAAAAACACCCACCAAAAGAAATAATGTAGCCAAGTCAAACATTAGCAATCAGCATAGAGGAAATATTTGGGGACGTAGAAATGGTTTAAAGACCAAATAATAAGCCTCTATTAATGACCATTAGTCAATATCCAAAAATAATTCTTCTTAAGCATTCGAAAAAGGAGCTAACCATGGGACTTCCCCATTGAACCACCGCCGCTGACCTAGAACAAAATCCTCGCCGCTTATCCCAAAGCCTTATCTTGCTGCCCTTGTGCCTCCGTAGCCGCCGCCGTGGGCCTACACCACCCCTACTTAAACATGGCTGGAATTCGAAACATTAGAGATTAGGAAACACCACCTTCTCTTGAACATAATATAATGTCTTTGTATTTTTCATTGCTTCATGCTGTATTATAGTGAAGACCAAAAAGATTAGATCTAGAAGTTAATGATTATAGTTCATTAATGGCAGCAATTATAATAATAATTTATTCTTAAGGGTTCCACATTCTTTTACAAGGGATTTTTCTTCTATCTAGGGCATAGCGGTTTTATGGTGGTGTCCATGATTAGAAGAGATGGGGTTTTCTTCTGAACTTAAAGTTGAGTTAAAAGGAAGGAGAAGTTTGAGTGTAATTGATCGCTATGGAATCCAATTATGGTATAGGACATGATTCACTTGGATTGGATGAATTAGATTTAATGCTTTTTGTTTCTTCCTTTATTTTAACTTTTAAGTTTAGTAACAGAGTTTCCATCCCCAACAATGGGGATTAAGGTAGTGTTCTGTATTAAGATGTGCCACACCCATGGCATATATTTTGAATTAATTTTGCGTTGGCAGAAAAATTAATCAAAATGAAATTTTTATTTACTTCAAGTAATGATTTATTGTTCTTAATTTTCAATTTATTGATATTTATTGGTATCATTTAGCTAGTTTTTGTTACATAATATATTGAGTTTATCTCTTTAATGTAATCAAGCTCATTTATTTTATTATAAGAGTGTATCCTAAAATTTAAATTTAGTACATTATGTACTCACTTATTTAGTTTGTTAGTTTAGTTCAATTTTTATTATTATTCTTAGGTGTTCATTAAGTTTTCACCATAGCTCTCCTCCTCTCTTTCTATTTTAAATTATAAGTATATAACCTTAATTATTTTTTACTCTTATTATACTTTGAAAGCTAAGTTTTATTTTTTAGAATACATTACGACTTTTAAGTTATTATTAGTAAATTGTACGAGTCGGAATTTAAGTGTCCCAATAATATGAATTTTCTTAAATTAAAGTTTTTTTATTAATTAAATAGAAAATACACAATCTTATTTGAAATCTAATGAATTTTGAGCAACCTCAATTTGGTTACTTACATTATCATTTTTTTTTTATTAAAGAATCCTAGTTTCTAAATATTTACTAGATTTCCAAAAATGAAATCTTATATTTTATTATAGTAATACTTTTAATTAAATATATATCAACCTACTATTACTGTAAATAAAAAGAACAATTAATTACTTGGGACACCAGAACTTAATTAAACTTACGTCCACGAATAAAGTCCACAATAATTAAAATATGCAATTGATCTTTAAATGATTTACTATAATAAAAACAATAATAGTAAAAACATATATGCAATAATTGAGAGTTTCAAAAAAAAAAAAAAAAAAAAAAAATCAATGTTTGTAGTGCTTTTTGTCATTCGTCAAATTAACATATTCTTCCAATGGATTGGATGAATTAGATGGCATCAAAGAAGGATTATCATATGAACAAAAAAAAGAGTCTTTGACGAGTCAAAAAATTTGTCAATATTTAATCGTCTTTTGCACTTTACTTTAATTCTTATTTGTTATTATTTACAATGCAAACTGCAATCTTTCACCCACAGAAACTTGTTAGTCTATTGTGCGAGACCAAAAATCTATTCTTATCTTAACATCTCATTCCAATTACTATACTTTTGTTCTGCTTCATTGTTCTTTAGATCAAATTAACAAATTAAAAACCAAATTTACAATATTAAACTTCTACAAAAAAAAAAAAAAAACAACTAAAATTCCAAAAAAATGATGTAATATTCTTTGCAAGACAATTGGGCCGTCTATTCAGTTTTATGTGACGAGCCCGAAAAAGGGCTTTTACTTGTGACATGAGAATTTAATTCTTCGACGACAAGGCCCAATAGCTTTGCTCTGGATCATTCGAAGACACATTTGGAAATACGTACGCTGCAAAAAATGATTGCTTGCAACACGGTGTACTTTTCCCCAGGTATGTTGGAGGCCTTGAGTTTTCAGACAGGCTTTGATACTAATGTTTTTCAGATCTTGTTTGAAGACAGATAATTTTCAACTGCGTCCAAGCTATGTCAAAGGCACATGCCAGACTCTTCCTTATTAGTCATTAATTATTTGTAAGGTCTCTCTTTTTAACGAGCTTAAATGTATTTCGAGGCATCGGTTTATTAAATGAGGCAGAAAAGTGAAGTCTGTTAAAATTTTGATTAGGAAAAATCAGATCAGAAAAGTTTCAAATTGAATAGTAAAATTTTAAAACAACTTTTTTAGATATAAACAGCTTGTAAATAGTTGTCCTTATCCGTGGGATTCTTCACTGAATTGAAATCATAAAAAGTTGAATGGGCAGTCACTTTGTCTGCTGTTCTTGCTACGACCTCAACTTTGGTATGAGCTTAGACAAAAAACACGAAGGTCACCAAACATATTTTCCGTGATTCCAAAGAGTAGAAAGTAGGAAACAGAAGGGATATTGTACATCACCACTATATTGCTCGGATGATACTTCCAACTTTCTGTAAGCCGACGAGTTTTGACAATTTGAATCAAATCACTAAATTAGTCAGGTGGTAGCAATTTTAATTAATTCGACCTTTTTTTTTTTTTTTTTTTTTTTTTCCAATTCTGTTTTTCATAAGCTTAACACAACTTATATTACCTGACCACAAATCCAAGTTTCAATTAAAAAAAAATTACCCACATATAAACCCTTACACATTTTTATTATCTCTTTTCCTCTTTAAGTTGGTTTCCCTATAACTAATAGGTTCAATGTTATCCTTCCAACTTTCTTTCAAACTTTTATAAGGCAACTGGAGTTTTTAATTTTGGTTAATTTCCATAAAGTAAACGTGGCCTGAATTTTCATCCACAAGGAACAGAACGGCATTTGGCATTGAGGCTTTCGTCCCCACTTTTCCTTAAGAGGAAAATATTTTAATTTTTTTTCCCCCCTTGAAAAAAAAATAATTATAATAAAAGAAAATCTCTTCACATAATTTTAGTTACCCGTCTATTATCAAATACTGGAAAGAAAACCTTAGTGCCCTCTCATTTCCCAACGTTTTATTTTCTTTGTTTTTTCTTTTTGAAAAGAAAGTTTATTTTCTAAAATTTGATTTATAAAATAGTAACATATACATCACCATTATGGTTTTTGTATCAATTTGGACCCCCAAAATTCCTTGCTAAGAGGCCTTGACATGAAAGTCTAAATGGAAAACAAGGCATGTAAACGTTGGGATCATATTCTTCCTAGAGTTTCCATTCGTTTTGCTCGGATTTCAGGATTTGAGAGATCATTCCTAATTTG